TAATATAATGCGGGTGTTATCATACCGTTCCTAGTTTGAGCCAAATAGATTATCGAATGTGTGCTAAACGGTAAACCCATCCTATCTGCAATAACAGATAATGCAATGCGTATTTAATACCACATCGGTGGAGCGCGCCATCTATGTATTATTTGTTTGTTTCGTTTGAGAAGGTTAATGGCTGATTTCAATTGCATTGTTGATCTTGTAGCAATGTCAAGATGTTTTCATACGAGTAAGAACTGTATTAGGCATTAAGTTCTTTATTTTTTCAGTCCTAACATGAGAGGCAGTGATCTAAAAATAGTTGCGGGTAAGTACAACCCATCGACGTGTTACTTACTGAAAATGGATTCACGTAAAACGTATAAGAATTATATTGTAACTTTCGTGAGACATACTAAATTAATTATTATGTTTTCGGCTTACTTACGTAATAATTTGACGAGGAACTCGACTAGTTTCACGCCATGCTAGAGGCTCATATTCATGAGCAGCGACTGTCGCGCTGCTACAAACTAGTCGAGTTCATCGTCAAATTATTACGTGAGTAAGCCGAAAACATAATAATTTACGTATAAGAATTAGATTAAATGTCTGTGGCTACAACTACTACGCTGTGACTGGATCTACTACGCAGCTACGCCGTAGCGCACCTACGGGTCCTTAACAACCGTGCTACGCATTTGTGACAAACTACGCTGCTACGACGTAGCGGGGGTGCAAGAGATAAAATAATGATAATTACCTCTACGTGGGCAGTAAATTATTTGTCTAACTAAATGACTGATGTCTAGACAAAAATAATTCTTTCATAAACTATGTTTAAAAAATTTACTCCAACCCCCTCTTTTTTTGAAGCCGATTAATAAAGCAACAACTTTTTTACAATCCCATAACTAAAATGTAAACTGAAGTACGTATTCGTGCAGGGATAGTAGTGGCATATTTTTAACTTAATATACACAACGCACAACAACACTAACCCGAAGCCTATTTGGGCCTCCAGTAGCCTCACTCACATGATGAAACACAACGCATGCGTTGTTTCACGTCGGGTTTCTGTGTGGCCGTGGTAGAATTCTGATCGAGCCAGCCCATTCGTGCCGAAGCATGCTCTCCCACACTTAAAATATCGCGATTACATTAATCGTTTCAGCATGTTCATACTACAAGACGTAGGTCGTAGGTAAATAATTTTACATTGTCAGTTGCAAGCGACTTACAATATTTACCGTCTGCAGCTGAGAATCAAATCTGTAATTGTATGTATTGCTTGTACAGTGTCTCTATATTTTATAATCGAATGCGCTTTTTGCATACACGGTAGGTCTCGAAATACGTAGGAACACAATTATAGAGAATTTTAATCTTTTAAGAGCTAACTATTTATTTTAAAACGGCAGTAAATTCACAAATAATAAAGTCAAAGTCAAAATAACTTATTTCAATTAGACTAGAAAGGCACTTTTGAACGTCAACAAAAAAAATGAAAATTGAAGCTATTTGTTCATTCCAAGGTGTAGATTCCTACGGAGAAAAAAAACTCCATAGGTTACCCTTATTCAATAGTTTTGTTGTTTAAAAATGAATATTTACTGATAAGACAATTCTTAAACATCGATTGAAGAATGAAAATCGTGCATATAATATGTTGTCAAAATATCGCCATTTTATTTACTAGGGACATGGACAGAATTAAGGTAAGGATACAAATAAGGGAGAATTACTAATGGCTTTATATTAATTAGCTAGGACCTACTGACCTACTGAAAATACATTAAGTTGTCGCGAAAAGTCGTAAATTATGTAAAAGTTTCGTTACACTGCAAATAATGAATGGAAGCCATTAATTTATGACTTCACCGAAAAGACATGCAAAAGCCATAATCATTAGGAAAAAAGTTTTACCTACAAAAACTTAAATGCTGTAGCTCTCGCAGGTATATGTATAAGGTAAAATGGTCTCATTTCTTATTTTGATAAGACTTTATAACGTATTTACTTAAATTAAGAAACAAATCGATAGGTGCCTATTGAAATATTAACTTTAGGCCAATGAAAATCATTCCAGGCTCGCCTAGTCATCGTTAAAAAAAATTAAACATGTATTATTGGTTAGTGTTTAGTGAACTCGTTTCAAAAGAACCACTATTTTCTAATTATATAAAGAAAACAAAGTTGTAAGAATATTCTATTCAAATGTCGTTCGCGTGAGAAAGAAAATTAAATGTTACTCTGATTTTTATTCATAAAACTAGGGCATTGGGCTTGTTCTATTTCATAATAAAATAACCATAAAATTAAAGGTCAAAAAATGAGAACAAAGTAAAAGTGAGGTGGTATATGTAAAAATAAATAGATACCCGAAATATATTACGCACACAAAATCTTTTTATTGTGTTTTATCAGTGATTTTATTTACAACTCAAGTTTCAAGAGAGACTTATTTCAAATCTCTATCATAAATGTAGAACTTATAATCTAAGAATTATATTTCACCGGGACACCATGACGACGCAACCCGGTGTGTCCTTCGCGATGGCTGGGTTGCGAGGAGGCAGCGCTTCGCTGCCTCGCGCGTCCCGCCTCCTCCTTAGCTAGCATGACTACTTCGCAAAAGGAGGAGACGGCATCCCAGTCCCCTCGCTCCGCATCATGGCCTGCACTAGGCCCGGACGCGAGAGGTCGCCATCGCCGATCACTTCCCTGAGGGCACGGCGGTGCTCAGTCCAGTGCTTCCATGTCCGGTGAGGACCTGCGTCAGGCGGTAGGTGAGGACGCCGTAGCGTCTCTCAAGCCACTCCTCAATGTGGGGACTTACCGCTGCAATGGCAGCGAGCCCAATATAATAGCCATTAGAGGTCTATTTTAATACTATCGGACTACGCACACCACAGTGGCAGGACTGTTTTCGCCACCATGGCGTCCTGTGACTCAAAAATAGTATGATTCATTTCTAGGCAACTTGCCGGCTTTCTAGGAATTTTCCTGTACAGCAAATTAGTATGGACTTCGGCCACAAATGTCACTCGTCCAAACAATCCGACCCGGAACAACTTTCTGTGTGCTGTACAAATATTTGTGCTGAGCTTGAATTACATCAGTCTCCTATCAAGGGCTCTAACTTAATCATAGATCACAACCCTTCAACAAAGAAACCCTTTCGTACCCTATCCATCTATATTTAGGTACCTACTATCCCTATAAACTATAAACATAAGTTTTAAAGTAGCAGTGTAAGACCTAAATCTTTTTCTGTTACATGGTAGAAAAATAAATAAATTATAAAAAAAAACTATAAGGAAGTTACTAACAGCAACTTGCTTGTTCATGGTATGGTTGTACGGTATCTTTTTTATGTTTAAATTTAATTATAAATAAGAAAATTTTAACTGCATAGCAAATTGTTAGCAGTATAATTCTAAGTAACATTTACCTTAATCAGATTATTGTTATTATTTAAAATTTAAAATGTATAGATTCAATAGTAATAAGTGTGTAAACGTAAAATACTACTTTTACAGCGTAGTGGTAGATATTTACGCACAACAACAGCTACCCACATACATAGGTACCTACGCAAAAGTTACGCCACCACATGACCACAGTAGTAAAACCGCCGAGGAAGAACTCACATGACTGTCCAATCCGTTTAAAAATACCCAATAAAATACCAATCACATGATTATTCAGTTAATGACAGCACATTTTGAAGTAGTCGATTTACCAGATATGTTATGTAGTAGTATAGTACCTATTTATCAGTGGGCCTCGTGGGCCTCATTAAACTTTCAGAATGTAAATCGGTCAGCGAGAACAAACGGATAACACCTAAGTTTATGATGTCTACTGCCATTAAGGGAGCCATCAAATCCACAATATAACGATTAACGACCCATTAACGTGTTGTTTGAGACTCTCCATAAGTTACTGTTACGATTTTGTGTTTTGAATGGTATCTAATAAAATTTAATTTGTAATAACTTTATGTCCATGAATGGTGAACTAGTTTCATAGTATCTAACTAGTACAGAGCATAGGTACCTACTTAGATATTTATGTAGGTTATGCACCTTTAAGGAGAGTTTGTTTTGAGGGGGGAAAATCGTCCAATCATTTCTCCCGCTTTGGGTTATGTGAGAGGGAGTGTCAGACTCTTACTGACTAAAAACCACCCCGTTCCTACTCCTTTTCTTCGAGCCGGAGCCTCGACAACCCGTTATGCATGTATCTATGTATGATGTCGTATGTATCTATGTATGATGTTCTGATAGCTCCATATGTATAAGGAAGGTTGGTGTTGGGTAAACGGCTAATCAGTTACCTATGTAGGTGCATGACAACATTTCAGAGAAGGTTCTCAATTCGACTGTTAAATAATTCATTAAAACAGCAGGCTCGTCATCAGTTCAGTATCTGCCGATAAGATCTCAGGAAAACCGAGGGGAACTCTTGATAATTTCAGGGGCGTATTTATTTAAGCTTCGCAAGGGAAGGCAGATGTATAAATTTGAATTCAACACTTATATATCAGCGTTATGTACTTGACCTAATCAGTTAAGCGGCTGACCAACCTATTGTAATCAGGTTTTGGAAGGGTAAGCAAAAAATGGAATTACAATTGTTATGTTAACAATAATGGTTTGTCTTGATACATGACGATGCACGTGAACGTGAACCTCAAATTGTGTTGTAGGGAACAAAAAAGTATTCTTTGAACAGTGCGCCATCTCACAGACGGTAGCAGAACTAAGTAGTTGTCAATGCTGCCATCTAGCAATTACTCTATGAAAGTAAACCATAGACAAGATTAATTGTTTTCGTTGACGATTAATAATCGAGAATTAATCTAATTATTCCAACGTGTAAAATTTGATTTCATCAAATAACTAGCCATTTATTATGTTCAATGTGTAAGATTTACAATACATTTCATTCATAAAAGAGAAGCTAAAAGCAGAATCCTATTTTATTCATTACCTGCTATTTTGTCTATGCCTTGCTCTATTATTTTGCGCCTGCGCTCTTGATGGTCTACGCGACGTACCTAAAATCATTTTGTGGAAAATTTGAAGTTTGTTGTTATTTGTGACAACTTATAATTCATAATTATTTATGAAAGCTCCGTGCTAATTACCATTCCAGGCGCGGGGCAAGATTTCACTGTGGTGGTTAGCCTGGATGCGTTCCGACACTATACTTCGAGCGGTGTACGGTAGCCATCTTGGAATCGAACAAAGCTTCAGATGTGTAGTTTGTCTGTTTATCAATAATTTTTGTGCATTTTCTTGTAAATAGTTTGTATGTTTAGGATATGTACGGAACGTTCGTCCATATGTGTAAATAGCTATGGCTGCGACAAGGAAATTACAAGGTAATTTGTTATGTTATCAGGTTAGAGATTGATTGACCCCAACCAATGTAGGTACGTGTTCTAGAGCATTATTGTCAATTGATGAGACCTCTGGCATACTGGAGCCTGCGGTGGCAAGCAGAATATGTGAAACGTGTGATAGTTACACGCGTACAGAGCGCTATGCGTACAGGTGGTCGGTAAAACTTGACAAACTGCCGCGTTTCTTACGATAGTAGTACTACGGCCACGATTTTATTGTTGTGAACTATCAACATAGACAAGCAGGCGATCTTTATCTGGCCTACCCCCAATATTAATGTGAAAATCCCCAACCACTGTATTCTTATAAGTGACACGTTAGTGTAGCAGGATTCTTGCATTAATGCAATGATGTGGTTTACAGGTGAAATAGACAGGTGTTTAAAAAAGGTAACAGAGGGAGTCGAGACATTTGATGACATCTGGCAGAAGGTTCACAATGCGACGAACAGTAACCAAAAGGAGAAGTATGAAGCAGACCTCAAGAAGGAGATCAAGAAGCTTCAGAGGCTACGGGATCAGATCAAGTCGTGGATCGCCTCCGGGGAGATTAAGGATAAGAGTACACTTTTAGAATATAGGAAACTAATAGAAACAGTGAGTATTGTTTGTTATTATTTACTATATATACACTATTTAATCTGTGCCAGATTGTGAGTGGACTCCGGGCTATATTTGAGTAGAGTAAATGCCTATTATGCATGAACTTTGTTATCAAGAGCACTCTTATTGACATTAAAAGCAATGTCAAACAGTTGTGTGTTCATACTCTGTTGCCATATGTTTGTGTAACAACAAATATTTGATACATTATTAATTATTATTATCTGTGTCTTAATTGAATCCATTTAAACTTCTGTAACATTTCTAATTAGGTTATCATAAGAGGATCAAATCTTATAGCATTCTTAGTGTCTTGTTGTCTACCCACAACCCAGTATAAACAATTACATTGAAATCTGTTATTAATTACAATATAAAACAATTAAAAGTGGTATATTACCATCACAACATATTATGTGTTGAGAAATTACGTTCTACTATACAATACTTCTGTGAAAATCAGTGTAACTAAATATTTTTAACAACTTAGAAAATTTTACTGATCTAACTACAAATATATGATCTACCTCCATTGCCACAAATAAATCTTATCCCTCTTTTCAGTACTACACACTGTAAAATACTACCATTTATTGGATTAAATCATCTAACCACATTTATTTCATATTTCGAGTGAATACTAAAAGTTATTTCCTACAAAAGTTTCTTACAGGTAACACTGTTAGAATGTTGCTTTAAAAATATCAGGCTCGGACTGTCTGATATGCACAACATGTCATGGTCAGGATAACTTTAATAGACAGAATATACAGTAACCACCAACTTAGATACTAATTAGACTATTAGTAATAGAATAATCTGTTTAAAAATTTAAGATGTCTTGCTTGACCTATAATAATTGACTGTTTTTATCTTACAGTAGTGTATCCCTGTACAATTTTTGACATACCAAAGTAAATAATCATTTACAATAGTGGAATGAACTTAAAAGCTCAGTATTTGTGATCCAATCTTTTACATTATATTTCACTCATTTGAAACACCATGTGTACTCTAGAATCAAATGCATAGGCTTTTCTAAACAATAAATATTGTGAAATCACCAATACTCTTATTCATGAATATAGCATAAAATGCTCCCTACTACAATTTAATAATGTCTCAAGAACGCTAATAGCTTATGTGCTTATTTTCAAATCCTTAATAAGTATCATGTTATCACAATAACACTGCCCTTACTGGAACTGGTATTATGGAGTTAAGATTGTAATTTTTTAAATTACTTACATAAAAGAAAGAAAGACAATATAAAGAAAGTTTTAAACTAGTTTAATAAAGTTTATTGAATAATAAACTTGTTCCATGATGCTTCAATTAGATGTACTTTTTGCAATGATAGCAATTGATTCTGTCTGGACTCTGTATTACTATTTTCAACACTCAATTGCATTGTAATGTGTATGCATACCAAACAATGTCAAGAACTTATGTACATTATTCAATTAAAGTTGAACATTTCGATCAGAATCAACTCAATGAACTGTTAAAAAGTTGCGCACTTTCGTAATACTACTTACCTAAACAAGAATAAAGAAATCAACTTTCAATATAAGTTGTAATTGTTGAATTGTATTTCAACGTTTATTAAAGATAATGCAGTGTATGACACACCCCCAAGTTTCATAATAACATGAGTGACTGATCAATCTTACGACTGGTGACACAACTTTATCAGTGAGATAAACATGCATTTAATAATGTCTATGCTTAGGAACAAAGTGCTTTCATTCGCTCAAGGCAAATCAAAATCATTGTTGTGCATAACTTCAATCAGTTATCTTATTTGATAAAAAGATTTTTCCCATTCATAGGACAAAGTAGAGCTCTATTAATTTATTATGAACTATTAAAAAAACCAGCTGTAACTTTTACCAATGTATCATGAATGTTAAATGAAAAGCTAGTCATTATTTTTAACCCAAATTAGTGCAGTGTGAGTAGTTTCTTACTGCAAACTGATGATTCAAATGTGTATTTTATTTATAACAATAGGCTAAAAATAAGTTATTTGGACATTATTCACATACTAATCAAAATTTTTGCTTATATAAACTTTTTAGTCTATTCAAAATCAGGCCTATATAGTACAAAAGTTATCAAAACACGGTGTTTGTATCCTGTAAACAATTTGTCATGTATTAGATACATGTGTGGCACAGATAAAGTAATTTAAATTCAGAGTTAACATTCTGGCTTCAGTGCAAGAAACTCGAATGTTTCATAATCCTTGCATGTGTATGTATGTGTCATTGAACTCCTAAACCTCTGCACTGAGATTGATGTAACTTTTCGTGTGTTTTTTAGCAGATTCTTAATTGCCGTTAGGTTCACAATGAAAGCCATAAATGGGAAATAATCTTTTGGATCCTCACGTGACACGTTATATTCCAATAATAACTAAATATTCTATATTATTATTTTTTCCATAGTCTCTGCCTACCCCTTTGGGAGACAGGTATTATGATTTGTATGTATTATTGATGTCGTTATAACTATAATTATTTGACTCACAATTTTATAGACAATTCACGTTATCTGCAAGTTTTCTTGATTATTGAGGAAAAGTTTATCAAGTTAATCTTTGTTAATAAACAAACAATAAAAAACTTAGATGCCAAAGGTAAAATGAGTTGAGTTGAGTAGGTATCTAACAATTATGTGGAAAACAACCAGTTTATTTATATCATTGTTAAGATTTCAAAGGTTAAAAAAAAATATTCATTTAATTCTTTGCTATATTCATATACTAGCTGTTACCCGCGACTTCGTTCGCGTAGAATAATGACTTGTGGCAGAATTTAGGCTTTTGAATTAGCCTTTATCAAAGGCTATTCTACGGCAACGAATGTCGTCAGAATTGATGCAGTACCTAGATTAGAGCTCCTCCCCCGTAGATGATAGCGTGATCATATGTAGCCTATATGTTGACCCAACTTGTTAGTATTATTATACTTATCGAGTAGGTTGCGCGACATCGCCGCGACCGCGCACGCTGCTCATGAGGAAGAACCCCTCTGTGACTTCGAAACTAGTAGAGCTTTTCTCAGTATATTCACATGATTAAATATTCGTTGTGTTTAAGGCTCTGATTAACTAACAAACTATATTAGTTATTAAGTTGGGAAAAACTGCACTTAAAAGACAGTCAATAAGGCATTAAAGTAACGTAAAAAGAAATGAAATTATACATACCTGTTATTACTTATATTTATATAATTTTATTTAACAAGAATACGGAAGTAGCATTCCAGAATTTCCGTTTTCAGATAACCTTATTGTCGTTATCAGCAAATACCAAGATCACACCGGACACAATACAGAATTTTAAAATCGAAAATGAGTACATGAGAACTAAACCCTTCAGTTAGTCAAATTATCCAGTGAACTTTTATACAATTTGGTGAACACATACTAATGACGTGCTTTCTTCGTTTTCAGCAAATGGAAAGGTTTAAAGTAGTGGAGCGGGAGACGAAAACGAAGGCGTATTCCAAGGAAGGGCTGGGCGCGGCGCAGAAGCTGGACCCTGCGCAGAAGGAGCGGGAGGAAATGTCCTCGTGGCTCGTCTCCTCCATCGACGCACTTAATTTACAAGTAAGTGCTGACGGGGCGCGCCACACGCAACTGACAATATCGCTCGAGCGTATATTGGCGAGGTATTGTTGGCTTGCGTACTGCACACCTAGGAAACAGATAGACATAGAACTAGACGACAATATTAACTAATCTAACAATATACGCAGCCACTAATGTCGATTTAATCATTGTTACCTTGATTTGACACTGGAGCCCGAAATTAATATTGAATCTCAATCCCGATCTCCCAATCTTTATTCTATGATTTGTCCTCTAAATTAAGGACAAATTGAATAAATGGATTGGCAATTGGCAATTTGTAAACTGAACCAATCAATTTAAATGTCAAAATTTTGATTCAGATGGACTATGAATTTCGGACGCTTGGTGTGTATAATTTGTAAATAAGGAAAGTAAAATGACTTACATGATATCGAATAAAGTATCGATCAGTTTGAGCAACAGTTTAAAGTATCGAGTACATGGTCTAAGAGCTCACTAAGCATCGCAACCATCATATCGATACTTGCTTCGAATCCTGGAGCCACGAGCAGGCAGATTGAAAATACGCTCTCACTCTTTAATTGTCATTCTGAGTAGAAGAAATAACAACTAATGTATTAATCTGCTTTGCCAATAATGTTCTCGGATAGCTTCTAACGGTGCGCGATTTGACGGATTCGCACGCTATTACAAGCAAAGTACACCCAGTTGCCTATGAACGATCAAAAGAGGAACGTGCGACACAGTGTCCTGCCACGGAGCACTGCGGTTGACATTTCTTTGATCCGCAATAGGGTGTAGTGCTAGTGACATGAGTGCATTGCTTGTCGGAAATCTCTCACCTTCAGAAGCCACTTGTATGAATAATCTGAATTTATAACATCAATTACCGATTGTATTCTTCAAAATTTAAGTTTACCGAATAGACAGATTTTCACGGTTATGTAATGTACAAATCGTTTATCTGAAAATCTGTTTATCGGTGCAACGCTACGTGCCGCAACGTTACGGCGCCGGCGGCTTCGCGACTACTCGGTCGTATGCCGCCGGGCCAACCAAATGTCGCGGGGTCATCGGTTCTCGCTCGAGTCCACGTAGCAGCATCGCGCGCCAATTGAAACTGGTGTGTAGTCTAGTTAACGTTTGCGGGATTGTCAAACAATTATGCCAATTTTGAGTTAACTTGTTTGACAATTCCTGGCAATCTTTAGCGTAGATCGATGTTATTGGTGTTATGATAGCTGTAAGTTCCTATCACTGTTATGGCCTGTGGCAGATGGGGTAGTCACGTTTCTATCAAATAAGATTTTCAATTCACAAAAGACTAAATGATTACTATGACAATTATATCAGTTGACTGTCTCTGGTCCCCGTATAACAGCTGTCACACCAACTCTCATCGATCAGACTTGACACCAGTGAGATTCTCTGTAGAAAGCTTAAGTTCATCAGTGTTGTCGTCCAAAATATTGCTTTGCCTTTGGTAATATTGAATGCGATGTGCACTTCCTAAACCAAGCTGGCCAGTTTCCGCTTATTTATCAATGTTACGTAGAAGCTCTATTTAAAGTAATCTTTACATAACATCAACGTGCCTTTTATTCCCTGAGGGAGCAGGCAGAGGTGCATGTATGAATGTCACACCAATTTTTTAGCGGTTATGTTGGGAGTCTCATGGGCAAGTCCCTTATAGAATTTCAAAATTCGAAAAACCTAAAACTTAAGTTCCTCGAATGTTCTTACATTTCGGCCATTTGACCACCCCAACCACATAGACACGACAAACTAAAATGTGCCTTAATGCCTCAGTGGTTACTGGGCGACACATCATCAGTCAGTATTTTACGCACATTGTCTCACTATGAAAAGTAAAATAAAATTACAGAATGAATAGATGTGGTGGTCAAAAGGTTATACATGTGAAAGAGGTCTTCTTGTAATAGGGATGTTTCCAACTGTGTCAAACTCAACACATATTGCATCGTAAGACTACAAACTGTGAAGTCATAGCTTTTGTGTATCATCTGTCATAATTCTTCCTCACAACTTACCTAGAAAATTAAAAGTACAACGCATGCAATCTAATCAATGGATGAAACTGTACTCTTGACATATTTCAATGTATTGATAAGCTGAATTCATTCATTTTGACTTCGGAAACATCCCAACTGCCTGTTTGTCGTATGTTTGGAACTGATGAATGGTAGCTGTGCGGTAACATCTACTCGTGTCATAATACTAATGGTATGTTAACGATTGCAGGTTGATCAATTTGAGTCTGAAATAGAGTCACTGCTAGTGGGTAAGAAGAAAAGGTTGGACAAAGAGAAACAAGATCGGATGGAGGAACTGAAACTGAAGCTGGAGAAGCACAGGTTCCATATAAAGAAGCTAGAGACACTCCTGAGAATGCTTGACAACATGTCTGTCGAAGTTGAACAGGTTGGTACTAAAACCTTTTTTCATTTTGAAATTATTTCAGGCTATTTTACAGCATTCAATGTCTCTGTAAGCAGTTTCGAAACTGTTTTTCTGTATAAGTTTTTGTATAACCACACTTTCGACCATTCAGTTGGTTTGATTTTCTATGCTATAAGTTGCAGTCTATACATACTCAAAAACCGTATCGCCACTCTTGAACAATGGCGTCTAATCGAGCGAGGAATTGCGACAATCCCCACACACAAGGCATTCACAGTTGCCTTGGGATTTACAGTTAAATGAGTGATAAAACTATCTTATTAGACTAGAGGACAGTGGTGTCCATCCCTCTGTGACTAGTCACAGTTTTGATGTACCCAGAACCAAATTCCCTACAAAGGACTGACAATTTTGTCGATTGTCATGTTTGTGCGCTTGCGCCGATGTATAAATGGTTCTACAATTTAATTAAATGATATTTGATATAAGAAAATATCTTTCCTACCTTATTTATAATATTTTTCTTTGATTTCTTGTATATCTATGTGTAATATGTTGCTTAAAGACAATCTTTCTCAAGTCTAAGCAGGTGCATGTTGTATTGCAGATAAAAAGGATAAAGGACGACGTGGAGTACTACATCGACTCGTCACTGGAGCCGGGCTTCGAGGAGAACGAGTACATCTACGACGACATCCGCGGCCTCGACGACATCGAGCTCAGCGGCGTCGGCCTGCCTTCCTCCGCCACCACCGACAGCAACAACAGCAATGACTCCGCAGGATCTCCCACTAGCATGCTCTCAGGTACCTCAACACACGATAACAAGCTAACCTTCCTAGATAAACGCTCTAAAAACTAATACTAACTCTATAGTAACCAAAAACTAATAAAAGAAATGCGTGCAGGTGACGTGACGTAGCTAATTTTTAACAAAGCATGCCCCGAACAAATGTTTTACGCCTAGTCATTTCCTATGGATAAAGGGTGACTGACTTACTCAAAGTATTGACGCATTTTTCCAATATAACATTTACTAACGTAATAGACTAAATTGTAACAAAACATTTTGTTTGATGTTGTTACTAATTACTAATCCCAATTAATTGATAGCTTAGTCTTGATAAAGTTCTGTTAAAGATGAACAATGACATATTACATCAAAGTTTATTTCATACAAAATTTGTTCTACAATGACATATCGAAAGGCGTCTAATGTAAAGAGTTTATTTAAAAAGTATCGTATCTTTTACTTCCAGGTACAAGTCCAGTAACATCACCAACGTTAGAGGTACACAATCACTCAACAGATTCCATAGACGTCGAAAAAAAGAAAAAAGAAGAGATCATAACCAAAGTGAGTATACACACGTCATACCTACCTCATACCATTACACATATATTTATATTATCCATTATCTTGTCTCTTTTACTGCTACGTGGAGTTTTGATGTGGATTTTCCAAATTGATACTTATGTACGATTAGTTTTGGGTTCTAAATAGACAAACGAATGTTCACTACTAATTTTCGAAGATATCGAATCTTAGTAGGTCTCGAATCTTTTGTTAATATCGCTAATTCGTTACATTAGTTTTCGTATAAAGTTACACGTTAACCCAAATGGTTTTTCATGTAAACTTTAATAGGATTAGTTCGCTCTATTCTCCTGTCCATGTTTATTTATCAAGTAGCTTATACTTGCGATACCATCTCTTTGAATCTGATATATCGTAACAGGAAAATAAATACAATAATTATGTATTTTAAACCAAAATATTAGTCCAAATAATCTACATTTATAATCTATTGTCCTTATTAAATATGTATTTGATATTATGAAAACTAACTAAACTTTTATCATGTCTAGAACAACATGGGCGTATATTTAAACACCAAATTTACAAAGAGATGCATGCCGTTCTATGTTTTGTTATATTGTTTATAACAAATGTTGTTATATCTCACCGCTGTGTAAAGATGGTGTGCTCACTTACGCCCTTTTTGTTCTAGGTGTGCGATTTGTCTTTTTCGCCGACAATACACTCAAACTTGGTAAGTGCTTTTTCAATATTTTATTCCTAAAATATCAATCTCATATCTATATCTCAAATTAAAATGATTTGAATTGGTCCTTCTGTCCAAATTTCTCAAAAAGTCATGTAAAAGTCATGTTTTCTCATCTAAAATGTCAATTTGACAAAATATTAATGATTACCTAATCTCTAAAGCCAGAAAATTCCCTTTAACCTGTAGTATGCCGGAGCGTAGATCTACGCGAGACACAACGTATTTAGTATTGTGTCTTACATACGCATACAAGAGGTTAACAATAGTTTTTACGAACCCAAAACCAATCTGGAGCGAGTTTGTGTAAAATAATGTGTGATATATTTGCGTTTGCATTGCAGCCGGTAAAACCGCTGCCGCTGCGCGCGGGTAACGCGGGCGCGGTCAGTAACAGCACGTGTAACGTTAGTTCCTTGCTCAATAACTCCGCAGCATCCACCAATAGGTCAGTCCACTGACACAAGTCTATTTATTACCACCTTTATTGTCATTTACCCACATATACAGGACTGTTTTAATGAGAGAACGATATTCCTCGTTCGAAATAAATAAAGATTTTAATTCGAAATCTTTGATTCGATCTCGGGTCGATTCTCTATACACCTAAATGTCAAATATCGAACTTAAAGATTTCGGATTTCTATAATTTCGACCGAAATACAGCTTTCACCTGGATACGATAGCTTGTCACAGCAACTTACTGATTCAGAATATACTAAAAGTAAAGCTTTCCGCTTTAGATAGTAAGTAGTATAGTATCTTACGATGTAGAAATTTTGCAATAATATGTTTGTGTGACAAGTATTGGAGACTGTAAAAGCTTTTTCTGATCGAAATTATAGTTGCGGCTTAGCGAGATTATTTTCCTAAGCGGTGCTTGTATCTTTTCTATCGGCTAACGTTAAATATAGTTCAAGGAGGTTTACAGATCACGAATTAGATTAAAAATACCATATCTATATAAAAACTATTGAAAATATGAATGTCTAATGTCGGAATACTGAAACGCTACTCAATTTTAAGTCGTGCTTAAATATCGTGCCATCTATGTCATTTTACAAAGAATTTGTGGAGACAGAACTATACTTGAGCGCGTCTTAAAATTGAGTAGCGTTTCAGTATTCCGACATATGATTTATATTCGGACACATACCTCCCGAAACTTTATTTAATATTTTTACTCTATTGTTTCGTATCTACAGGTTAGTTGCTATGTAAAGTAAGTCATTGTAATGCATGACTTAAAATCTCTCATTAAAATAATTGTCCTGCACACTCGAATATGTAGATAAAAAATAAAATTCACATAAAAATGAGAATACAAAAACGAACTGGCCTTAAACTTAAATTTTTTTGTTCTCATTTCGTTGCGCGCATGATTCAAGCTCATTCTAGAATAATTATCATACAATCTGAATTATTATTAGACAATTTGTAGTACGGAATTGCTATTTTGTACAATAAGCTTATGAAGTTACGTAAATATATTTGGCAAACGCATTTTAATCGCACAGCTTTTCTCTATTTATTTTAAAATATTCCACAAATAACCTTAAACTTCATGCTTGGCGCGTACAAAATTGCCGCCGAACGTAACCTATAAGCTTATTGTAAGGGCAGTTAGCGACATCTCTTCAAATCTCAATGAAATATCTAGCAGACGTAGTCGTGACGCAGGCTGCATTGCACACTGATCTCTGCGATGCAAGCAATACGTTCCAAAGTCTATTAGGTGACAGCACTGGATGTGCATACTAATAATTTATACATGCCATTTATTGATTTTATGAGATTCTATTTATAAAAGATAGTGTAAGTGACTTAGCAGTATCGGACGCACGTTTTCGTTTGTGATAAGAGTTTCGTTTGATGTTGGCAGTTCTTATTGTTGAATTCGCGTGTTTCGTGCGCTCAAACAGTTTGTGCAGTGTTAGTAAACATGGAAATGTTATGAGACCGTCAACAAGTGCCCGGAGTTTTCAAGGACGTCGGGAGATGTTCGGTTTTCACTTTCCCCGTGTTTAGTGTTGAAGTGAACGTGATGTTATCGATTTACGCTTAGATTTAGTTACGTATAACTGTAACTGTGCGTAGTTAGGTACCTATATGAAATTAGTCGGTAGCTGTGATTGAATAGAACGCAACAAGTGGTCTAGTTTCGCGTCGGGATCATTCGAGGTGACTTTATTGTTAACGAGCGGTCCGACCTAGTGAGTTGCAACTTCCCGTAGGAAAATTCTGGAGATTAGTTAGTGAGTTGTTAGAGTGCGCGTGCAGTAGATGTGCATTGAGATAGAAGGGATGTCGCGCGCGGGCCGCGGGCGGGCGCGCAGTGGCTGAGCGGAGCGTGTATGTGCAGTATAAGCAACAGCACGGGCGGCGGGCCGGCCGCGTCCAGCTGCAGCACGCCCAGCAAGCCGCCGCCCAGCTCGCCGCCGCACCACCACGCGCGACACGCCGCCACCAACTGCGCCAACACCTCCACAGGTCAGTACCACGGACTCTTTGAGCTATACTACCTTAATACACGTGTTATTATATGGTTTGTCAATTAATAACGTGTTACCGTTGTATCTAAGTGCATGTTCAAGTTTAACTAATGCCAATTTTTTACGATTTTAAAGATTCTTTTTGGAATGTATGATGTTCATACAGCTGTGTATACTTAATACTTGTGTTTACCTAATACCTAGTATGCTAGCTTAGAAAATAGATTAAACTATTCGGAAGGTTTGTAGGAAATTGTGCTCTTTAAATATCTGAATATTTAGTTTTGACGTTAATGCAGGTCATGGTCAGTTACACGTAATTCGATTTTGTTGTTTTATAGCGAAACATTAACGAATATAAATCCACATGATGCTGTAGGTTTTATATTTACTAAATTTTCCTTTATTTATTTAAAGAATTGGCAGAAATTTTGATTCGCTGTAAACGAGGAAGTACCCACACAGCAACACATGACTGACAATAGAACTTGCCAAAATATATTTCATTGATTGTCAGCCGGAATACAGAAATAGCCCTTTACTGTCCGCGCCTCATCTTCGAACATAAATGTTTCCACACGCCGCGCCGCCAAATTATTATTGCGGATATTCCCGTTCATGTTAATCGAAATAAATATTATTAATTGGCACTTTAACCGCAATTTCCGGCTGCAGCTTCAATAGCCCCCATACCAGCCCAGCACCGTGCGACTTCCTCCACGTTCGATAACAAAGCAAACATACGCAACCCGCACATAATTAAAAACACACGTTATCATTACAACTAAACGCGATAACGTACGCTGCCATTGTTTACAAAATAAACAAAACGTTTATCGTCGCGAATGAATGGAACACGGCGACCGACAAACTCATTACGAAAACGATTAATCGTACATTGGCATTCCGCCAATATTCGTAAAATTTGCTAAAAACTGGCGGTAAGCCAGAGCGATGACATGGCGAGAGCGTCGGTTCAGTCGCTAGGCTGTATCGGACGAGACCTGTGCCTAACTTTAGAAATAATTAAGAAAACATAATAACAATGGTTTCCCGCGCGAATGTACGATAAAACTATGGACGATGGTAAAGATATTGGTGTGGTGTGTTGTGTGTGCATGTATCGTGGCGGCAGTGGCGGCGGCAGCCTCAAGTAATGCCGCTACAACTGCGTAGTTTCATGTTTTGTGTGGTTTCTGTGAACTTCAATGGCAGTTACATAATATTTTTGTCATGGTGTGTTGCTTGTTTATGGGAAACATTTATTGTTTTGGTCTTCTTGACGATTTTTGTTGAGAGGTGAGCGGTGGCCCGGACGAGGCCACGTCAGCTTTTTGTAAGCATCTAGATGTTACAAGTCGATGGTTACAAAGATAAGATAGCTTAGATTGCATGCCACTTTACATTGTATACGTGGGCACAGAACAGCGACAACATTGAATGAAATCATAACAGTGTTGTTTGCATTTTGACAGTTGTTGTGTCACTAATGTCAAATCTACGTTTCGAATCTCGTAGAGTTGGCACAGCAATGCGATTGTGTTTGTTAAAAAATTCGCAGTAAAATAAGAGTTAACTAAACATTACATTATTAGTAAATGTTTTAATTATATTGCACTGTATTTTATTTTTACTAACAGTTCTAAATACATTTGGATGTGATTGGCTTTATTTTAACCAAATTAACAAATCATTATTTAGTTTCTGTCTTAAATACTTTTCTAAGCTAAATGTAGCGTAGTAAACAGCATTACAAAGTCAAAATGATAATATTTTTGTACAACGTCGTTGTTCGATCGACCGTTGCGATGCGTCAGAATTGAGAACGACATTTTTGACTGAATCATGCTCTTTCTAAACATGTTGACATAAAAATAATATGACACAAATTCTTAGCATCTTTGTCTCAATATCGGGGCAATGTATCTCCATTAGTTTGATAAATATAGGTGCTACTATGTATGTGTAATCTCGGGGTGAATATAATCTTTATTTTTAATGTTTACTTTGAATTTGAATAGGCTTTACAATTACTCTCATAGGTGTACAGTTTTGTCTATGAAGAATAAAGAAACAATGAAATATTTAGTTAGCTTTTATTGGAGTTTTGCCCATATCAGTTTTAGATTTATTAATTTAGATTATGTCCCGAAAGTAACTCAATAGACAAGTTGGCTACAATTTTAGTCAAAATAAAACCCAAATATTTACCAAACGCTAGAATTCAATTTAGATTTGCATCTGTGTAATTAAAAACACAGTAAATGAATCCCCAGGTTACCTGTGTACTAGTTTGCTTTAGCTAGAAGTTACAATACAAAGTAGGTCAGCAGGCTATCGATCGCCTCCCTCCCTCAATATTAATTACCCTTATTTGTATTAGATATGAAGGCTATGTGATCTGTACAGGTCACTCGACTACTGGTTTATGATAGGTATTCTGATCATATCTTTTTGAATAATATATGCCTAATAATAGTGATAAAAAAAGCAGTAAAACTTTAGAAAACTTAGTAGCCAAGATTACTGTATTCTTGTACAAGTTCAAGGATGATAGAATACGAATCTACACTTCGTTTAGAAATTAGCAGCGAGCTATTAAGATTATATAAACTTTCCGCTCTATAATACGGATGGTTTACGCACAAATTACATCAGATTGTGAGTGCGTAACGTCGTGACCATGAGGACATAGCGCAACATTCAATATCCTTTACATCATTGTAAATTATTCTAAATTAATGCATCTGTACTGAAAAATTGAGTATTCAGTCATACAAGTCACTTGAGTCACACATCACATTTACTTTATAAACACAAAATTACGTTGAAATCCATCAATTTACGGATGACCCCGAAATTGAGACTTCACTACGCTTTTGAGTCACGCGAACAACGTTTGTGAATTATCTGAATGCTAATTCGTAATTAGTTTGTTTGTAAACATACAATTTAGCATTTGGCCGCGTTGTATTGTCTGGGACTACAACTGTACGTATTGTGTTCATTATGTGATTGTCATGTTAATGCCCATTGCGTCAGATAATCTTTGTTCATTCATGTGCAAAAAATACAGAGTATTCTTATACATATAACGTTATCTGTTGTATTTTTTGAAAGCATTCTGCAATTAAGTGCTTCTATTTGTTTTAAGTTTAATAGCTGTGTAGGAAGGATCTATAATATGTTACTAAAGATCTAAATAAATGTCATTGAATAGTTTGGATACTAATGATATTCTTATTCACCTTATTCCATAATTTATACTTCCTTCTCACTAGATACATAATTAAATTGATGTTCTATTTACTGACATTAAACTATGATGCACCAATATTCAGTACAATAATGCAAGTGTCTGTATGAACATAGTTAGATCTCATACGTCAATATTTCTTATAGGAAAACGGTTATATATCGGTAATACAATATATTATGAACAATTTTCTTAGTACGTTTACACATTATGGACCGTGAAATTGATTGTTAGACAGTAGTGCCCTTACGTGTAACGTACCCGCGGCTGGCGTAGTAGTAGCGCGGCGCGCGGCGTGAGTCAGCGCCACGTGCGCGCCTTGCGTGCGACTCTCTGTTTGTAAACACGCCGCATCGATAACCGCTCACGTTTTACGATGCCGTGTCCTACTCGCTTCATGGTCTGCCGTGATAAACTTCATTTATGGTGTTATGTGTCATACTAATCATTATTCTAGGTAATAATTAAATTTGTTAGTAGTATTAAAAATTTACCAGCTGTATGAAACATTATCAATGTAATATAGTTAGGTTTGTGATACTACGAATCCAAAATGAAACTTCGTGCGAAGAATCTTTTTGAATTACATAATGTCTTTTTTTTACATTTTTTTTACATAATGTCTACTAATTGAAGAAATGTTCTTTTAAACTGTGTTTCTGTTTACTAACCATTCCTTGTGTTGTGTTGCAGAAGTAGTGGAGAATGGTCCGGTGTCGACGACGGCCGCGCACACAGCGCCCCACCTGCCGGCGGCGCCCACGCAACCTCCGCCTGTCAGTACTGCATCTGTATCTATACACTACCACTATTTATCTTCCTTTCATTCGCTGAAACATTATGATACAATAAGATTTTCCGTTTTCACAAGATCTATTAAAGCATAATATAAATTATCAGCTTGCTTCCATCTACTGCTGAACAATGGCCTCTCCAATAACACGAAGCTTGATGTCTAGCCCTTCGCATCCAACTCCTACCGTGTCATACATATTATAGAACAAAAATGGAACACCACATTGGTAACAAATAAGTCTTTATTTATCATCAATTGAATGTATTAATTCCTTACAATATGTTTACAGACGTCAAAGAGTTCGTCAGTACCTCTACTTGGTTCGAGCGCGAGTGCGAGCGAAACAGCGCCATCGCCCCTTACCGTCAACGGGCCTAGCCAACCGCCGCATCATACGCCACAACATGTTGCTAACAAGTAAGCACAAAAACACTAAATGACTCAACTCTCTAAAAAAATTTGTCTTAAACAAGCAATTATAGCTATTTTGGTGTGTTACACACCAAAATAGCTATAATTAATTCTAAACACTAAATATTTAGTGCAATAATAATAATTTTTTTATTAACAACATTTAAAAAAGCCGACCACCAGCTCCACTTTTTTTGAAGTCGATTAAAAATAAACATATTAAAGACAAGATCACTACACGAATCTCAACTTTAAAATACAGCTATAACTCATATTTCTAGAAAGATTGCAGTTGCAGATTGGTAAATAGCTCGACAGTGTCAGGACAACAAGCGTACTGTAATGTCAGGTTGAGCGCTGAGCGCTGTAACTAGGTCGCCGCGACCTCTCTGCGAGGCTATAAAGGGAATCTCTATTGTAAATGGATAATGGGTCTATCTAGATAACTACGTAGTTGCATTCGAGCCACTGCTCGTCGTGTGCAGAATTGCCAGGAAACTATTGTTGACATCCTGATTTAGAAGCTGGGTTTGAACTGGGTAGAGTTGTGGTAGTTAGATGCATGAATTTGTAATATGATTTGCGAAAAGAATATGAACTAAGTTTAATCATTCCATAGATTAAGAAAATAATACACAACTTTATGTTGTTGAAAACAAAAATTAGCATTCAATTTAAACATGAGATAATTTACCAATACTAAAATAGAAAGAAAAACAGCCAGTAATTGCAATACTGTATGGTAGAAATACAACCAGGATTAATACGTCATCTTTTCACATAAAACTTTCAAATACTTTTCATCTCGTCAATAAGAAAACCATTTAAACTTCATAAATCATAAATCTTAAATAAATCGACATAGCCTTGAAACAAACTACACGCGAATCCTTTCATTTTCTACAAGGCCAGCGAAACTCCTGTCGCCGGGAATTGGGTCGCTTTATGAACTAGTTTCTCATAATCAGGTCACGGGCTGTAGGACTAGGTTATTGGGTCAGGCTACAGATGGTACAAGTTCACTGGGTTAGATAGACTAGAACATTTATTTATACAAAGAGGTCTACCCTTTTAGTAAGTTATTAATATTGATGTGCTTGTATTGATTGGGTTAAACAGAGATGTTTAAACTTTACTTGAGTTGTTGTTAAAAAACTTTTTTGAAATAACAACGCAAGTTTTTAGTTATGAATGACGGACTAGCAAGTAGCAAGCTTGTTTAAGGGAACAGAACGAGGAACTGGCCTTTGTATTCTTTTTTAAAAATATAGGTTTTCATTTGTAGTAATTTTGATTTAGCTACAAATTATATTGAAATGTTATCATTAAATGTATTTATTGCTATCTGGTATTTAACGTTGAGTTTCTATGTATTTGCAGTGGTAGAGTGAGTGAAGCGTCGAGTACAGGCGGGCGCGGCAGTAGCGCGGGCGCGGCCACCGCGTCACTGAAGAGCATGGCGCAGGAAGCCGTGCAACGCGCCGGACTCGATCAACATCACCCACAGGTATACTCGTTATCTAACTTACCAGTCTCCTTACACCTTACAAAAATAGGGTGATATTGTGAATGGATACAACACTACCACTTTAGATCTAAAATCTTCTGGAAAGTATGAAGTGTATAAGTAAATATAGAACATTTCTCCATTTTAAAATTTTCTTCTGTATCTTGAGCTTGCTGAGTACTGAGTAATCATCACATTTGGAGTCGGATCAATAAGTTGTGAATTTAATAAAGACTTTTTCGTACGAGATTCTTATCTGTGACACATTATACAATGGCTCCAACAACTATGGAGTAAAAAGAAAATATTGGTCCAATATTTTAAAGTTATTGTTGTATGTTACAGAACCTAAGACGAGGGGCTCCCCTAGCGCAAGCGCACATTCCTCCGTTACTGGGCGTGGCACCGCTAGGCCCACTACCACTCAACTCTGTAAGGACGTCACTGAGTTTACTAAACTATACATACTAATCCTTTAGATTAACAACTCTCTATTCTTTTAACAGTTACTTAGTACACCTTACTTTAGTAGGTATTACATTCTGTTCTGTACGGGTTCATATCTAAATTTCAAATAAGAATAAGAATTTCATAAATAGTTCGAAGATTAGAAGACATAAGTCTACACTTTTGAAGAAGCAAAGAAACTTGACATGAACCTACAAACAGTGATTTTTACAATCCTTAGGTCTATTTAAAATGAAATGTAATTACATATTTGTCTTTTACTTCTGGTTACTGGAAATAATTTACATTATTCGTTCGGTACAAACTAACTGCACGTTGTCTTTCCTACACAGAAATGTATTGATACTAGGCACAGTGGGGTTACCTTCAATAGCTGTATCACTGCCTTATCAAATTAATGATACTGATATGTTTCCAGGAACATCAGCTACAGTTCCAAATGTTGGAATCATCGTTCTACCACATGCCGCACCCGTCCGACTCGGAAAGAACGAGGGTATATTTACCGAGAAATATATGCCCCACGCCGATATACTACAACCAGGTCAGTGGCCGCCGGGGGAAGGGTACCAAGTAGTTTGCATGCCGACGTTAGCTGGGACCTTACAGGGCGTCGAAGGTCGTTAGGAAAATGCAAATAACACTTGCATCATTTATCTGTGTCGGTAATGTAAGCGGGTACATCCGCAGGTGCTGCTCCCCCATTCGGACTCCGTGGAGTTCTTCCAGCGACTATCGACGGAGACATTGTTCTTCGTGTTTTACTACATGGAAGGCACGAAGGCACAGTACCTCGCTGCCAAGGCGCTCAAGAAGCAAAGCTGGCGGTTCCACACCAAGTACATGATGTGGTTCCAGAGGCACGAGGAGCCCAAGGTCATCAATGAGGAGTATGAACAGGTAACTAAAGATTTACAATTATTAGGAGCAGTAGAGGATATTTGTTTTAGAAATCTAGTGATATAATCGAAACGTCTGGTCAAGTAGTAATGATGTGCGTGTATGTTTGCAGGGCACATATATCTATTTTGACTATGAGAAGTGGGGCCAGCGCAAGAAGGAGGGCTTCACGTTCGAGTATAAGTACTTAGAGGACCGTGACTTGAACTGAGCGTGTCAGTGTCCAGCGCCGCCGCCGCCCCCGTCGAAGCAGTATTGTCCGCCGACGCCGCGGCCGTCGCCGGCTCCAGCGAGGCTGTGTCCGTGCACTACAGATCTGAATACCTGAAGCCTGAGTGTGACTCGATGCATGAAGTGAATGCCGCGTGCAGTGTGTGAGATATGGCGTAGTGTACAGTGCACCGCAGGAGAGGCCTGTATCCCGCAGTGGACTCAGGGCACGGACCTCGCGGCCGAGACCTGCGACTGCGCCGCGGGCGTTAACTAAACTCTTACAAAATAGTGTATTTGAACATATTCTGGCAGTTTGTAACATGGAATAAGTTGTGAGGATTGCAAGTCAGTTAGTATTGAAGCCGAAGTGTTTGTAAACTGTACACAAGAACGAACAAGCGAAAGATAACGTGAAGATTAGTTTCAGCCATACAAGGTTGTTAGTAGCGAAACATGTGATATTGTTATAGGCGCCCGGGACGGCCTCGACCCGCGCGATAGTATCGGGGCCGCTGTACCGGCGGACCGGTCCCTGCACAATCCCTTACGTTCGGTTCCACGGAGTATAGTGTAGGCTTGTGTTCTTATGTCCTTGTGCAGTGACCGGCCTGACACTGGCCACCGATGACCGATGTGATGGAAATCTCCATAAAACGGCTAACGCACATTATAATTGTAGTACTTTTATTGGAGCATTTTAGGAGCGTATGGCTTTAATATATAATTTAATGAAATTAGCAGACGTATTAGTACGGACTGATGAGATTTGTTAAAGGAAAGAAGTTCGAGGTCGCCCCGGGTCATTTGTTTTTAAACTTGTGTATAGACATTGGAATAGTTTGAAATTATTTTAAGTGCCGGGGCATGCGCACCACGGCCGCTGTATTTGTGATCTTAATTTTTGTAGACTGACTAGTTTTCTTATAATTGTGATCAACGCTGGCCAGGGCCAGGGTTCAGTGGACGGGCATCAAACCGTGCGCGGGCGTAGTGCGCAGCGCCCTCGATACCTAAATATAACTACAATAAGGACCTCCAGTGTGATTTCATTAGTTTGCTAAGTAATACACTTTTTCACCTCTAAAATATGTATATTTTAGTTAGTGCATTTAAATTTGAACAAAAGTTAAATTATGTAAGAGCATGCATGTCACACTGCCAATGTATTATATTATTGGATAGTTATACGGTATATATATTTATATAAATTGTACTTATTTATTGTTTGTGATAAATTTACGTGATGCACCCGCACCGCTTTGTATCGAGGTGAAAGAGTATATTATCGAAGGTAACGTGAACGCGAGCGCAATAGTGCTACTGCCAGATAGTGAGTCACCAACACGTCTTGTTTTCCATTGTCCATGAGAGCATAGAAGTAATTTTGTATTCAATGAAGTAGTCGCATCCGCGTCGCGCAGCTCAATAGTTCGCGTCCCGGCGCCGCGTCGGTGCCGCACCGGCATCGTGTCGGTGCCGCGTCGGCGCCGCGCGGGGCGGGGACGCCGCGGCCGGTGGCTAGGGAAGCGGTGGGTGAGCGGTAACTGCGCGCGATCTCGTTTATTACGTGCGTAATGTTGATAGTTTTCACTTTTGTAAAAAGTCTATCGTGAGAGCAGATGAGATGTGGTAAATAATTTAAAAAATTATCTGTACAGTTCTATTTGTATAGAAATAATAAATAACGATTAAAAAAATTAAAAACAACGTTGTGATTTCTTCCTAAACGCTTAGTTTTAAGTGCGTCGGTTTTTACAAGTGCGCGCGCGCCGAGTTTAAGGGCGTGACGCGATTTTCGCATTTCTTTTTTTTAATTTATTTTTTTATAGAAAGAAATGACTGTTTACTTTTAGAATAAACTGTAAGAAAGCATTGAACACATTTGTTTCGTTTGAGGATCGCTCTGATTCCCAGTACATAATTTGATGTTAATATTAACACCGCACAAAACTGCATTGCAACTCTTCTAACCTTGCTTGATGATTACTGTTAATATTTTTTGTCTGTTTATTATGATATTCATAAGCTGGATGCAATCTACTAAAATGAAAGTTCAAATTTCGATCAGTGCCAGCAGCAACTAATTGCTGCATTTTTTATAAAAAGTTCTCAATGAATTAATTTCTAATAGTCATGCAACAATGAAAAATATTATATCCCTCTCTCCTTTCTTCCTCTCTATTCTAAGTAAAAGTGAAAGTGAAAAGTTATATTCTAGACGATGCGATGTTTTGCTAATAGCTGAAAGACTCAGGAGCCTACTGAAATAAATGGACACTTCATCTTGTAAGAGTTATGCTGACAACCGTGCAAGGTGCTAATACGGTATAAAATGGTAAGTTATAAAGGTAAAAGTGATTCATCAGGTATATAAAACAAATAAAATCACCAAGCCACGGGTTCAATCCCCGGGATTTGATAAAATTTCAGTCAATAATTATTGTTTTATAAAAGATTATAAACTTTACACTAATGGGACTTGATTGCATATTTTGCTTCATCGGCAAGTTGCGTACGACTACTATTATTCGCAAAGTTTTGGGTTCGAACCCAGATAATACAGATGTACAGATTACAGCAGATTGCTACTTCCTGCATCGGTAACAATGAAAAAGGAACACTGCAGCGGCGATCAAGAACAGAAGGCTATCTTGTAAAGATAAATAATATAACCATTTCTATACTTTTGAATGAAAATCAAATTGGCTTTAGCCATAATAGTCAAAAGTATCTCTTAATTCTTTCTTCCCTTCTCCACTTACGTTAGTGATAGAGAGAAGTAATCGATACGATAAAATTATAGAAAGTGTAGGAAAAACATCTCAATAAAGGCTATCCTTACTAATATTATAAATCGGAAAGTGAGTTTGTTTGTTCCACTTTCACGCCGTAACTACTAAACCGATTGCTTTGAATTTTTGCAGACGTGAAGTTAGAAGTCTGGATTAAATAATAGGGTACTTTGTATCCCGGAAAAATTTGATATTCTCGAGGGAAAACGAAATTATTGGTATAGATGGCGCTGTGTGTATTGGTATATGTCACATAGGCTACTTTTTATCCTTTTGTGACGCGAGCGAAGCCGCGGGTAAAAGCTAGTTTGTAATAAAATTCGTTTACATTTGTACCGAAATACTAGGAGTTCAATGACACTCATTATTGAAGCATTGAAGTATTTTTATTTAATAGTTAAATACATTGATTTATTTAAAATTCACTAGAGATCCATTTCTAAATACTACTTAAAAAAATAATATAAAAATAGGAGCCGACCAGTAGCGGGAGCATGGTCCAAGCTACCGGTGGTTAAAGCTTCAGAGACGATGGGCGCCATTTCAAGGAGAACTGCCTTCTGTATCAAGCCTTTGACCCATCCGCCCAATGCCAGCCTTGTAAGGTGGTTGTCGAGGCTGTTAGAAATTAATCCATTTACCGACACGACTATGAGCACAATGATAGCCAAATCCACACTCGATTGCCTCGTTGGCCGAGTGGTCGCAAGTGCGACTGCCGGGCAAGAGGTCTCGGGTTCGATTCCCGGGTCAGGCAAAGTATTACTGGGTTTTTAAAAATCTCAGTTGTAGCACGGAGTCTGTAAATGTGCCTGGTATATGGCAATAGGCTCACTTCATGGGACTCATAACATAAATAGTCAAAAGTGGGTGTTACATTGTACAGTGGCATTAATTGCCGTAATGAGCAAAGTCAAAGTCAAAATGATTTATTTCAATTAGACCAGGAAGGCACTTTAGAACGTCAACAACAAAAATTTTGAAGTGAAGCTAGTTGCTCATTCCAAGGTGTAGGTTCCTATGGAGAAGAACGAGTAAGAAACTCCATTTGCACCAGTTCTCTTTGTCAGGGATAGTGGAGTGAATCCATTGTCCACCGCTGCTACTTCTAGATGCATACCTTCGTTGACTTTCAGGAAATGAGTGCACACCTCACGGTTGTGAAGGGTCTTTTTTTTAAGGGGGGAAAATCATCGAATGGCTGCTCCCGCCTGGGTGAGGCGGGAGGGAGTGTCACTCTTACTGCCTAAAAACCACCCCGTTCCTTCTCCTGCACTTCGAGCCGGAACCCCGGTAACCCGTTAGGTTCTCCGCGACACCGAATGTTGTGAAGTGTCTACGCATTTAATAAGCGTCGACCACCACACTTCCGCGGGATGTATAACCTCATGATCGACGAACGAGGGTGATGCAAGCGATTTGCAGTCAGTAGTGTCCGGACTCGCCTATCCAGTGTCAAGTTCTATTTGAGTCCATTTATGTATGCCGAAAGAATACTTCAGGACTGGCATGACCCAACCGTCAAAGGCTTGCACCTTGTTTCCGTCTGAAAAGTTTCTTACTTTTGGCGTATTATGACGTCTTAAAGCCAGTGATTTCGCTGAGGGAACGAGATCTCGCTAGACGACTTGACTAGCTCTGTTTCTTTCCCTCAATGGAACCATTCTGAGTTTAGGGTGTCATAATAACCCTGCAGGTGGCCAAAGAAGCACTCCTTAACGATTGCTTCATATCCGGCCCATTGATTGCTAATCCTTCTGACATACCCAGGTACTTGTATCTATCGTTTACGCAGAGTGATCTCAGTTTTGTGAAATCTAAGAATTATGCAAATACTTTAATTTTATCGACGGATTTGCCCCAAAAGTTATCGAACCCTTGTATAGCAGTAAATAATGAACAGGATTGCAATTACATCCAAACGTAAACTACAACTGAACACAGTAAAGGCTGAATTAGCCGAACATACTAGATATGCCAACCCGTCGTGTGTCTAAACGTGGGTCCACGCAAGACACAATGTATTTTCTATTGTGTCTCATATTCAAGCGGCAGACAATACCCATTCATTGCGGCAGAGAAAATTAACTTTATATTTCAGATGTGGGGTGGTTTTCGTCTATAACGCTGATGGGCGTCCTCAGCACCTCAAATAGATAATATAACTGGTTTTTGCCAAAAAATATACAATTGTAAAAAACGCCGATAGGCTTGCTCCGCACCTGAATATGAAATAAAAAAACGCCGATAGGCGTCTGCTACAGTGAATGGGTTAAGAAGGAACGTACCCATACAGTCCGCGCGCGAGCTCCGAGGAATGTTAAGGAATGTTGACGTAATGAGCTAGAGTTGTGAATTAGTCGATATTGTGCTATCGATACTAACACATCTTAAGTCTCCGCGCGAGTGTAAATTAAGAAATAATTCTATGAGGGTAATATGTATTTGAAATAAAATAAAACAATTGTATCACGTATGTATTTAATTTAATGAACTGATACTTAATGAACAAATAGAACGTAAAATCCAATTAATCACTGTCGAAATCAGAATTATCAGTACTTGAAGAATTTGATGTACTATCGTCACTCTCCTCACGTACTTCAATAATAAATGAGTCGACAACATCCTCCATTAAGCCATCCTTTTTCCAGTAATGTTCCTCTAATGCTAAGACATGTTTATCATATCCACACCAATCTGCTGTTGTGACTTGCGTGATAGCATTTTCGGTAACCTCCTTCAGTCTCACCAGAGAAAAATCAGAAGTAATGTTATGTTCCCTCACGAGCCTTTTAACTTTTGCCCATGCGAGCTCTATTGGGTTCAAGTCGCACATATAAGGCGGTAATCGCAGTACATCGTGACCATGGCCTTTTATGAGTTCGTCCATTTTAAATGTTTTTTCTGGAGTCCTGTTTTGCTGAATTAAATCATATAATTCAACTTTCCTCATACTGAAACTGGCCTGTACTTTATTTTTGGTTAGCCAATCTAACATAACTTGTTTTGTACTAGATTTTGTGGGCACCTTATTTTCTTGCACGCTATGATAGGGGGCATTGTCCATCACTAAACGCTGTTTGAAGGGAGGTTCGGTAATAACATTTCGTTAGCCCATTTTTCAAAGTTTACATTATTCATCTGCCCATGATAGTCGCCGGTGACTGTGCCAGCTTTAAAAAGCAGTTTGGCTCCGTCTAAAAAGCCGCTTCTCGATCCCGCATGGACTAAAATCAATCTGTTCGAAGAGCTCGTATCAGTCAATATTGCGTTTATTTTATCGTCTCGCCAACATTTTTTATACGTTAAATTGTTATCAATCCATGTTTCGTCTAAGAAAAATATTTGGCGATCATTTTGTCTAAATTGACGTATTTTTCTTAAATAAATAGATCGAGCATATATAATATTTGGCCTCTCTATCAAAATTCTCCTTTTGCTATGACATTTCTGCCACTTATACCCCATTTGTTTCAACAACTTTCTCAGGCTAGTTACACCCCAAGGAAAATCAATTTTCTCCCGTAAAGCCAACAAAAGTTTTTTGCAAGTTGGGACGACCTTTTTGGTCAAATAAAACTCTTCAATGCAACGATGAATTACTTGACGATCAAAATCATCAACATTTAAATCTTTGACTCTCGGATACTTCTTCCCTTTTTTAGATGGCGATTTCAAATGTCCTTGCTGGTCTGTAGGCTCTTTCTTGATTTTACTTAACACACTTTTAGACAGACCTGTGTAATATACTGCTCGATCAAGTGCCTGATTAACAGTAAACGTGAAATGGTTAGATCTTTTTTCTTCTTCACACATCGAAAGAACGTGTTTCGCCATTTCGCGGGCTTGCCTTCGAATAATAAACGATTTTTTTCTCTGCCTGTTGTCACTGCTAGTGCTCGCCATTCCTTTTTTTACCAAATTAAATTGCGCTCACAAAAAAAACTCACTAGTACTACTTATAGTTCAACGAAAGTACAACTGTTATCGCAAAATTAAAAACAACGATTCGACAAGCGTGCTCTCGCGTCAAGGTCGACACTAGACTGGGATAGTGCGGGGTATGAAGCGACGGTCGGGCGCGGCGCACACCCGCCCGCTTCCGCAGCCCCCGATTCCTCGGAGCTCGCGCGCGGACCATACTCTTTGAAGGAATGGTACTTGCTGAAGTACTCGGACCCTAGGGAGTTCATGACCACCCTAAATTCCATGTTTAATTCAATAGGATGTTTTGCAGTTCCCTTAGAAAATTCTTATAGTTTTTTAGGCCAACCCTAAAAAGCAGTGAAGTACAAGAGATACACAGCAAGAATTAAATCTACTATATAAAAATAAGTCGAGTTTTCCTTCCTGACGCTATAACTCCAGAACGCACGAACCGATTTCCACGGTTTTCATTCGTTGGAAAGGTCTCGGGCTCCGTGAGGTTTGTAGCAAAGATTATTCAGGAAAAATTTCTTCATCTTTTAATCACCAAACGAAATGTTACCTACATAAAACGAAGCCATCTGGTGGCGAAACGGAGTTCGCCGAGTTTGCTAGTATGTTCATAAAAATAAAAAACGAATATAAAACTAAATTATTTATTAACGTTTTCTCTTCTTGCCGCCATGTTTGATCTTATTGTTTGGCTTCCCCTTGATACGTCTTCGCACTCCGGCCGCCTCCTCCGTATCGTCGTCAGAGTCAGCGCCGCGCTTCTTGCCTTTACTGCTCTTCTTGTCTTCTAACTCTTTCATTTCCTGTGCGAAAGGGGGTTTCATTAATACAAGATAACATCATGCCTTGTCATGCCTTTTATTCCCGAAGCCGCGGTAGGCAGAGATGCACATTACGGCACTTAATGCCACTGTACAGTGTAACACCTGAGTCCCATGTAATAGAGGATGAGCCTATTGCCATATACTGGGCACAATTCCAGGCTCCGTGCTACTGCTGAAAATTTTTTTTAAAAACCCAGTAATACTTTAAACTAAGGAAGTAAGTAATATTTAAAAATAAGTGTATATTTATTAAATCAAGAACTATTAATAATCCTCTAGTGTTGCGGGTTCCGATGGGCGGCACTGATCGCTTACTATCAGATGACCAGACAGCTTCTTTAGTTGGTTTGAGGCGAATCCAAGAGGGAAGAAGTGTGAACAGTCCTGCTTAAGTTTTAATAGATATACATTATACGTACAATCTTAGTGAGTCGCTGTGCCTCTGCGACCCTCTCCTGCAGCACCATGACCTCGCTCTCCTCCGTTTTGTACAGCGGAAGCTGCTTGCCTATCAACTGCTCGATGCGCTGGTACAACTCAACGTCATACTGAAATATAATAAAATAATTCAATATACCACTATTAATATATGATAGTGGACTAGCTTCACTGACGGACTGACTGACTGACTATTATTTATTTTATACTAGCTTTTACCCGCGGCTTCGTTCGCGTCACAAAAGAATAAAAAGTAGCCTATGTGACATATACTAATACACACAGCGCCATCTATACCAATACTTTTGTTTTTCCTCGGGAATATCAATTTTCCGGGTTAAAAAGTACCCTATTATTTAATCGGGACTTCTAACTTTACGTCTGCAAAAAATCAAAGCAATCGGTTTAGTAGTTACGGCGTGAAGGTGGAACAAACAAACAAACAAACTCACTTTCAGATTTATAATATTAGTAAGGATTTGTTGACGTTTCAAAAGTACCAAATTATGTTTTAATTGAAATAAATGCTTTGGAGTTTGAGTTTGGATGAGATCAGTGAATATTACGTAGTTTTTATGGGATAAGCCGGTAAACACCTTTTTGGGTTTGGCCTCCTGACGTAGTTACGATTTAGTTCTCTTCTTGTATAAAGTTAATTAGGGCGCGTCAATAAATTAGGTGTGAAACTATTATAATGAGTTTAGAAAAAACAGTGTTAATCTCCCTAGAACAATTATGTGACAGAGAGAATCTTCGCTCTTCCGATACCCAATATTGTAAGTAGGGTGTTACGTACACAAACGCCAAATGTATGATTCAGATATTAGATTTAAAGTTTTTAACCCGTCGAGCGTTCGCGTTCCTTATGATCCAACTTATGAAAGAAAGAAAATGTATTTATTTGGCCATTGGCACACGAAAACAAGGATCATTACAATAGAAATAAAAAATACAGCCAAAGTATAAACAAAAAATTAATAATAGATTTTATAAAAGAGAAATCAGCATGGAGCATTTTTTCTTATGATCCACCGGGTGCTCATAAGGACGCTCGAGGGGTTAAGCTAATTTAACATCACAATAATTTTCTAAATAGATACAGAACATACCTGTGACACAAAAGTGATGGCTTTGCCGGAGCGTCCCGCTCGAGCGGTGCGTCCGACGCGATGTATGTAGTCCTTGCTGTGCAGCGGTATGTCCAGGTTGATCACCACGTCCACGTGGGGAATGTCCAGACCTCTGTAATATTAAAGTGTGAACATTTAAAATAATTATTATGAAGCATACAAGGAAGTGATCAACTTGTTCAATAAATTTTCGATTAATTTACAAGTTGAAAATGTTTTACACATCACTACATAGTATAAAACAAAGTCGCTATCCGCCGTCTGTCTGTCTTTGTATGCTTACATCTTCAAAACTACGCAACGGATTTTGATGCGTTTTTTTTAATAGATAGTGATTTTTAAGGACGGATTACATATATATGTATAACACATGCATATTGCACCCGTGCGAAGCCGGGGCGGGTCGCTAGTTATCAAATAATTTTAAGTTTCGGTTATCTTTATTTGCACATTCATATTAAATTGTACATTTAAAAAATTCTAAATATTACTTTGGTATTTATATTTTAATCTTTTTAACGAACATGCTTCAAACAGTTATCATGTTATTGCTTTACCTACATAAAAATGTTTTGAGAATTTTATGAATTAAATACTGTTCATTACATACCTTGAAGCGACATCAGTACATATAAGGACGGAGCGACTTTTGTTCTTGAACTTGTTGAGAGCAGCGAGACGTTTGTTCTGCGACATCTGTCCGTGCAGGGGCACTGCGGCCAGCCCGAGGTTGCGCAGTAACAGCGCAGTGCGCAGCGCGCCCGCGCACGTCGCCACGAACACGATGAACGAGTTGCCAGACATCTCGTTTAGAATGTGGACTAGGTATACGTCCTGTGGGATGACATTTGGTTGTATATTGGAAACAATTATGTATTTTACTATCAATATGCAATTAACTAAATTAAATATAATATTTTTGCCATAAGTATAGCAAACAGGAGGCAATATGCAAACATCAGGTTTATGGATAAAAGCAGCCTATGTTATTTAATTTTTTAGCAGTATACCGAAAATTGTAAACAAGTAATTTTCAAACAAAGTAAGCTTCCACTCGGAGGTTAGAAGTATAACAATATTGTGTGTGTTAGTTTTAAATATAACAAACATTGTGTCACCTTATATTTCACAGGTATGAAGAGATAGTACTGCAGCAGCTTCTCAACTGTTTGGTACTTGGTGGAGACCTCAACTTTCACAGGGTCCTGCAAGGAGGCCCGCTGTAACTTCTGCACCTTCTTGGTCATAGTAGCAGAGAAGAGGTACGTGCGTCGCTCCCGAGGAATCACGCGGAGTATCTTGTCCACTTCCACTTCGAAATCCATGTTCAGGATGCGATCTGCTTCGTCCATCACCTATAAGTAAAGAAATTATTGTGAACACTAAAACTAGGGCCAACTTCCAAATAGCAACTTTATTAAAATGTAGAATAATTTGCAGATAAACCAATTAAAACGAAATATTTTGGTTAAGTCGGGCTTGCGTTATAAACAAAAAATACCAATAAATATCTTTGTCATTGGTCATCTAATAAGAACAACTTTTGGCAGAATTTGGGTTTATGAATAACTAGCTACGTTCGCGCGGCTCACCCGCTCTGCTTGGCGCCTATTGATTGTAGTGATAGCTTATAGCCTTCCTCAATGAATGGACTATCCAACACAAAAATAATTTTTCAAATAGGGCCAGTAGTACCCTGGTTGTTATCACAGAGTACTTTCCTGTGGCGATTGGCTCCTCCTTTTCACAGACATTTTACTCAATTATCGCGACCGGTCATGTTGATGGATAGAAATCTGTTATGTATTCGAAAACGATTGAAACGAGTGATGCACGCTAAGATTAGCATGTTTAAACAAACTACAGATTTTTATGATAAGTATGAGATTAATCCATGAAATCACTATTTCCAAATCCAACTAGAAATGATGATGAAATCACTTCTATATAAACTTACCAAGAACTTCAGAGCCTTCAAATTGAAACCCTTAGTATTCTCGAGATGATCGACCAGGCGTCCAGGTGTAGCTATGATGATATGTGGCTTCTTGGATAGCATGAGAGCCTGCGCCACCATGTCCATGCCTCCTACTATTACTGCACATTTCACTCCGATACTTGCACCTGAAAGTTACATATGATTATAATGACTGAGGCAGTCATTATAATCGCATTTGTCGCATTTGCGACCACTCGGTCGCAAGTGCGACTGCCGGGCAAGAGGACTCGGGTTCGATTCCCGAGTCGGGCAAAGTATTACTGGGTTTTTAAAAAAAAATTCAGTACCGTAAAATGGGGTGGATAGGGATCGAGAGGTGAATAGAGACAGAAGAGGGGTGAATAGATATTGGGAAATTGTTCATAGTATCGATTCACCCCTCTTCTGTCCCTATTCACCTCTCGATCCCTATCCACCCCATTTTACCGTAGTAGCACGGCGTCTGGGATTGTGCCCGGTATATGGCAATAGGCTCACCCCCTTATTACATGGGACTCATAACATAGTGAAAATTGGGTGTTACATTGTACAGTGGCATAATGTGCACCTCTGCCTACCCCTTCGGGGATAAAAGGCGTGATGTTATGTATGTATGACAATCTTAATATATTAAATTAAGTAAATATAATTGGCACGCTGCTCATAAGGGACTGGGAGGGTCTCTCTGTGACTCGAACTAGTAGGGCTCTTCTCAGTATTATTACGAGAGTTTCATAGCTATATCATTGCTTTGGAAGTAATAAAATAACAACACATAACATAACATCACGGCTTTTATTCCTGAAGGGGTAGGCAGAGGTGCACATTACGGCACTTATGGATCATGCTACTACTGAAAATTTTGTTATAAACATTAAATAAATAGCACTATAGGCTAAGAGTTGTATTCAGTGAAGTACACATTAGTCGTGTCTAATAGGTGGTCAATTAATATCATAATTATGGTAATTATTTATTGATTTAGAGGTAAATTAAAATTAACAATCTTACCAAGTGCCTCAAACTGTTCTGATATCTGGAAAGCCAATTCTCTCGTTGGAGTCAATATTAATGCGAAGTATCGTTGAGGGTTCTCTAACAGGGCTTGTAGTATAGGGAGGGCAAAGGCACCGGTTTTTCCAGAACCAGTCTCGGCCAACCCAATAATATCTTTCCCTTGCAATGCCACTGGTATTGATTCTTTTTGAATTGCAGAAGGTTTCTTCCATTTTAGTTCTTCACACGCTTCACAGAGTACATCTACTACACCCTAAAAAGTTATAAAAAAAATTAACAACATAACCTCACTTCGTGGTATTTTTCTAAAATAAATGAGTGTAGTACTAAGACATTACATATTTACGCAGATATATGAAGTGATAGAGGTAGTGAGAAAACTGTGTTTAGTGAAACATTAGGGATATAATACCACATGCATGGTGGTCGTGCTTACCAAATCTTTGAACGTCGTGTTGTCTGATTCTTCTGGTTGCTTCTCTTCTTGTTCTTCATTATCTGACTGCTGGCTATCATCTTCACTGCTACCGCTCTCCACGTCAGGCGTCATTTTCGACAAATCGTGAAATTAAACTCTACAAACGAACTAACAAACGCGGAGACGAAACATGTGTATCCAATATGTCAAAGTTGTCAACACAACTGTTGAACTGACAGTACTGACAGATACGTTAAATTTTATTAAAAAAAAACAAATAGTTTATTAAATAAATAATAATTTTAAAATTATTTTTATGTCCTATTATTTTAGAACATTTATTTTAATATTGTAATCCATGTTAACCTATCTATAATTAACTTAGCCTTAGCCTAATCTAAATTAGTGAGATTTTAAAAATCCAGTGAATTTCTACATTTCAAAAACGCAACACGTTTTTGAACGAAATAAGTTAGCTCGTTCAAATACTGTAACTTTACAAAATATTACAATAATTTTGGCAATAACTAATTAATTACAGATGTGATATAAAATGATAAAATAGGTTTATTTAAAAGAATATTTAAGATTCCATGGTTTACTTTCCGGTTGTAATAAAAAATTTAAATAATTATTATGGTACTAACACATTTCAACTTCTATTACAATTGATGATTTTTACGTCAAGTAACATACTTATTTTATACTAGCTTCTGCCAGTGTGCAGGAGAAGGAACGGGGTGGTTTTTAGTCAGTAAGAGTCTGACACTCCCTTCCGCCTCACCCAGGCGGGAGCAGTCATTCGATGATTTTCCCCCCTTAAAAAAAAAAAAAAAAAAAAAAAAAAAAAAAAAAAAAAAAAAAAAGCTTCTGCCAGTAGCTTCGCCCGCGTTCCCAGGGGTAAAAAGTAGCCAATATAGTAAAGTAGTAACACAAGGGTATTACTCCAAACCATAATCGACCCCTGTTGATCCATCCATCCAATCCATCCCTCAACCGGTCCCTCCAACCATTTTGATATGACCGAGTTGTTACTCAGTCATATCAAAACATAATAATACACACAAACACGCAAAATCGCAATATTTTCTCATTTATAATAACGGTTCTAACTAATTTCAACCAGCGGCCCTACACATTAGGTCCACAGCGGGCAACCTAACATTCGACAAACTTTTAATTGCGTTTCGTAAAGTCAAAGTCACCTGATGGCGCCTGATGGTAAGCGAACAGCGCCGCCCATGGACACCCGCAACATCAGAAGAGTTTAGTTAGTTTAGTTTTTGACCTCTCTACAGTTTTACTATGTTTATAGATAAAATTGAACAGGCAGTGTATCTTTCCCATAGATATATAACACTTTCCCCACTATATATTATTTTCTAATTGTATTTAAACTGTCAAACACCGCGAGGACACCGGTGACCACAACCTATTGTTCGTTAATTGTGTCTATAATGACGGTACATAAAGGGTTCATTTATTACGCTTATCAACCATTTATTATTTACACTCGAACATAAAATTGGTGATAGCTGGAACTAATATTGATTTGTACTGAATCACTCGCTTCAGAGTTTCGGTCCATATTTCATGTATCATCTAAACATAGGAGGGAGGGAAGGAGGTACTTTCTTTTTACTTCTTAAATGTAGTTGAGATTAAGCCTTAGAGTACCAAGTTGTCACAGGTACGATACTAGCGACCTCAATAATTATTCCGAATTGTTTTTGCCAAGCTGTACTAATTAATATACATATAGGGTTAATTTTTGTCTTACACGGTAACCCTAAATATGATGCTTTTTTGGCTCTTTCTGAGAGTCTGCGATAGGTACGCTTTGCTGATCTCATTTGACTCATTTATCTCTTTCGAATTAACTCTGTACGTTAAACAGATGACGTCAAAATCATGTAGAGTGTGGGAAAATGTGTAAGTACTAGGTAGCAAACTGTACAATTTTTTTAAATTATGAGTTTGACTGTTTGTCGTATTGAATAAATAGGCATTTGTAGTCGAGACGTATAAAATTATAGGGTTTATTTTGTACTAAAATCGTATAAAAATGTAAAATCAACTGTTTTTATTGTGGTCAACCATTCACACAGTCAAACGTCCATGGGCACTCTAGACTCAAAAAAACATTACCTAACCGTCCCGACTGACTGGTTAGTCGCTTGCGACTTGATTGCTTCAAACCGACTTAGTGCTTTATTTAGTGAATAATATGCAAAATAAACATTACCTATATACTTATATTTCAATATAACATTATATACTACGCCAACTTTAGCGTATCCACAGCTAAAGTATGATGTCTCACTCTTAGACATGTATGATATTAATCCTCAAATCACAACAGAAATACGTTTTTATCAGAAAAAACTTTACAAATACAATAAATTAAGTAGCAAAACAGGATAGTATGCAAGGAACCAATTTAGAGCGTAACGGTAACAAAGGTGCTATCGGTACTGACTGAGCTTCCTGGGCGAACGCGGGGTGCCGCGCGGAGAGGTGGGAAGGGGTTCGTATACCAGCGAGGGACAGAGGTGATGCGCACGAGTTATAAGTCTCATTCTCTGTTTACACTCGCTACGATAAACAGCTAAGCATCGTGTTTCTGAGATAAATCATGGCAAAACATCATCCAGATCTTATTTTCTGTAGAAAACAACCAGGCGTTGGTAAGTCTATCTACAGTTGAGGTTAATTAATAAGAACAAATGTGCAATTTCATTAAACAAATAATTTTGCAGCTATTGGCCGATTGTGTGAGAAATGTGATGGTAAATGCGTGATCTGCGACTCCTACGTACGTCCCTGCACCCTGGTGAGGATATGTGACGAGTGTAACTATGGATCTTATCAGGGACGATGTGTAATCTGCGGTGGCCCCGGCGTTTCCGACGCTTACTATTGCAAAGAATGCACTACACAGGAAAAAGATGTAAGTATTAACTAATTCAAATGTTAAAACGTAAAAAAATCCACATTCATCACATACAATTTACTCCATTAAGCTCTTTAACTCTCTGTCACACTTTTAACTGGTTGTTCGGTTAAGCTCTTTAAGAATAAAAAAATATTTATTGTATTATTGGGCTTTGACCTTTTTTGCAATTGTAAATTAACACACAATGTGCTTAGATTTCCATTTTGGGTTATGATTTTTCTAGTCCTAGTTTTGAAGTAAAAATCTAAAATTCTGAAATTTCACAGATTATTATGTATTATTGTTACTATAAAAATATTATTTATTGTAATTTTGTTTGATTCCAGAGGGACGGGTGTCCAAAGATTGTGAACTTGGGTAGTTCTAAGACTGATCTTTTCTATGAAAGGAAAAAGTATGGATTTAAAAAACACTAGCTACTGTGTTATTAGGATACCTTATTATTGTATAATTATTTAAGGGAAATTCAATCATATCTAATAAAATACCATAAAAAGACCATAAAAATATTTGTAATATCAAAGAACGGTGTACCTAAAAGTCTGTAAAACCAACACAAACTAAAAAATAAAGCACATTTACTCTCATGTTTTTTCTTTTCTTTCTATTAGGTTAAGTTCAGACTTATAACCAATATCTATTTACATGGAAATGTAATTATTTAGAGGTTAAATGAGATGAAAAAATGTCAAATAAAACATGGTATAAGTATAACAATAAACATGCCTTAGAACATGCTCTTTAAATTATAATACCATAAACATAAAGTATACCATGCTCATAATTTCACTAAGGTCACTATTTTTTACTTTTGACATTAATGACGCGTGAGTTCCGATATGAGGTTATCATAAAAACCAATGTTATATCGTTTATCTTTGTGGTTTTTATCGTCTTTGGTCCAAGTCCCATCATTGCTATTGTCAAAAATTGAATGTCCAACGGTTTGACATTAGCTAATTCTATATTGGCACTCAAACACTGAGCAAGCTACATTAATCCTTTCTGATGAACAAAAAACGGTAATTCATGTCCCAAATCTTAGTCTACTTGGGGCCAACTATAAAAAACATGCTCTGTGGGGCCTACTTTACTTTCAAGGAAAACCACTTACTTTCTTCTAACTTAAAGTACCTATATCATCAAACTAATGAATGAAAGTGTATATATACAATGCTGATAAAATCAATAAAGCAGTATTTCTTTTCGGATTACATATTATTTTTTAATAGTTTCAATAAATAGGAGTATTTATTACCTTACGCGGTAACCCTGAACATAGTGATGTCATAGTGTCGTATACAGCTACAGCGACACGCTTTGCCGGCGGCGTCTAATAGGATTCTGTCAAGTGTTGTCTCTGTCTTACTTTTTGTTTTTATACTCTGCTGTCTACGCTATCTACTATCTACGGTAAACAACAGCTAATAATAAGCGTCGTGTTTTTGAGGTTACCTGTCAGTAGTATAATAGTATTATTGTAATTAAAATCGTTTGATTTGATTATATTACACGTAAACTAATTGGAAATTATGGCAAAGCATCATCCAGATCTTATTTTCTGTAGAAAACAACCAGGTGTTGGTAAGTTTATTTACTGTCTATGTTAATTAATAAGAACAAATGTGCAATTTCAAAACAAATAATTTTTGCAGCTATTGGCCGATTGTGTGAGAAATGTGATGGTAAATGCGTGATCTGCGATTCCTACGTACGTCCCTGCACCCTGGTGAGGATATGTGACGAGTGTAACTATGGATCTTATCAGGGACGATGTGTAATCTGCGGTGGCCCCGGCGTTTCAGACGCTTACTATTGTAAAGAATGCACTATACAGGAAAAAGATGTAAGTATAAACAATTTAACAGATGCGTCTTTTTATATTTGATGGGCCGACGTTTGACTACTATCTCGCCTGGTGGTAAGCGACGATGCGGTCTACGATGGAGCACGTCGTCCCATAAGCAACTTATTCATTCAGGCCTTCAAGACACCAAAGTTATAATACACCTTTCAGGAAATACAGACACTGGCAAAGAATTCCACTCCTTTTTTGCAGTAACGGTCAAATGGGGTAAATAGGGACAGAAGAGGGGTGGATCGATACTATGAAGAATTTCCCAATATCTATTTACCCCTCTTTTTCTCAATTCACCTCTTGATCCCTATCCACCCCGTTTTACGGTATGCACAAAGAAGATTGATGCGAAGCACTTCGTTCTGCTTCAGTTAGATCTGCATTCTGGGTTTAGACTTTCATGTCCTAGTTTAAAACCTAAAATCTATAATCCTGACAATTCACACATTACTTGACTTTTAACTGTAATAATTGTAATTTTGTTTTATTGCAGCGGGATGGGTGTCCGAAGATTGTGAACTTGGGTAGTTCTAAGACTGATCTGTTCTATGAGAGGAAAAAGTATGGATTTAGAAGACACTAACTATTGTGTTACTAGGATAACATTTTATTTTATAATTATTATTAATTATTATTATTTATTTAAAGACAAACTTCATAAAGTTTAACCCGTGGTATGCCAGAATGCAGATCATATGAGACACAATATGTTTTCTATTATATCTCATATACAGGCATACATAAGGATAAGAGAAATGGTTGAAATAATAATTTCAACAGTTATCTGTGATGGTATTCAGTCTTCATTCGATTTTGAATGTGCTAAAAATTTATATTACAAAAAATAATATAGAATGGTGTACCAAAATGTCTGTAAAACCAACACCATTTATAAGTGAACTAAATACATAGACATGGAATAAGATAGAGAAATAGAAACTAAAAAATAAAACACATTCACTCTCATAATGTTTATTTCTTTCTATTATGTTATACATCTACCCAATATCTATCTATTTACATGGAAATGCAATGTATTACATACAAGCTTAATGAGATGAAAGAAAATCGGAACAAAATATTGTAATTAATTATTATGAGCAGTGGAATACTGCTCATGAATATGAGCCTCTAGCATGGATTGAAACTAGTCGAGTTCCTCATCAAACAGTTATGTGAGTAAGCCGGAAACATAATAATTAACTCGTCGAGTACCGGTTTTACAGACACAATTAAAGAACAATAGGTCGTGGTCACCGGTGACCGCTTGGTATTTGACAGTTTAATTAGTATGTCCCACGAAAGATTTAATACAAACAAAACTAGGTACTTGTACAAAATTACCATGGTCTATTTGCATTGTTCTATGGTAATTTTCTATCACCCATTTTACAGTACTGTCTGCAACTAATTGTATACCAAAATACTATCTTTCCAAACCCTCATATTGTTTACCCATACAATTTATACATTTTAAGTATGATAACCACAATGTTTGTTTCTGGCATTTTTGCTGATGGCATTAATGTATTATTGTAGCGTGAGTTCTGTTTGTCATGTCCATTCACTGCAACTGTCAATGTCCAATAGTTAGAAACTAGTATTTTTGTAATGGACAAACAGACCACATTAGCATCTTCTGATCAGCAAAAAACTGTAATACTCATTACCCAAATCTGTGTCCAAATAAACTTTAGGTCAATCTTTCACAAGAAGGGCTACCAAGAAAATACTATGTCCTGTACCCTTTTCTATGTTTTACTTCTAACTTCCTCCACTGACAATACTTGCGGATGAACTGACGGGGTTGGTCCAAATGTTTGCTTCAGTGTCGTTGGAACCAGAGTATGTTGGCCGCGCCGGTATGATAGGTGACCGAACGCATACACTGTAAAATTATGAAAAGTTATAAAATGATTTAGCACCTACGTTCATGTAATGTGTTGCAGCGTCCTAAAATAGGTGACCTACAATTTTGTACAATATACTTAATAATGAAACAATTTCATTCATTTCTGAGATGATTTTTTATGAATAAGTCGGTAAACGAACGAGCAGACTGACTACCTGATGGTAAGCAATCGGCACCGCGTTACCGGCCTTTTTGGGATTAGGTTTTTGAGGACTGTTGGGGATTTGGAAGATTGGCCCTGGGGGTAAATATGAAATAATGTAGCTTAGTATCTTGCCTCTATAAAAATTTGAGAATTAGTCACTAAAACACACGTGGTTAGGTGGAATAAGTGTAAAAATTTTAAAATTAAATTTATTCATGCGCAGAACCATTAGATATTATTATCTATTTTATGATTTTCGGTGTGATGTGTTGTGTGTCATGCATTTTTGCAGCCTTTAGATTTTGTGACTGACCTCCCCGAGTTCTTTCTGGAGTATCAGCTGAATCCGAACATTGTCCTAGGAACACCATTATAATTAAGTTAAAATTTTGATTCATAGGCATTCCAGATTTGAAAAAGTTCATATTTCGTGTATTTTTCTTGAATCTGAAGTTTCGGCCGTTTGCGTAATGCCTAGATGGCACCACTATCTATTTTAATTAATACACCAGATTAGATATAATATTTAACCAAATAATTCGAAAATAGAGAACCACCAATTGAAAAGTCTAAAAAAATATGCCCTGTAGTTTTTCCACTAGGTACTTCCAAATACTTCAGTTCCCAACCTGTCGCTTACAAAAGCCACAAAAGTGCAGTACCTATACTTACGAGTTAACGTCCTCTAATTTCTTCAAGAGTCTCTCGTTCTCTCTGCTAAGCAGTTCCTGGTCTCTCAGCAAGGAGTCTCTTACTCCGAACAGTTCGCTGTTTTCAGCTCTTAGAGCCGTATTTTCTTCCATATGAAGTTGCACTAATTCTACCAGCTCTGATTGTGGAAGCTGGTACAGTTTATTTGGTTCTATCTGAGTTGGAGTTCTGCGCTGACCTATGGACATTTGAAATTAAGAGTTAAAAAACAATAGTTCTATAGCATGTTGGTGCTGCTCATATTATATACCTAGATAAAGAACTAAACCTAACAATCGATACTTAGCTAGTATTAGCATATTATACTACACTATTTTTATTTAATTATAGAGGGTGAGCCTATTGCTCTCTTCCTATTACATGGGACTCGTAACACAACTAGTGAAAAGTGGGTGTTACGTTGTAATTTGCACCTCTGCCTACCACATCGGGTATAAAACACGTGATGTTTTGTTATGTGTAATTTTATTTATCGCTTTAACCTTTCGTGTGTCTATACCACCACCACGCGAGACACTATGTATTTTCTATTGTGTCTCATATCGGTGCATTCAAGCGGTTAATTATGGCCTATTTACAGGCCACGTGTCGTATGATAAATTAGGGAATGATAATTTTCGAAGGTAAAGGTGCTTACTATAAGAATCCAAGTTGTAGTCTGTCTGCACATGCAGTGCAGTCCTCAGATGTTGGTTCTCAGCTTGTAGAGCTTCTACCTCCCTCTTCAAACTCAAAATTAGAGCGTCTCTCGCGTCCTGTAGAGTTAAGAATTTTATTTAGACACCCGAGTCCGTGAATTAAGCGTGACTAGGTATTGACTGACTGAATTAGGCAGACTACTTCGGACGTAGGTACTGTCCTAATTTTGATCAGGGTGCTTATTCTTGTAACCAATCTCAATGTCAATGCAATTGCAACCCAATGAAAACTCAATAATTATTCAATGTCAAAACTATACATATACTGCATATACAACCCCTATCGTAGCTGTTAAAATAGCATTCAGAGTACGGAATATAAAGCCAAACTCAATACCATTTACTTCATTCAATATCCAAGCAATACGGATGCAATGGGCGCTAGTATTACAACTCAAGAGTACGAAATTTCACAATATCAATGTCGATCGATTGGATTTGAATTGGATTCAAGAGTAAGGCCCCTTGATTCTATGAATGAAGTGATGTACAATTTTTCTGGTGTCGATGAAATTGTACCTAATGTCCTGTAGCACTTGTGCTTACCATTTTGACGATAGGTTTTGATTTGATCTTCTTAGCGCGCGCAGCATACCGGAGAGTATTGATTGTCTCGCTCAAGTTCGATCTCGTTGGAGCTATACAGGCGATCTGGAAAGAAGGGGAAAATAATTGAAATTTGATGTTTCCTAAATTCCTTCTAATCGAGGAGTAGGTAGGTACTATAGGATTGTGATCCCTGTGAAGTTTTCTAATCCCTAAAAGATTTGTTTTGTGCCTTTAAGTTTAATTCATTCTGTCTCCTGCACCGAGGGAAGTGGAAACTATAGTTTTTCTTTTCTTATCCTCTTATAATATGTTCTGATTCACTTCGTTGTGGGAACCAAGACGGTTATTCATGTCCTTTGGACGCGCCGGACTTCAGTGTTCCGATGTTTTCATGGTTGTATCTAGTATAGATCCTGGCTTACAGGAGTTACAGCGGTTTTGGGAAGTTGTGGCGGGCCAGTCCCATTAAAAAAATACCCCAAAAAACCGGCAACGCTCTTGTAGGCAATTTCTCTGGCTGGTGTTGCTATATCTACCAATATGGTGTCAATTTAATCAAGTTGCTCGTTTCCTGAACTATACTACAAAATAGCCTTACCATGAGTGTGACTCCATTCCCTGCGAGACTGTCTGCTAGTAGTTTGGTGAGCTTACTGTCCCGGTACGGGATGTGTCCTCGTTTCTTGCCGTCACTTAGCTGTGCTATACAGTAACCTGTTGGGAAAATAACTTGAGATGTTTTAAATTTTCAAACAGGGTCTAGTATAACTCTTACTTCCTACTAATTTCTACTAATATTATGTTTGTTTGTTACTCCTTCACACCTAAACGGCTGAAAGGATTGAGATGAAATTTGGAACAGTCGTACATTATTGTCGGGAATAATACATAGGCCACTTTTTATTCCACGGGAACATGGGCGAAGCTGTTACCAGATGCTGGTGAGTCATACATTGTACATATTGTAAGGACTACCACAATCTGCTACAAAATTACACTTCCAATAAGACGAAAATTTTTTCACAGCAAGTTATCATAAGCATAATCAAACTTCTCCCTACTTACATATTTTTCTAACTTACCAAGCACCATAAGACTCCTGTTGATATTATTCGCTTCTTCCAAAGTCTTCCCGGTGCTATGAGTCCGTTTGGTCATCTCGCTGCCCGCGAGGTCGACGAAGTTGATCTTCCCGTGCGTGGAGCAGACGACGCCGGCGTCCTCGCGCAGGTCGCGGCGCACGCGCACGCACAGCAGCGTGTGCGAGCGAGACGAGTGCGCGTTCATCGCGTGCGCGCCCACTGCACGGTTGCGCATGCCTGGGACAGTTCGCAGGGTTTTAAGGGACTTCTTTTTGGACCGATAGACAAATTTAGTTTAGTTTACAAACTGGTATGAAAAGGAAATGACTTCAATATCTTTTTTTTATGGCATAAGCCGGTAAACGAGCAGACGGATCACCTGATCGTAAGCAATCGGCGTCGCCCATGGACACCCGGAACACCAGAGGCGTTACAAGTGCGTCACCGGCTTTTTGGGGGTTGGGAGTTTGAGGATTGTTGGGGATTCAGGGATTGGGGAGATTGGGGAAGGGGAAGGTAATTGGGCCGACGGAACACAACGCAAGCGTTTCTTCACGTCGGTTTTCTGTGAGGCCGTGGTATCACTCCGGTCGAGCCGGCCCATTCGTGCCGAAGCATGGCTCTCCCACACTTGAAGTGACTAATAGTTTTATTGTAATAGAGAAATCAAAAAGTTATGATTAATGCAAGACTTTGGCAAAACAGACGATTTAGTATGCACTCGACAAAAAGAGCATATTTTTCCTCGTCTCTTCTGTTATACAACTTACAAATCAATAACCAATAGAAAAAAGGTTTAAGCGATGTCTTATGAAGGTTCATTAGTCACCTACCTTCTTCTAGAACAGCAAACAAATCATCAAGAGTTTCACAGTCCACCGTAAATAGATTTTCTACATAAAATCCTCTACTTTCTTTAGACCACCGCACCTGTAGTGGTTTCCGAGCACTGCCCGGGTTTAGGAGATCTATTACCTGGAAGCAAGGAGTGAAATGAGAATGGCAAAATGGGAACATATGAGATCTCCAATGAAAGACACTAAACATATTTTCAACAACCTTTGTTATGTGTGATAATGGTTGCCTGGTTGCCTCTACTCTAGTAATGAGTACGAATCTTCATTTCTTGTTCTTCCAGACAGCGCTAATGTAACGTTAATTCATATTTTGGAAAACCACTGCACCTTGTATTGTATCTATGAAGAATTGGACAACATACCTTAATACCTTTAATAGTTCCTCATTCATTACTGCATTACAAAAGTAATAGCACAGATATCGGGAATCTTTGCTTATATTGTCAGAAGTAATTTGTAAGTAAGACATGGTAGTAACATACCTTTTCATTATATATTTCTAAGAAGGACGCCTTGAGTATGAAGTGTGACTCAGGTCTTTCGGAGATAAGTCGGAACAGGTGGACGAAGGAGCGGACCACCAGGCCATGTCCAGGAGCAAATGGACTCGCTCCGCTCTCAACCTGTAACACAAATAGAACCTATGTAAAAACAAATTACTTACAAAGAAATAAGAATTACAAAACTGGTCTAGAGCCGAGGTACCTACTACATACATACTTACGTTGGTACGGTCTTTTGCTATTTGGAAAAAATAAAGAAAATAACTTTCAAAAAATTTAGCCTCTCTTAGGTCTTTCATATTACGAATTGATTACGTACGATGGATTGGTTTTGGTACCTAGTGTACGATTAAAGGCCCAATTAGGTACTCCCCCGTTTCTCCAATCCCCGAATACCCCACAATCCTCAAATTCTCAATTCCCAAAAGTCCGGTAACACACTAGTAAGGTTTCTGGTGTTTCAGGTGTCTATGGCGGCGCAGATTGCTTACCATGAGGTGATCCGGATGCTCATTTACAGGCTTATCCCATAAAAAAAAATATGCTATTATATTCGTTTTCCAATTTAAGTTAACGAAAAACATTTCCATTCATATCAAAACTTAGGACTTAGGAGTTATATACTAGACGTAGCCTACTGCCTATCTACTTACGAAGTTTATTAGCCATAAATAATCATTTAGCGGCTATAAAACATAATGAGTGCACCTCGCGTGACGTCACATGTCACGCGTTGTAGTTTTAGCGTGATTGACTTTTTAATTGTCGCTAGTTTGTGTTGAACCCATTGTGGTAATGTAACAATATTGTATAAAATGTAAATTAGGTAACACAGTCGTTATAGAATAACAAAGTAACTATAGAACCTTGTTAGTTCGGTTGGTTTTTAATAGTGGAAGTTAAGTGGAAATCAGTCACCTGGCTAGTCGGGTTCATATGATGTTAGCTGTTTGAAACCTTTGTTAGCCGTTTGTTTCGTATAAGACACTTAAGTACCTAGCTTTTCGTTCGTATCGCAAAAATAACTTTGTATTTAAGGGTTGCTCGCACTATCAAAAGTAATGATATTCCATGTAGAGTCAAGTTTCTAACGCTAAATGCCCAGCCTGAAATCTATAGTCTTAATACACATAAGTTACGACGAAGTATAACAGACGTAGCACGTAGTTCGTAACGCGTAGTACGTAGGCAGTAGCGCGTGGCGCATAACGCGGGGCGCATAAAGCGTAGCTTGTATCGCGTAGTGCATAGCGCGTAGTTTGTAACGCGTAGTACGTAGCTAGTAGGTAGTAGCGCGTAGCGAATAATGCGGCGCCCGTAGTGCGTAGTTTGTAGAGCGTAGTTTGTAGCGCATCCGTCGTAGCGTATTGTTCATAAAGCGTAGCTTGTATCGCGTAGTGCATAGCGCGTAGTTTGTAACGCGTAGTACGTAGCTAGTAGGTAGTAGCGCGTAGCGAATAATGCGGCGCCCGTAGTGCATAGTTTGTAGAGCGTAGTTTGTAGCGCATCCGTCGTAGCTCGTAGCGCATTGTTCGTAACGCGTAGCTAACAGCGCGTAGTTCTTAGCGCGTAGTTGATTTTTTTTAAAGTGGTAAGTATTGCATTTTGTATAATAATGTAGATAGGTAAATCAGACTCAATTAATCGTTTATATCACACTTTTGGGTTTTTACAGCATAGATACCTACTTATATCACATATCTATATTAAACAGAGAACCGTCGGCTAACGATGAACTGGTATGCATCGCGTGACATTGTCTATGTTACGCCATTGTTTTAACGTGATTACCTTTATAATTGTCGCTGGTTTGTTGTGAAGCTTTCTGTAAATTGATGGGTTAATTTATCGCTTACCGACCTGGAGTCGCCTATCTAACTAAAGTAAATGATTATAGTGTCTTGTGATTTTGATTAAAGAAGGAATAAGCTTACATAACACGGGGCAAGGCAGAACCAGAAATGCTTATAGCACCTACACTTTTGCTAGGGACGTGAAGACTTTTCGATAAATATCGGACATAGCCAATTGCTGTCACCGAAAGAAAAAATTAAATTCGATTTTATTGGCTCATATACCAAACCGCTAATGAAACCTTGCATTAGCGGACAGTCGTTAGAGCAATAAGTCAATCAGTAATGAACCCTCCAATATTAGCTTTAAGTTCGAAATTTACATACACTCCTAGTCCAGAAACTCATACACGGTTCACCTATCAATGAATCTGTCGCAATCATAACCCATCAATGCACTATACATAAATACAAACAATGTATCTAGTTTCGATCGATAGCCCCCACGAGGTCGGAATGGCCTGTCATTTCGAAGCCGTTATTAACTTATGTTCACACTAAACTGTAGTTACGGATGTTTGTCAGTCATTTCCTGATCTTTAGTTGCTGATATGGGAATTCAAAATTTCATTGTATGATATTGATGTTTCGTGGTTTTTTGGAGTGTTACATTCTGATATCGAGGTACCTATGTGCGATTAATAACTAGTGGTAGTTGTTCTAATCGTGTACAGTGGCCAGTGTGAACACATAATATTTAATGTAACTTTAGAATTATAAAAATCTGAAGGAAATATTGATAAGTGTAACGCGGCAATTCGATTTTGGTTTGTGTCGAACGCACGCGCGCTACTCTAGTGGCAACGCGCCACCACACTATTTCCCTTCCCCCGCTTCCCCGCCACTGACCGCTCGACGCTTGCGAGGACGCGGGAACAAAGAGTCCCGCGCCGGAGCCGCGACGCACACGCCCATATTTGTGCCGCGAATATTCTTTGAGATTTTTGTATTATTGTGCAACTTTGTTTTATATTTAGTTTATTTCCAATATATACAGTTTACAGTCATTCGTGTGTCGAACGTTATTTCACGCCCCTGAGAACCCACCACCCACAATCAATCTTCATCACTATATTACAGTGGCGCCCAACGTGGGGCCACGAACGAACTGTGCATAAAAACTCAAAGTTACAACAAGTTCTAGTGTTCCTATCGTGCAAACACATATTGTGAACTCTCTCCGATAGTGCAATCACACGAAAACTATTGTAAAACCAGTGCAAATACGAAAGTGAAAACACTTGGGCGAGTCCATTTTCCGCGTGCCGCCGGTTGCGTCTGTAGGTATATACCTATCGACTCGTTGAAGCTACCATCCTCAAAATCATCACCCGTGCTCTTCGAGCGAGTAACAGTTGGAATTGCCTGTTATCATGCCGCCGAAGAGAAGAACTGGAAGAGATGAGGGATCGGATACCGACACAGATGTCGAGATAAACAGAACCGTGATTTCGTCCCCGAATATTACAATGTCGGAGGATATGCTAAATACCCTTGTCTCTAACATCACTAGGAGTCAAGTGGAAGCAAACAGAGTTCTGATTGAGAGTATTTTGGCGGGAAACAAAAACCCGCTGATTACGTCATCGCCGCGCGCCGAAGCCGCCGACGCACACGCGCATGCGCCGCGCGCAGGTAACTTCGCGAAATGCACGGCGCGATTTAACGGATCATCGAGGAACGCGGATGAGCTTGAAGCATTTATCGAGGCCATCGAAGTCTACCGCGACTGCACCAACGTCAGCGACGAGCACGCGCTGCGCGGCCTCCCGATGCTGCTGGTGGGCGAGGCCGCCGTCTGGTGGCAAGGAGTGAAGCCGTCGGTTACGTCGTGGACCGACGCCCTACAACGACTTCGAGGGATGTTTGGAGTGCCGCGACCCGGTTATAAAATACTTCGAGACATTTTCGCTACCGAACAAAATAGTGAACGGGCCGACGTATTTATTTGTAAAGTGCGCGCTTTATTATCAAAATTACCGTACGTAGTACCGGAGGTAATGAAGTTGGACATTGTATACGGGTTGTTAGATCGTAGGATTAGAAAACGCGTGTGTCGTGATTCCTTCGACGGGCTGGAGCAACTCATCACTAAAGTCAGGTTAGTCGAGGAGTCACTGGCGGAGGTAAGTTCCCCCATTTGTAATAATAATACGAGTTCTGTTGTCTCGTGCGCCGCGCGTGACCGTTCTGACACAAACCCGAGTCTTAAGCTTTCGAAAACCGTCGCCGAACCCGTAAGTTCGAAATCGTCATGTAGCGCGAGTTCTTTAGTAAGTTTACGTGATGCGGCCGTGTTAGGTCAGGCCTCCACGTCTAATGTAAAATAATAGTGACGTACGAAAACGTACGCGACCGAAGTGTAGTTATTGTAAACTTTTCGGGCATTCAGTTGATAACTGTCGTAATAAGAAGGAAGATACTTCTAATAATAATGATAACACTCAGTTACGTTGCTACGGATGTGGCCAGCTGGGAGTAGTGCGCTCAAAATGCGATAAGTGCAAAAGTACAGCCGACTCAAGTAAAGTAGATTTTTGCAGTACTTACATTGTAGGCGTGAGTGATAATGATACACAACCGCTTATAAGTATTGAGGTCGTTGACCGTAAGGGTGTGGCCATACTCGACACGGGGGCCACACATTCTATCGCGAGCCCTACACTGCACGCTTTGCTCGTTAAAGCTGGCGTGATGTTTAGGACGGTCGTACGTACCGTAGGTCTTGCCGACGGGTCTCAGCAGAAACGTACCGCGCTTGAGTGTGACGTCGACGTCATATTAGGAAAACGCGTGATACCCACTACGTTTATGGTGCTACCGAATGCACAAACGAGGACGCTGTTAGGTAGGAATTTTATTATGAAAGCGAATATCCTGCTGGATTTACCACAGTGCAGCTGGCGTTTTAACGACGAGTCGAGTTGGCATCTGTTTGCCGCCAGCCCCGCTTTACCTACCACTGATAGCATGGAGCCGACCGCGCTGACGGTTGACCAGAGGGCAAAGTTAACTGCTTCTCTGTTGGATATAACTAACCGCTCCGCAAAGGAAGAACATTCAACCGATTACACCCGGCTTCGATTAAAGTCTGACGCGAGCCGAGAACGGTATCGTTTGGCATCTACTCTCGTAGCACCTTCAATGCAGGGGGAGGGCCCGGAGGAACGGCCAACCGTCATGAGTTTTACTCCGTACTTACGACGTACGTCAAACGCGCCGTTTGACGCTCGTAAAGTCCGTGAAAAGAACCGAGTTAGCGAGAAACGTAGCTCTGGAAAGAAACGTCACCCTGCGCCGGAATATTCCGCAGGAGCCGGAGATCTGCTTTTAAAACCCAGGGCAGCGACGATGCGCCCCGCGGACAGACTCCGAGGTCTAAATCACGTCGTAAACTAGATAGTGGCCAGAATTCGGGTAAGTACCGCGTCTCACAGTCGACTCCTTTCGTGGGCGATGTACTGATTCCGCCTGTTATCGAAAAGCGTAGGCGCGGAAAGCGATTTCTAGACTGACCAAGACGCGAGGGCGCTATGTCTAGGTCAGAGGGGGAGGATGTAACGCGGCAATTCGATTTTGGTTTGTGTCGAACGCACGCGCGCTACTCTAGTGGCAACGCGCCACCACACTATTTCCCTTCCCCCGCTTCCCCGCCACTGACCGCTCGACGCTTGCGAGGACGCGGGAACAAAGAGTCCCGCGCCGGAGCCGCGACGCACACGCCCATATTTGTGCCGCGAATATTCTTTGAGATTTTTGTATTATTGTGCAACTTTGTTTTATATTTAGTTTATTTCCAATATATACAGTTTACAGTCATTCGTGTGTCGAACGTTATTTCACGCCCCTGAGAACCCACCACCCACAATCAATCTTCATCACTATATTACATAAGCTATTTATCATTTTCTTTCCTGTAATGATATCTTTTGGTTAACAGATCTCTTCCACTCGTTCGTAGATCTTTTGGTGTTCTCATATGATGTAGATACCAATACAACTCAGGAGTTGTTGTCACAGTGATTTGTACCACAGGAACCCTATCGATCTTACCTGTACGTTACATCTAAGAAGCTATGACTAAGGATCTTGCTACGTGGTGAATTCAGCACTACTTAATTACTATATTAGGTACCTATAAAATTGAAGACTCACCAATCCTGGAGGTCCAGTCAGTGTGTGTGTCTTCCCACTACCCGTCTGTCCGTAGCAGAAGGCGGTGCATGAGAACCCTTCCACTGCCATCTCCAACAGTCTTTTAACTCCCGAATATTCTAGAATGTCTTCCTGCAACATTATTTTTTTGCAATTTATAAAAGTGATATCTTTAGTTCTTGACTAAATTAAGCTTTTTGTACTAACTACTAAAAAAGAGAACAATTATTGAGAAAACGTCGAGGTAGGTTTGATAATTAGAACAATGGATTAAGAATGGATTGGAGACGTGTGTAATGGAGCTGGATTTTGTGATAAATAAATAAACCAGGAAAAGAGTTCTTAAAAAGTAATTACAGAAATCTATTGTTTGTCAGTTTTGGATTAAAATAATTACCTGTGTCGCCTCAGGTTCGAAGACAACATTATAAGAGAAAACTTTCGCCTTCTGACTAGGTGTAGTGTTATGGCAGACCACCTGCCCCTTGCCGGGGAACTCTAGCAGGGTCCGCTCACCACATGAACGCTCCTTCTCACTGATTGGTCGCACCCTAACAAAGGTAGATATTGGTAAAATTAGAGAAAGTATATTACAATAAATAAATAAGTCTTTTTACGTTTTTTTTATGGCATAAGCCAGTAAAGAAGCAGACGGATCACCTGATGGTAAGCAATCGGCGTCGCCCATGGACATGGACACCCGGAACACCAGAGGCGTTACAAGTGCGTTACCAGCCTTTTGGGGATTAGGAGTTTGAGGATCGTTGGGGATTCAGGGATTGGGGAGATTGGGGAAGGGGAGGGTAATTGGGCCTCCGTTAACCTCACTTACACGACGAAACACAACGCAAGCGTTGCTTCACGTCAGTCTTCTATGAGGCCATGGTGTCACTCCGGTCGAGCCGGCTCTCCCACACTTACGTACGTAGTCAAGTTCTATTCATATGTAATTTTTAGCACGAGTTTTTTAGCGGAACATTTCGGAACTTTTTTACTAGGGGCTCACAATGATTGCTATTTAGTAGGTATATGTATTATTGTATGTTTTAGATCTTAGAGCCACCTTGTAATCATAAAACTAGGATGCAATACCTACGTTCCAAAAATGGTAAAAGACAGATAAACCTCTTCTTAGGGTGTTTTTTAATACCAAATAAAAGACGCCGCTTCTGAATAACTTGATTTGGCAGTCTGTTATTTCAGTATTCAGTGTTTACTTTAGCTCCAATTATTGACAACCAAAAAATTGAATAGCAATTTGTTTCAAAGTTTGTAATGATAATGATTCTCCAATTGTTCTGCTATTACAAATCGCCTAACTATACAGCTAATGGTAGCAACATTAAAATTAAATGCTCACAGTTCAATATAAAAGGGGAAATTACGGAAATATTTATATAGAAACCTGATATTAAAATGGTTGAAATTAATCTCAGAAAAGTGTCGTGTATCGTATCGTGTACCTACTTGGTGGTTTAGAACAGGGCTGCCCAAAGAAATGCCCGTGGGCATGCGGTCCGCGGCTTTGTTTCATGTGGACCGCGATACACATTTTAATCGTTGAGATCTTCATCTTATGTGCAACAACAAAAATAAAAATCAGTGTATGATTTGTATACAAGTTTAGTCTGTGAGTAAAGAATACAATGTTAAGCGTCATTATACAACGTGAAAATATTATTCTGGCCCTCCAGCTTTTTTAAGAAAGGGGGGGCGAGGGCATATAGGTTGGACAGCCCTGGACTTTAGAACATCGATCAATCGAGGGCGGAGTCGTCCTTTCAGATTGAAACTGATTGTGTGAAGGATATTCATGGATTTACAGGGGACTTTTGTTTATTTGAAGTTTTGTTATACTAAAATATTTAGTTTTTATTATTTATAGATTTGATTTGTCTGCCCTGTAGCTCGACAAAGAAAAACTAACCATAATGGATGAGATTTTGGATTCAAACTATTGTTTTACCTCATAAGATTTTTTTAAGTACCTACAAATTTTCTTATGAAATTCAAACTAATTGATTTTTATTATTCTTTTATCAGAACCGGCTAAAAAGTTTGACCTGTATGCTAGCTGTTATTTCATCTGAAATAACACATTCAATTTTTTTATTCACCTAGCATTTGACTTTTCCTTTTAAATTACTTTAAGGACGTTATCACTCAATTAATTTCATTGTGTAATGCCATCTCCCATGGCCATAAGATACAAAAATACTAAATAAAATGTAACTATTAACATCGAATCATGAATTTTGTGAGTCTTGGTTACTTTAAATAAATGATTTTATTATTAACTAGCGGCCCGTCCCGGCTTCGCACGGGGGGACTTAAGATTTTTTACATAGTTTTACGTTTTATTTATATTTATTCTCAGTTTTTTTTAGCGACCTGCCCTCCGTTGTCGATGTCGCGTCTTAAGGTAACCGATTGAACAATTCAAAAGTTATCTAGAGCAAACTTTTATAAGGATTGAACCATTCATTAAAACGATTGTTATGGGTAAACTATAAAAGGTAGACATATGCTCTCGCGGACTTTTTTAAAAATAATGTCAAGATAAACAATTCATCTATAGAACATTTTTGTATAACTTTAACTATATGCTCAGCGCACGCCACGGAAGGCCTCAGAAACGATACTTTTCCCCCGTTTTTAAAACATTTTTGGTTACTGCTCCACAACTATAGGACCTAGCGTGATATTATATAGCCTATGTTACTTCTGAATAATGCAGCTTTCGAATGGTGAAAAAATTATTGCAATCGGTTCAGTAGTTTTTGAGTTTATTCATTACAAACATACAAAAATACAAAAATACAAATCTTTCCTCTTTATAATATTAGTATAGATTATTAATTATTATTCATCCAAAGCTATCAAAAATCTACTAAGTGCAACAAAAACTAGAGATGTTTTACTAAACAGAATTCTGCGATTCATTATCGTCTACCTACCTGGACAAATTCGTCCATTGTCAAGGTGTCATTCGTACCTACGAGTATCGATTTCTTAACATTTAACAATATCATGTCAATAACCCAAATACCTAAGTCATGTTCGATTAAAAGCATCGATACATAACACTGCCCTGGCAATTATTGGCCGATTTATTATACATATATTCCGTGAATCGACTCTCTGATTATATGTTACAACTGTTTGGTACATTGTTATGGTTGATACAGTTTGATGCATTAACGCTGTATTGAACCTTAATTGCTTAAGGTATAGGTTCAGATTTTGAAGCTTATTTGGTAGTACGTAATTCAAAATTTGGTTTAGATACAATCTTCACTTTTTTCAAGCTCAAGATTCACATTGTTATTAAACTGCACGGTTGGGCGGTGGATAGGCAACTGACTGCCATGTGCATGTGCCATTGTGTTTGTTAACGCACCCACGACATAAGAAAAAATCCTAGTGTGGCTGGCAACGTTTGTACAAAAAAAGAAAAAAAGAACAATGTGTATAGTTAACTAAAAATCGCGGGTTACTCACGTGAATATACTGAGAAAAGCTCTAGTAGGCTGCGCGACATCGCCGCGACCGCGCACGCTACTCATGCGGAAGAACCCCTCTGTGGTTCGAAACTAGTAGAGCTTTTCTCAGTATATTCACGTGAGTAACCCGCAAGTTTTAGTTAATTTAGTATGTTATTATAAAAACAATGTGTATAGTCTCCTGAACTGTATCTTACCTGACTACTACGTTGATGTTGTCTTCATCAGCATTGAGTGTAGTGCTGGAGCCGCGCGTACTTCTGTCCAGGCTGCCAGCTCTACTGCTGCCGCTGTAATTATTGATAACGATTCGTATGGAAGCAAATTTTATCCGGCTTAATAATAACAAATTAAACTGTCAAACACCGCGAGGACACCGGTGATCGCAACCTATTGTTCTTTAATTGTGTCTATAATGACGGTACTCAAAGGGTTAATTTTATAGGTGCCCCATTGGTCGAGTGGTCGCAAGTGCGACTGCCAGGCAAGGGGTCTCAGGTTCGATTTCCGGGTCGAGCAAAGTATTAGTATTTCAAAAAAAATCACAGTAGTAGCACGGAGTCTGAAATTGTGCCCGGTATGGGACTCATAACATAAAAAGTGAAAAGTGAGTGTTACATTGTACAGTGGCATAATGTACACCTCTGCTTTACCTCTGAAAGGGTACTTTCGGGGATAAAAGGTGTGATGTTATGTTAATTTTATAGCTGAGTATTGATTGAAACCAAATAAAAGTAGAAACAAATAGAATTCTATTATCTCATATGAAAATGAACGGAGCTCTAAAGCTTGTCTCTTTAGTATATAGATTAAAACAAAAGGATGATTTTAGGGTGTTTACAGAACAAATATGATAACACTGTAACTCAGATATTCAACTGTACTAAGCGTCGTCTTTGAATATTTTCCTAGAAAAAAGTTATACAAAGAAATTGTTTGTTAGCATAGAAAACAGCTACTGCCTACAATATTAAAGAAACGATTATTTAAAGTCCAGGCGACCTAGATATCAGTATTTACTTTATTTAGTCAGCCATGGGACAATTTTCTCTACAAACTGTCACAGAATACTTTGATGTCAGAAATTGTTCATTTTTTATGCATGAAGAGTAATGGTGCTGGCAGAATCGATTGCTTGTATGATATGTTTTTTGATTTTGCATTCTGAACTGACCAGGGCGCTTACTCTTGAAACCAATCTCAATGTCAATGCAATTTCAATCCAATATGATCTCAATAATTATTAAATGTCAACACTATACAACCACAATCTTAGCTGTTACAATAGCATTCAGAGTACGGAATATAAAGACAAACTCAATACCATTTAGTTCATTCAATATCTACGCAATACGGATGCAATGGGCTCTAGTATTGCAACTCAAGAGTACGAAATTTCACAATACCAATGTCGATCGATCGGAATTGGATTCAAGAGTAAGCCCCCTGATGTCAAGGTCATGTCGTCAAGTGGTATTTAGTAAATAGCCAGGAATATTAAATACATACTAGTTTTCAGGAATTGTTCAAAAAAAGGATCGTTGAAGTGATAAGCGAAAAGAAAACTCATTTCGCTTCTTGTTTAAATAAATGGTTTTTTTAAACAACCATCATTTGAGTGGTCTACCTTTTTTAACAGAGATGTTACGGAGCTCCGTAACCGTAACCGAAACTATCGGATATCCGATATAAAAAATATCCATAACCGTAACCGAATCCGAAATAAAAGTTTCGAATACTATCGGATAGCGGCGTGACGTATAAACGAAACAATTATATTAGCTATTTGTATTTTACTTTTGAAATTCCTTAAAATTTTAATATCCGTAACCGAAATTATCCGAAACTAACGGATAATCCGAAATAATTTCATATCCGTATCCGTAACCGTATCCAGTATAATAATCATTTCTATATCCGTATCCAATCCGTACCCGAAATTTCATATCCATAACATCCCTGTTTTTTAATATAGACCAACAAATTGGAGGTCTGTAAGTAGAATATTTTGATTCTTCATGAAAACGAATGACTTTGAATGAAATCCTATATTCTATCTCGGTTGCAACCAGAGATTCCGAAAACTAAATATTTTTATGCATTTCTTTAACACTTGTCTAACAAGAACACTACTACATTTTCCTTTTACCTAATTGAACAAAAAGTTCACAAAGTTGCAGTAACTACTTAACAGTTGATGGTATGCAAATGTTTATTAACCAATTCGTTACCTTCATGGCAATTTGTATATTACTTTGTCGTCCATAGCCACAACCGCATCGAATTTAATACACGGTAATTTGAGCAAAACCTGAAGGAAATGTAGCGTCCAAGTATTTCCTTTGCGTGGTAATCAAGAGTCTCACGCCATGCTATGATGAATCATGATTGAAGATTGAGAGTTTAAAAATAAATGTGCAAATAAGATTAGCTTACTCACTAGGGTAAGCTTTGGAATTAAAAGGATTATAGTTTTATTTTATTTATTTAGGTAGGTTCTAATGTTATGTTTACGTAATTGTAAAACCCTCCTAATTACTAATAAGTATAAGTATTTCATTTTTCATTGACATATCTATAAAACCAGATTAAAAATAATGAGTAAGTATCATGCAGATATGCAATTCTTAAAAGCTTTAAATTGTCCTTAAACTTATTAAAATATATACCTAGACAAGACAAACATCAATCTACTGATAATTTGACAAACAAAAAGTCCAGCAACTTCCCTAGAAAGAAACACAAATTCGTGCAATAAATAAATAATTTTAATTAAACACTTCGGTCAATAGGCTCGCGTGATTTACATAAATTGTAGGTAGAACCACAAATTGTTCCCAGAAATGCTTTAAGTGAGGGTAGTTGAATATTCAAACAATTTAGTCGTGATTGACAGCTGGCTGAGTTGTGGCGTCGGGCTGACTAAATGCCAAGGGCTCGCCTATTGACCGCTGCGCTGGGGCACTAGTCTACTATAGAAGTACAGAGCTACCTACCTCTAATAAGGCTTTTGCTCTTTCAATTTAATTGAGGATATTGACGCTATTAAAGTTTGAGGTAATGAAAACAGGACAGGTCACAGAAATGAGAAATGGTACGAAAGGATGTCGTCATAGTATAAAGAACACAGTAGGTTATCTAAGGCCGCCCGCCGAGTTATTAGCCTACTCTTGCGTTGATCCCCAGGGTTGTCACTTTTACTTTTAGTTAATATTTTCGAACAAGCAACACTTGATCTAAATTTATGAAATGAAAAGCATATTATGATTGAATATTTTATCAATTTATAAATTTAGTAAAAATAAAAAGATTATTAACTTCTTAAAATAAACTTTAGCTCTATACATAGTATTCAGAAAGTAAATTTGGGAATACATTTATATGGAAAAATGCGACACGGCCACGCTCTTAACAAATCAGATAAACTGTGAAATAAACAATACAATACCACATTTTCTTATAATATTTAAGTATAGTAGGTAATTACATTTCTGGTTGAATAGGAACTATGAAGAATGATAAGAGTAAGAATAAGTAAGTAGGTATCTCATCATCAAGTACCTACAAATTATATTATGCTAGAAAAAGTGACTAGCTTACCTTTCCTGTTCAATAGGTAATCTGAACAGAGACAGTTCTGGAATCGATTAATTATTAAGACACCCAAACACACAGCAATACGTTCTTCTACGATTATCAGACATTTTTTATTTCATTTAACAGTGCCGAAAAGTGATGCGCGCGCGAACCTCGTGCAGTGTTAGCCCTGCCTGGCGCACTGAGAAACGGGTCGAGATTTTGTTAAAGTGTGCGTGCGTCGACGCATAGATACTATAGCGCACACATATAAGCCGCGCGCGGAGCATTTGTATGAAGATAACCTACTTTGTTCTTTATACTATGATGTCGTGGTAGCCCAGAGGTTTAAGACTTCTCATGAATGAGGGCGCGGGTTCGAAACCTACCAACAGCAAGTACCAATGTGAAAGTTATATGTACTTTCTAAGATTATCTACACGCCACTTGCGTTTGTTATTGGTGAAGGAAGACATCGTAAGGAAACCTAGGCTTATAATTTCTAATTATAAGTTTGTAATCGCCAACCCGCATTGAGCAAGCGTGGCGAGTAATGCTCAAACCTTCTTCGTGTGAGAAGAGGCTTTGCTCAGCAGTGGGCATTTATAGTAGTCTTATCATATCAGTGATTTATAGGCAGTTGATGATGACGGACAAGGAGTTGTATGTTGTAATGACGTCTGATAAGGAAGAATGGCAAAACATGATATTTTAAGCACTGCACTGATACTGCAAGTAACTTTGGCTTGGGGTAAGGTCAAGAGGAAGAATAGATAAACGTGTAGTAGTCGTGCTTATTTTATTTTTAAAAGAAAATTACTTAATCGAAAGAAAACTAAATCTATCTATAGTATAAATTTACGGAGTCGCGGAGAACCTAACGGGTTACCGGGGCTCCGGCCCGAAGTACAGGAGTAGGAACGGGGTGGTTTTAGTCGGTAAGAGTCGGACACTTCCTCCCGCCTCACCCAGGCGGGAGCAGCCATACGATGAATTTTCGCCCTTAAAAAAATCTATATAAATAAAAATGTAATTCCGTTCTGTCTCTAAAACTCGAGAACTGCTGAACCGAATTGGCTAATTTCGGTCTTGAATTATTCCTGAAAGTCCAGAGAAGGTTTAAAAGGTGAGAAATAAAATTTTTAGGCGGTACGAAGTTTGCCGGGTCACGTAGATATACCTATATAAATAAGCTTTTCGTGTGATGGAATCAGAGATACAGAAAAATCCAGAGATAGCAAAGCAATCAATACAAGCAATACATTTTCAGGTATTTTCTTTGTATTTATTTATTTTAAGCAGGCTTACAGACTAATACATTGAAAATGATTTTATAAGAGTATAATATTGACAAATTGCTAATTACAAGCCTCCACATATAGATAAAAAGAAAAAACATAAAGTTGTTCATAGCAAATCCCATATAGTCATTCATGTGTTATTGATATTTTCGTTTACATAAGTAATTTTTAATGCAACAGTATGTTTGTTATAAAAACAAACATACTGTTGCATTAAACATAGAACATAGTAAAGAATGTTGAAGAATTTTGTGGGTATAGAAATAGAGAAAAACTCTGGAGATGATGATGATTAGAAGGCACAAGGCATACCTACCTAGAAGTTATTGACATAATCTTTATTAACACAAGATATTTTTCAATAAAGTCAACAAATCCCTTGGTTTACTAATCACAACTTTTTTTTAAGGGGGAACATCAAGTCATTAATGACTTCTCCCGCCTGGGTGAAGCGGGAGGGAATATCAGACTGTTACTGACTAAAAACCACCCCGTTCCTACTCCTACACTTTGAGCTGGAGTCTCGGTAACCCGTTAGGTTCTCCGTGGTTCACTTATCACAACTTGGCGCTTACATGACAGGTCTTTTTTTTAAGAGGGGAAAATCATCGAATTATTTCATCTTCATATTCTTTATCACTTCTTCATCGGAGTATCAGACTCTTACTGACTAAAAACCACCCTGTTCCTACTCCTGCTCTTTGAGCCGAAGCTATAAGAACATGACAGGTCTAGAAACTGAATAGGTCACGGCCAAGGTTGAACACATACAACTGATTGAATACGTTTACTAAATTATTCATTCCAACTTTACGAACTGTGATACTAACGTTATGGCAGGCAATAGCCAATCGTACCAAATTGATTAATTACGTAGGCAGTATATAAGGTCACTTAGCTTTAACATTTAGTCATTTGTAAGGGTTACTTGTGAAAACAAACTGATTTAGTACTGAATGAGTCATTAGAACTATGGTGGTAATAAACAATGAATAAAATATTTAAGGTTGTTTATTTAAACGCGAAGTTAGTTAGTAACTTGAGTAAACCCTAAAGCAAAAAAAGCTTTGGTTAGTTAGTAAACTAAGTACGTACTTTACACTGAACTGAATTGTATTTTAATTAGATATTATATATCGCTTACCTCTAGCCGAGATATTGGTCAAACGTCTGCCCATCAAATATAAAAAAAAGAATATATTTGGCAAATTGTATGAGATTTACCACTACCTACTGGCATACTCTACATGAGAGGATTTGCAATAATCTTCATGCTTGGGATGCAGAATGCAATTTTAAAGTTTCAGGTTCATCAGAAAGCGCTGCTGAACTATCTATGCCGCACTTTTAAGACCCCTATCGAAAAAGCAGGAGTGGTGGCTGATGAATATGTATTCTATCTACTCTGTCATTACTATACACACCATAGTATTATGATGATTCCTTCGAAAATAAAATCAAAATTTTCTATACATCTTAACCTTGGAACTTATTTCATATCGCACAAATCGATATCATTCTTTGTTAGAGAAAACCAATAGGTTTCTATCAATGAATGGGAAGTGGTGAGCTATTTGGAGCAAGGCTTCGCATATCAATACTCCATTAACTCCTGAATGGTAAGTTAATTCGTTTAGACATTTACTGTAAAGTTCATTTTATACGTCATTCGTGCGATTTGAATTAAATTGTTTTGTACGACATAAATTGCTTAGATATTTTAGTGTTAAAATCAGAAAAATTTATGTGTGTCTATAAAAGGGTTGAAAAGAACTTTCTCAATCTGACTAACAACGAGGGTTGCACCTTCAAAGCTAGTTTTCATGTCAATTACCAAATCATAAATCAAGTCAAAGGTGATTGGAACTACACTAGACATCGATAAATTATTCACATAAAACAATACGTCAAAGTGTAAAACTGTGGGGTATCGATAATAGAGGGGTTCCTAGATTACTCGTTTCAAGTGTAAAGCACTTTCTAGGGATGTGACCACATTGCGTGTTTCGCCGTAGCTATAGCCCATAGTGATTCATTGGTTCGGGAGCGAAGGAAACTTGCGTACAGCCTAGTCTGTTACTCATGCTTTTAAGTTTTCGTTGTAAGTGGAAAACAGGAAATTGCGTAGTTTCAGTTAGATGTTAGTCATTTTATTAGTAGGTAAATTTTAAGTGGTATGATTTAAGTAGTTTTTTATTGAGCCTATTTTCTACTAGGAAATTATTTCATATATACTACCTATACTACTATACTATACCTATACATATTTTTTTATACGAGTAGGCGCATATAGACGCATTTCAACAATGAACTATCATGAATAACTTCCGAAACACTACATTTCCTAAAGCAAACTAGTCATTTTTATTAGTTTCAAGTAATTTTTCAACAAGTCAGAAACCGATGACTAGTCTAGTCTTGTAAGTAAATTGAAAATTCCAAAAATCCTTTACACAAAATTGAACACGTCATTTTAATTTCGTAATCTGTTGCCATTTTAATGACGTCATTAATACAAATGTTAAATGAATGCGTATGAGGTCATTTTCTTTGTATAAAATCAAAGTTTCTAGGTAAATTGTGAAAAGGTTTGTATATTGAATCAAAAGGCTTTAGGTAGCCTGTCTGGTTAGTGTTAGACCATGTACACGTCAATTATTATCTGTTGTGTATTGACGTTTTTCTACAACTTGGGGTCGCATAGAGGTCAACATTTTACTTACCTACCATTTTATTTATTATATGTTTATGTAACGAGTGTTTGTTATGATTCTGATAAAACGGAAAAGCGGGTCCCGTACCTTGTCGAGTTCCGCATGTGTCATTAGTTTGTTTACACATGATTTTCTTTCGGCAATCTGCCTATTGGATAACGTGATGATGTTCATGATGATAGGTTTTGGCCGTTTGGCCTCATTATGACGATCCAATTAGATTATGTTAATCGACCATATTAGATTTTGATGATTTTAAAAGGCTGCACATCAAAACGATCAGCTTGTCTTTTGCAGTTTGTTAAATGCAAAAGGTACGTCTATACATCTATATAGTACCTTTAATTCAATTACTATCACTCTATTGGCTGGACTAGAATTACTAGTAATAGTATAATAAGACCGCTTATTATTTAATGATCCATTTACGCCAACTGTTATACTTTGACGTCATCTGTCTGGCCAAGTCCTGAGTAAGTGTATGGACTTATTCAAGTTATGAGTACCACAACAGATGGCTAAAGTCAGTGGACTTGGTACTCAAGGACTATGTGTGGTTACCTGGCAATGTAAGGGTCAAGATCGCTAGTGATATGACCTTGAACGTGCCAGTACGACGTGCAATACTTTTATTTTAACTTTTGCGTTGAATTTTTCCGCCACGATGTCACCTAGCTTCTACAGATGCTTTAGACTTAGAGCAAGTCACCCAAGCTTTTCAATAGGTTTTCGATTTTATTATACAAATGATAAAGTTCAGATTTTACTAAAGAGATATTACTATACCTACTGCGTTTTGACTATGATGTTCCATTTAATTTTAGAGGTAATTAAGAAATATGGCATTCTAGATTAAATTTTTTTTTAATACAAACGTTTAGAACTTATATTTCTTGTGATTTGATTACTAGGGCAAAACTTTAACTCGTCCTGAAATTGTGAGTTAATCTGTATTTAGATACGAAGTGGTCTTACCTGCCGTTCCTGGATCGGCTTCGTAAACTGTCGTCATCACGACCCCAACCCTTTGTAAGGTTTGGTAGTCCGAGAACACTGCGGCCTTTCGCCATTCCACCGCCTGGTTGTTCTGTGCTACGAGCCTTCCGTGTTTTTGGCTCTTTGGCTAATAGAAGACAGGTTACGTTTTATTGGCTGGGCACTTTAGATACTATGACAACTTTGTCAAGACTCTCACTCAGTCATTAAATGGTTACTTAACCCAGTATTTAAAACAATTTTAATTATTTTCGGAACGAAATCTTAAAGGAAAAGTTTATCTAATTTGAGTACCTACCTACAGCAAAGCTACTCATCTATGTTAGTTGAAATATACGTACTTAGATAGATAGGTACATAAAAATCTCTTGTCAAAAAAAGAGTCAAACGATAGAAGCTAAGCGTCATCAATATTACCTACACGTTTTTCTACGTAATACATATAGTGACATTTTGATGCGTTAAGAAATCAATCTAACTTCTTCAAAACTGTCATAAGAATTAAAATTTCATTTCATTTTGTAGGTGGTAGGTACTTATTGAGAGCGATTGTATTAATGGAACTTTAAGGTTGTGGGCGTTTAGAATATCTTGTTCCACCACAACTTATATGAATTCCTAAAATCCTACGAACTAGATAGGTATTTAACTATTTAAATTCAAGAAAGTGCTTATTAAATCAAACTGTCCTTAAAACACAAGACGGACTAAATTAAAAATTAATATCTACTGTCGAAAACTCACATTTGGTACTACCGGCGAGTGTCTCAGCAGACCTGGATATATTTCGGGATAAAGATGTTGGAGGAGCTCTCATGGGAGTCGCCTGTCTTTGTTGATAGCCCATCTCTGATCTCACAGGATGAAACAGTTGAAGATTCTTCAGCGCCATAACTTATATCGAACATTTTCACTTCTAATCAACATTTGAAATGTTTCACTCGCCAACTCTCCGACAAAACTAACTACAGTCAATTTGTTACCAATTTTCAAATAACAATACGCGAATAAATGCCGCGAACAAGAGCTTGTTTCTGATAACATTATCACATGATGCGGGTACGAATCAACTTTCTAGAAAGTCCTCAAAATAACATAGGTTTTTGTCAAACAACAATCACGTAAATTCAGTGACGGCTAATTATCGTCATAAATAAATTGTAACATAATCTATTGAGCCTATGTCATAATAATCGATGTCTTTATCAATGCCATGTGAACAAAAATGTGTTAAACTCGATATGGAAGAATATAAAACGAAATTAACACTCCACTAACAATTAAACCAATCCAATATAATGTTCAAAGATTATTAAAATTTGTTTTATTAATGGCGCGAACGGAATGGTGGGAAATAATTTTCTGTGGTCAATATGGCGGACGCAACTGTCACACACGCGCGCGAGGCACAGACTGAAGTGTTTTCAGCCAGGGTGGTTTAAACTATTTAGTGGGCTTTGAGGGTTTGTTATTGATACCTAATTTTTAGCGGTAATTTTTACGGTTTATTTTTAATGAATTTTGTTTACTTTATTTAAATGATTTTTTTATTAAAACCCTCAGAAACCAGGAGAAACAGATTTTTTTTTTTAAATTCAGTATACGAAGGTATAGGTAGAAGTTGTCTACTTTTGAATAAAATTACATGAATTTTGCTGATGTGTGATAATTTTGTACTTTTCGGAAATTCCTTGATAAAGTTATTTATATTTTTTACAAAATTGCTAGAATTTTAATTTAGTTTTATCATTGATGTGAATGGTAGCTATCTAAAAGTCCACGCGATACAAACATCAAGTCGTAAGTGTCTTTTTTCAATACTGTTTGTTTTATCGTCCCATTAGCGCATGGAACAGTGACAGTATGATATCACATTTTCATTTATTTCCTTTTTATTGTTTTGATCGATATGAAATTTCTTTGGAGTGCGCGATGAGCGTCTTCTTGAACGTTTTAATACTTAATTGTGTATGATTACTACGTTGTAATAATAGCATTAGTAGGTACCTATAGGTATCAACTTATAGCTATATTTTTTTTCTACTATAAAGAGCATCCGAGATTTTGTTAAGAGATGCAGGTGGCGAGCTGTCGTTCGACGTGGAGGACTAAAGGGGAGGCCTTTATCCAACACTCGACGTTTTCCAGCTGTTGATGATGATGAGAGAGTACCTACCCATAAGAAATTATGTTCGATTATATTAATGAAGTATGAAGCCTACAAGCTGTACATTTTGCGTCCATCATTTAATTGGCGACTAGAGTGATACCTAGTTTAAAAAAGTTTTCACGTTTAGTCGGTTACGTACGGTTGCCATTTTTAGATTTCATGCAGAAAAAATTAGACATTGGTATCCCAGAAACCTTTCCTTAATTTCCTAGGACGTATTGAGTCATCCTGACCGAAGTCCTATCATAGGCAGGTACTTTGTACGTTATGTAACTATTATTTGTATCAAGAGAGATTTTGTTAATATGTATAGATTTCTAAATATATTAATTAGGATATGAACTATTTGGTGTGAAGGTCAACGTCCTCGTATGTTTGTAAATATGTGTGGTACCTAATAGTTTTGTCCAACAAACGTAATAACTATAATTACAAAGTACTAATTTGATACAATATTAAATATGTACTAGAAACAGACACTTGGTTCATTCATAAAATAAGTTTAATTACTTTAAGTTCTTACACAAACTTTATTTAGATTTTATTGGCTTTTTTTCAACAAAGATTTTTAATATCACCAGATATTTAATCAGTAGATATTGTTTTGTTATTCTGTTTCCCCTTTACAAAAGGCCTACCAAAAACTATTATTTATTTCAGCCTTTTTAAGAAATTACAAAACGAGCCGACTGGATAGCTGGAACACTAAAGGCGTTACAAGTGGGTTACTGGCCTCTTGGGGACATGGAATTTGAAAATTGTTGAGGGGATAATTGGGCCTCCGGTAACCCCACTCATACGATGAAACACAACAAATGTTGTCATTAGAACAATATTTCGTAATCCACATCAAAACATCCCGTCTTGTGCATTTAACACAAGATTTTTTGATCAGCAGCTACTCTTAGACACTAGAAATGTCGCGGAGAACCTAACGGGTTGCCGGGGCTCCGGCTCGACGTGCAGGAGAAGGAACGGGGTGGTTTTTAGTCAGTAAGAGTCTGACACTCCCTCCCGCCTCACCCAGGCGGGAGCAGTCATTCGATGATTTTCACCCCTTAAAAAAAAAGACACTAGGAATCGACAGACGTAAAATTATTTAAGACTTGAAGGTGTATGGTAATCATTTTTTTTTGATGTCTTATTGCTAAGACACTATTGGTGTTGCCACCATATCTAGGGAAATCTCCAAATAGTTAGCGTTTTACTAAGCAATGACCGTACCAAGGACTCTCCATTGTTAACTCTAACAGACAATTTTGAATGCTTTTATATAATATGTACTTTCCTAGCTATGTAGCCACATTGATAGACCTATAGACACTTTAGTCTATTAATCATAGACGTAGTTGCGTTGAATCACGGCGAAAATTATAATAAATTGTTACTATGATTAATTGAATTTGGCTAAAGAAGGAAATAAATAAAAAAGCTATCTTAGAAGTACACATAACATAACATCACGCCTTTTATCCCCAAAGGGGTAGGCAGAGGTGCACATTGCCTACCTACGGCACTTAATGCCACTGTCCAATGTAACACCCACTTTTCACTATTTATGTTATGAGTCCTATGTAATAAGGGGTGAGCCTATTGCCATCCATATACCGGGCACATATCCAGACTTTGAGATTTTTTTAAAAAACCCAGTAATACTTTGCCCGACCAGGCCAGGACCAGGCGACCACCAGGCAGTGGTATCACTCCAGTCGAACCTGCTTATTCGCGCCGAAGCATGACTCTACTTTAAGCACTTAAAGTGATAACTGCAGTTATTTTGAATTGTCTGTATAAAATAGGGGGTACCTTAACGCCCGCTTATAATCATCAACAAAGTGGCTAGATACTGGTGAGCTATGATTGATAAAAAATGTAATTAATTAGCTTAAACTGCATCCTCTTTACTACAAATGCAAATACATTATCATCAAAAATCCCCTAAAATCGATCATACAAATGTACAGAAGGTGTTATTATTGTTTACGTTTATTTTCCATTAATTATTCACCAGCCACGTACCGAATAGGAAGGGTGGCAGGTTGTTGACACCACTGCCCTTTGTCCATCACTGATTTTTGTAAAATGTTGACCTCTCGCGTTTAGTTGTCATGTTAACATGGCTCCTGGTAATTCTGGCTGGTATGTGCTTTATGGTATAGTTACTTTAATTGAGTTTTTTTAGGAAGCGGGAAATTTCAAATATCGAAAAAAGAGCGTTTATTTTTTTATTCATTTCGGCTATTCAGTCTGAGGACGGTTGGAATAATATTCGAATTAATGTTGGATTAACAGGATGTTACTCTATCGATAAATAGTGTTGCTAAATTAAATGAGTCTCTATTTTATTGATAGAATTAATTTCACAAGTTTTTTAGCGGACAGGGAGCAAACGGCAGACCAATCATCTTATGCTAAATTACAAGGTTACAAGTGCTTTGCTGAACTCGCCCTTGTCTACCAAGCTACTTGGCATGTCTCATTTATTCATTTGCCAACCGCCATCTAATTTGACAAATGAACTTCAAAATCAATCGACTTACGCACCTAACTCTCACTTCTCCACTTTTCCGTAGCAGCAATTCAACGTCACTATTCCGATTAAATAATATCGATTAACCGTCAATCAATTCGGTTGATAATAGCCTTCGGTTTGATTCGTCAAAACAAATTGCTGGCATCTGGGTCACACACGAGTAGTGTGGAAGGGCTTTTGAAGTCAAAGCATGGCCCAAAAGGCCGGGGTTTTTAGTTCACCGCGTTAAAATAGGTCGGAAAGTGTCTGCCACCAAAAAGGTTAGTTATTTGAATTAAAAATTTTAATAGAACAATGCAGTTTTCAGCCAATGAGAATTAAGAAAATTAATCAAACTCCCAGTTAAGAAACTCTTCTTGTTGAGATCGAAAATCGAACATCGCAGGTTCCATTAACTGCGTTAAAGACGGTGCAGCGGAGTAGATGAATAAATAAGAAGATATTTTTACGTTCGTACTAAGTAAGTATTAATACTTTACGAATACTACGAATAATACGAATTTAAAATCGTAAGGTCTAATTTCCACCTTGCCCCCATATATGGAATTAGTTTGTAAAAATCTAAAATTGCTGATATCAAATCTACTTAGTAAAGTTGCACAATCATAGGAAATAAATATGTATACCTACTATTTACATACTGCAAAAAATGTGACCATTGACATAAAAAAATATGAATCACACACAAAACACATAGTTTCCAATGTCATCGGCCAGAGAGCGCTGGCCGTCACGCGCATGCGTACAACAGCCGCTTTGGGCGGGAACCACATCTGTCATCCGATCAAAAACCGCGAATTAAATTGCAAGGCCTCATTTTGTTTATTACGCCATAATCATAATAAATTGTAGATGTACGGTATATAATTCTTCTTCAAATTACGACAAAAAGGGTAATAAATTGGCAATAAGTATGTCATTTCAAGTAGCAGGACAATTGCTCTTTCATTGAGCTTGGTAAGCTGTAGGTATGTGACTTTGACTTTACGATGTGTGTTGTGAACTGTCTACGGAAAATGACTTTTTCCATAGTAAGTAGTAGTCTAGTCTGTGAGCCCTGATTTAGACTGTTTTGATTTAGTTATCTACTGAAAAAGAGGCGTTGCTGACCAAACATTATTAAATAGGTACCTACTTAACTATATTGAAATAATATTTTATTGATATAGGGCTGCTAACAAGCAGGCTGATCGCCATCACTAGAAAACTTAAAAGTGTGCTGTAGGCCTTTTGTGAATTGGGATTGGAGAAAATGGAGGAAGATTGGGCCTCCGGTGGTCTCACTTACACACACAGATGGTAAAACACAATGCAACAACGCTTGCATTAGCAACGATTTTGCTGTGAGGCCGTGGTATTTCCCCTGTCGAGCCGGCCCATTGGTGAATATATTAAAATATATGTGAAATAATTTAATGTGATTTGATAGACCGCGTAGTGTAGTAGCACGGTTCGTTGGCTGGCAGTGCACAATGACGTGTCAGTCGCGGTTCGGTGCCCGACGCTTTTTGATTTACTTGTTTTAATTAGTTTGTTTCCATTTGTACCTACAATATTATTTTTCTATTGGTTTTAACTTTTTTTTACACAATTTTGGTGTTAATATGCTATCCTGTGTTACAAACTGATTATAAATTACAAATTGATTACAACACGGTAACTTTTAAACCAACCGTCAACGGAACAAAGAACTGCGGTCTATAAACCTTTAGTTGTGGGCCTATGTTTAGAAGATGGCGTCTGTGACTCCATTTTTCAGATTTTGTAAACAAATGTTTTCTGAAAGGTAAGTATTACGAACAATTTTTCGAACTCAAAAATGATTGATGAATCTACTTGAAAGTGCAATGGAAACAATCACCAATAGTTTTGAACAATAGCACTTCCCCTTCCTGCTTCAGAAGTTGCGCAGATTACAGTGAGTCGACTGCTATTATTTAATTTTGGACACATCCTACTTGAAGATAATCATGTAGACCATATCTTCTCTACCGTAAACCTAAGTAGCTGTAAAGTATTTGTCATGAAAAGTGAATGACACCTGACCACGTTGTGCATAGTTAAGCATAAAATGTCACAGGATTGGATTTGTAAATTAAATTACGGGCGTGGGTCGTTCTTGGAGATATTTGCTTTCGTGTTTGATTGAATGACTTCTTGTTACATTTTTTGGGTAGTTTCTGGTACCTCACGTAGCTCACTAATCGAAAACTGCTTTTACCCCGTGGTATGCCGGCCGGAACGTAGATCTACGCGAGACCAAATGTGTTCTATTGTGTCTCCTACACTGACATTCAAGTGGTTAAAATTACTTACTTACTGGATTGATGCACTGAAATTTTGATTACCATAATTAATTTGATATGACATCGTACGGACATGATTACAGACATTACAGAGTTCAGAGATTTTTCACCTATTCAAGAGTTAAACATTTCCGCAGCGAAAATCTGAGATAATACTGTAACACTGCAACGAACGACTACGAATATACCTCAAAACTTCTATCTATCTATTTAAAAATGAATCCCTTTTTCCCTTGGGCACGGCTTCACGCGTAAAAATTTGGCTGGTCCAATTTCACTAATTCTTTTTTTTCGTATTTGTTTCTGTCAAGAGAAGGTTCTTAAGACAGTAAAAATCCTGAAACTCCTACGGGAACGGGAGAAGATGGGATTGCACGTACGAAGTCGCGGGCAGACGCTAGTTAAACATAAAATAGCTAGTCGTGTGTCTATGGCTCAACTAGTGCTATAATGAAAGGAAGTGTAAAAATATTTTGCCTGTATTCGATGATGGCGGCTGTAAAATACACACTATAATATCAGGCGCCATGTATTCAGGCTGTGTGTGATATTGTTCTGAATCATGTAACGATGCTATCTCGTACATCTGGCCTTTGGATGCAGTCTCATGCAGACCTTCACTATATAGTCGAATATTAGGGGACTAAAATAAAATTGAATTGCTGACATAAACGGCCTAGTTGGAGAGGTATACGATATGATTTGAATATCGAATTGCAGTCATTTCACAAAATAGTAATCGACATTTTTAAATATTCTAGATCTAATTAATACTGATATCGCAACAAACAAATATCATTATTTATATTTAAAACACATAGGTACAGACACAATCAACAGGTAAACATATTCAACGAATTCTTGTTGCAAAAATTGACATCGTGTCAATTTGCCAATACAGCTAAGTACGTAGACTATTTTGTGAACACATTTTTTTTGCATCATGGTAATTCTGTTTTTGGGACTGTCTGAGAAAAAATAATTGCAGTAGGTATTAAAGAGAGATAATATATTAATAACCAAAAATGTCGTCAAAAAAAATTTCAAAATATAACATTTTTTTTAATGTTGTGGAGAGAGGAAATAATGGAACGTGAAAGTTTAATACTCTAAGTATAACAGCATAAAAAAATGTAACAGCTCCGAACTATGACCCTATATTTTGGAAAAGCGAAGTCAAAAAACTCTCAATCAATGGTTTCAGGGTACATAGTATGTAGATACGTACAGAGAGGACAGTAGCCTTCACAATACGACCCAGTAGACCCTAGGCGGATGGGCAAACAAAAAACCAACGATCGCCATAATTATTATAAGCGCGGGACGCATGCGCTGTAGCCAGTCCGCCATAACCCGCCCGCGCATCCACTTGCGCATAGACACGAAAATATTTAAATCCTTTTTAGTTGAATACTTTTTAAATATGTAACAGTTTTATAAAGATTTTCTAGTTTTTTTATTTTTAAACAGAAAGTTTTTGTGATTTTTTTACGAAAATAATGAACAATAAATATTTATAGTTCAGTTTTTGAACAAAATGGAACGAATCGCTATTTTGGTGAGTACAAAAATGAGATTAAATATATTTCTTACATACTTATAAAAATAAGATAAAAGTCATGAAGGTCTAATGAGCTTTTTACTGCATTCTGCACTCGATTAAGTTTTGTTTTTACATCGTCTGGATAGAAACTAAACCTGTTTGCGGTAGATTCGCCCATTTATAAATAACCCAATTCCCGCTGTTTTAAGGAACTTGGTGATTATAAATGACATGGTCGAATTAACTTTAAATAAACAGCTGGACTGCAAACTATTGTTTGTTCTTTATATATATTTATTTTGTGAACATATATCAAAGTCAGTATTGTACCTACACATTCAATTTTTTTATTTATTTGGGAACACAAACAGTGACACATTACATGATAAATTATCAGGACACAATATATAGGTAGTTCGAACAAATGTGTAACCAACGGCGTTTTTCACAAAATATAAATGAAATCATTAACACTATCACAAAAACTTATAAACTAATAAAAAATAAAAAGAAAACATAAATAACATTACGCCTTTTGATCCCTGAGGGGAAAGTATGAATATTTTTCTGTGGTTATTTATGGTTCAGAAAAAAAAAAAAAACACGTAGGTAGAGATTTTTATAAATTAAATGTGAAATCACTAATATATAATTACTATAAGAGATAATGTAAGAAATATTTAATTTCTGACTTGATTTTACTTAGAATAAACTTAAGTAAAAATTTAAGCTTATAAATTGAATAATATTGCATAAGTAGGCATAGACAATAGAGTACAGATATAGGTAATCCGTTATGGCATATAATGGTAGAGATGAAACAAAACACTCGTAAAATTGACTGCGTGTAATAAATATTCTAACTGTACTGCTGTTGTATTATTCATATTATTATCTCGATACTTTAATATATGACCGAGAGACCTTTATACATAGGTACTATTCCCTAAAGAGGTAGGATAAGTAGGTATAGATAAAAACTAGATCCATGTTTTACTAAATATTTAAAAGAGGAATTAATTTAAAAAACACTCTTGTCACGGACATGAAATGAGAAAGAAAGAGAAGTAATATGAGAGAGCTGTATATCTCTTTATATTATAATAGTGACGTTTGATACGGAAGAATGGAAGCAGAACATCTTTTGTGGTAGAAAAATAGACAAAGACCTAGTTTTAAAAAGAAAAATTAGACGTCCCATAACCTTTTTTTAGAAGTAAAAAATCTGTTGCCATTTAAACCAACTAATATTATCCTAGAGCAATTTTATAGTTTTTATCGCTTAAGGCGAAAACACTTATACTTACTATCTTAATATACTTAACTATATTAAGAGTAAATGAGATTTGCACTTTGCACATATAATGCCTGAAATGGTCTATGTTATTAGTAAGCAAATATGTTCAGCCCCTCATCGAAAAGTTCAAGTAATTAGTATTCATCGTGGGTCATCTTAACAACCCATTTTCAACAGAATAGATCACTATACCATTTGCATTATCATAGCTTTCATGAAAGGAGTTGATAGTCCAAAGTAGAATGATGTCAATGACGTAAAGTTCAGAAATCTAGGATCAGTCAGGTACAGAGATTGTCGTGAAAACTTGGAAAAAAAAACCAATACTAATTATCATTCGTCCTCACTTTTCCAACGCAAATAAATTGTGTCGTCTACTTTACACAGCCCGCTGAAAGTGATTTAAAGCTTTGGTTAAAACTGTTAATACATTTTTTGGCTTGTAATTAAAATGTCCATTATATAACATGATATAAGTAACGAAAACCACGTGTAGATATTTAAGCACACAATCATTACTCAAAAATGTGCAGTACACACAATCTCCATTAAAAAATATTTTGTAAGCATAGTTTACGTGCGTAAAGTTGTATCATAATTCGTGGTCGCACAGAGGTAATCTTTTGTCTCCATTAGCCCACGGCCACACAATTATATACCGATTATACCGATTAAACACTCGGATGTGTGCCCACTAAACAATACAAGTTAGCTCTCTGTCTAATTCGTATTTTGTTTGTATTATATCATTTATTATATTAAGTCCTACTTCTCACGGTTTTAACACAGGCTTGTCGAATGACGTATTGTCACTGGTGTCGTATATGGTTCGGTGTAAATATGTTTTAAGAGTGGGACTGGGAGAACACAAAGCAGCAGCTAAGTCGAATTGTGCTGTGTTAGGCTGTTGAAGTAATGAGTAAACAAATACAAGATAATCCATGTTTTATTTCTGTATCAGTATCCGTACAATACACATACTTAACTAATTAATAAGATTTTGGACAGAAAACATGTTATGAACTTATTATTATTAGACCTACTTCCTCATTGATCGAGTTTGAGAGGCCTGACGAGGAAAATATTGTTGAATTTTCTTAAAAATCTTCGCAATAACACGCACTTATTTAGGAATCGCATCTATTCGTATTTTGTAAACCAGTAAATTTTTCTTTGTTATATAAATTAAAGAATGACAACCACGTTTTTTGAATGGTTACCAGTAGACTGCCAAACATTATTTAAAATTATTTAAAAAAAATTGATTTGTATTTTGGGCGTAGTTGTTGTCAGAGAAATATAATAGACAAGACAGATTTCCTTCTATTAATTTGTCCACGAAATATTCGCTTGTTCTTTACACATAGGATTTAAGTATTCGATATCTCACTGGCCTGCGGACGGCGAGCACGGGTAACTCGCCGCCACAGTTTGGGCCCAATAGGGCTATTGCCGATACGGAGCCGCGGAGAACCTAACGGGTTACCATGGCTCCGGCTCGAAGTGCAAGAGTAGGAACGGGGTGGTTTTTAGTCAGTAAGAGTCTGACACGGACTCTCGCCTTGACCCGGGCGGGAGAAGCCATTGGATGATTTCCCAAATAACAAAACCGATAACAAAACCGTGTTATGTGTAATAGGCCTAACTCAATCTATGTTTTCTGTCATTAAATAAATGATGACGTACTTATTTGATTCTTAACTACTATTTAGGTATAAATATCAAAATATACACACATAACACATTGCAACATAATATAACGAACTCAGTGGTCATCTTCCTGTACTAAATTATACAGAAACAATACGAAATTAGGTTGTGTCCTTCACTTCTATACATTTTCTCTTTGTGTGTGATCATTCCATTGTCTTTAGAGGTCATAGGCTGTTTCAGGGCAATTTTATGGCGTTTTTTTGCATATTTTGAAGTACATGTAATGTTTATACTGGGTAATTTGTTTGTAATTAGTTAAGTATACGTTTGTTCTCAGGCATCGTGTGTTAAAAACCTTTTTAGCTTGAAGAGAATAAGGTGCATTTTCGTACGTTTACTTTTTAACAGTCTGGAAGGTATGTCATGAGTTCTTTAGTTCAGGAGGCTAATTGTAAGTCGGTACTTAAATTAGGTCGAGGTATAGGTGAACTAGGTACTATTAAACAAATTTTACGTTTACCTAATGTAAAATTCTAGTTACTAGATTGTTGAAATGAGATAGAATTTTTAGAGGTAATGCTCTTTAACTAGAATCTAGTTAAAGAACATTATTTATAACTAATCCTACCTAGCATAGAAACCCATACACACACACTTATGTATATTATTTTATTAACGCGTGGTCGGGGTGTCGACGTCGCGCACGCTGCTCATGAGGAATAACCCTTCTGTGATTCGAAACTATGTAGTAGAGCTTTTCTCAGTACATTCACGTGAGTAACCCGCGATTTTAGTTAATTTAGTATGTCTCACGATAGTTATTATAAAAAATGTATTTTTTAGTGTATGTATTATTTATTTATAAGTAGTATTATTATTGTATGTATTGGTTTGATTGTTGTTGTACACTGGACGACCCCCTTTTTTCCAACTCCTGATTACTGGCTTCATCCAAAGGTTGTCTGTAAGAAATCGCATTCTGCGATAAGATCGCCGGTACACATTTTTTTCTCTCCTTGTTTTTATGGTGTACAATAAAGTGTAAATAAGTAAATAATAAAAGCACAAAATGAATAAGTAAAGAAATATACATCAACATGAATTCACGTGTCAATTTCTGGTTTAACCTACCAACTAATTTTAAACTCAGCTACCGGATCTTGGTCACAGGTCAATCAAACTAAACAATTCTAAAATAACAATGAAATATTTTTTCTCCTAGTCATAACCATAACCCATTAAACATCTCAAGATAGACGGACAAATTACACAAATCATATTTACATTAATACAATTACGTGGTTTTTTCACAATGACGTGTTGACGCGGAAACTGCTGGACAAAAAACGATGAAACAATTCGTTCGCATAGCTAACGTGCCGTGATATTGACTGATCGTAATGATAATACTTGATGAGTACATAATGCATATTTATAATTGTAACCTCTTTTGTTGTAGTTTAGCTTTTTGTTGTATTTTTTTTAATGTGTAAATGAGTTGAATGCATTGTCGTAGATATAGATAGGTGTATGTATCTAATACGGAAGCTTACGGAAATTGGATAATGTTAAAATATAGTGGGAACCGTTCGGTCGCTTAAACAGACACTGTTTCATCATGAAAAGAGCTCCCATTTTAATTTACATTCCTTTGTTGCAGGTTGTATTTGCCTTCATATTCACCTGCCTTCAATATACCTCAGCAGAAGAAACAGTTCTATCAGAAGTATTAACACCAACGACCGAGAATGAAAATGACAAATTAAAAAGACAAAGTAGAAGTTACTACGACTATCGGTATGGAGCACCACGACCTTTGTACGATAGACTAGAATACGGGAGACAGGATTATGACAGGCCACGATGTGGTAGATGTGACGATCGTAGAGACGACCGCGATGATAGAGATGACGACTACGACAGACGAGACCGTTATGACGATGACAGACGCGGACACAAACCAACATATGGCAACAGATACGACAGTAAAAAGAACTATGACAGCGACGAAGACAGGTATTCCGACAGAAAGAACAACCAAAAGAACGGAACAGAAGAAGAAAATGGAGACAATAAGAGTGGATATGATGATAAGGATAGCAGACCAAGCGGTAGTCGACGAGGAAGCGATAGAGACAGAGATCGAGACCGTGGAAGAGACAGGGACCGCGATAGGAGACGAGGTGGAGACAGATACGATGACAGGGATAGATATAGGCCAGACTATTACGACAGATTCCTAAGAGATCCTTATAGAGAAAGAGATTACTATGATGACTATAGAGGAAGACGACCATCGTATGATAGGTACTATCCTAGTTATGATGATGGCCTTAGCAGATACGATCCCTATGGATACGCAGGCGTCAGAAGACCAGTGTACGATGATAGAGGCTATGATGATGGATACGGTGGATACGGACCAACTACTGGCAGGGGAGCACATGACAGGTAAGCCATTAAATTATAAAAATGAAACCAACACTTCTGAAAGCGAAATTGGTAATTTCGTACACGCAACATATAAAACACTTAGGTTGTTTATTTTTTAGGTTTGTGTGCTATTGAAACCCATAGAACATATAAGGAAGGTTTGTATGTTCTGTGTTGTCACAGATAAAATATTAGGTCAATCAAATAATAGTGACAGTTGACCTAACCTAACCTAGCCGGGTTTACTGTCCCTCTAACTGTGATGAAAGTAACCAATTTCATTAACTTTTTGAACGATCCAGTTTAGTGTTTTCTATATAGTTACAACAAAGGTTCACATAAATAAATGTGACACCTTAAAATTGTAATAATCTCCAGTTATCAGGCAAATTGGAGATAACTACAGTAACAACAAATAAATATCAATCAGTACGTGTGATGTGTGTACACGGTATTAATCAACTACCTGTACAACGCAGGCCGTTGATAATCACTTTACGTGTCCGATTAGAAGTAGACCATAAAATTAACCATTGAAGAGTTCATTCACACAATACAGACAGCACAATGTGTATTATTCATTGAAATAATGTCAAACACATCGATACATGACGCTTTCACCTAAAATTCAAAATGGCAATACGAATTATGGAATGTAACGGTAAAATTGCATAGGTTAGGTTGTTTTCCCGCCATTATGGGCAGCCATTGTTGTTGTTTTATTGAACTCTGCGATTATATATTTGAGTTTGTTGAAGTACTGGTTTGGTTTCCGAACCCTTTGTTCGTGTTTGGGCTGTTTGGTTTGAGTAGATGATTAACCTTAATCCTAACTAATATTATAAATGCGAAAGTAACTCTGTCTGTCTGTCTGTCTGCTACTCTTTCACGCCAAAACTACTGAACGGATTTGAATGAAATTTGGTATACAGATATTCTAGACCCCGAGATAAAACATAGGCTACTTTTTATCGCGAAAAAGGGGTTGTAAGGGGTTAAAAGGGGGGGAAAGTTGTATGGGATTTCATAATTTTTAAAGATAAAACCATGAAACTTTATACTTAAGCTCTTGATAAAAAATAATAAAACATTTGTTCTAGCGTTTTTGAAATTTCGACTCACTATGTCGATTTTTAAGAATAATTATTACGATTTATCTGAAAACCTGAAAACGGATATCTGACAGGTAACAACCTAATGATTTGTAATTGTTATGGCGTCCTACTTTCATAATATATTTCGGCATCAACATATAAAAATGAAGTTCTGTGGGTATTCAAGGAATAATATTAGTATTCAGCTGCATCAGGGATCAGGGATTTTAAAGACAAAATACGAATTCAATTGACTGAATACAATTTATTCATAGACTAGCCTCTGTCTGCGGCTTCTCTCGCGTTCTTTTAATGGGGTAAGGGAAGGATTTACAATAAAAAAATGAAATGATGCACGATTCTATGCTGGTCACAAATAACCCGCATACCAATTGTTAGCTTTCCACATTGAAAATTGCAAAATACCTCATACAAACTTTCACCTCTGTTTCACGGAAGTGGAAGGGGGTTAGAAAAAGACAAAAAGTAGCCTATGATACTCTCCATCTTCTCAACTATCTCAAATCAAAAACCTTCCTGACTCAGTTCTGTCGTGAAATACGGACAAACAAACAAACAAGCACATACAAATTTATATTATTAGTATACATTTCTTAAGTCATCTGACATTTGTGTGACAAGTGAGTTTACAAAGTCAATGAGTCATAGATTTTTTTTATACTATGGTATTAATATTAAGGTATGCAAAGAGGTTGACAGCAGTCTAAGGAGATAAAACCACGAATAAAATATTTTCAGTTTACTTGAATTCGTATTTTTTATATGTAGAGGTATATCAAAAAATCTAGCTAAATGCACATAGCTAAAAAATAATATTAGTCCTTTTCATTTTAGACCGTCAAGGCCAAATTCACTATGATAGTTTGCTGTTTGTTTATGGCATAAGCCGGTAAACGAGCAGACGGATCACCTGATGGTAAGCAATCTGCGCCGCCCATGGACACCTGTAACACCAGAAGTGCTAGAAGTGCGTTACCGATCTTTTGGGAATTGGTAATTTGAGGATTGTCAGGGATTGGGGGGGCTGGGGGAGGGGTAATTGGGCCTCCGGTAACCTCACTTACACAGCGAAACACTCCTTTAGGTAACCGAGGGCTGGGCTCGATGTCATTGAAGCGGAAAGTCCCCTCTTTAAAAGTGGCTTTAGAGAGGCCATCAATGCAAGGACCGCCCGGAGAACACGGTGGAGCATACCGTGGCGGTGTACATGGGCTGAGCACCGCCGTGTTCTCAGGGATGTAGGAAACGGTGACCTCTCGCGTTCGGCTCTGGTTCAGGCCATGGAGCGAGGGGGATTGGGATGCAGTCGCATCCTTCTGCGAAGCAGTTATGCTTGCCAAGGAGAAAGCGGAGCGCGTGAGGGAATGAACTTCCTCACGCCCCAGCCGTCGCGGGAGACACTCTGGGCGTCGGAGATCGGCCGGCCACCGGCCACCGTAAGTGCGGGTCTGTAGACGAAGAGCAAGGGTAGCTCGCCACCCGACCAGAAACAGTCCCGTGCATACGGCGCGCGCCTTACAGAGCCATGACACCATCATAGATGGAGCCCAGTAGGGCTGATGCTCGATACGGTGCCGCGGGAGGCCTAACGAGTTGACGGGGCTCCGGCTCGACGAGCAGGAGTAGGAACGGAGTGGATTTTAGTCAGTAAGAATCTGTCACTCCCTCTCACCTAACCCAAGGCGGGAGAAGTGATTGGATGATTTTCCGACCTCAAAATAAATCTCCTTTAGGTAATGACAACCCGATGTGTGAAAAACTACCAAAAAAACTCCTTATATTATTGGTATTGATTACGCTGTGGAAATTATGGACAATAGAGCCAAGGGATGTATTAAGTCTTATAGAGGACATTAATATCAACATTAACATATGTAACTAACCTAACATATATGTAACATGTATCATATGTAACTAACCTAATATCAGAATACCTATTTTTTCATTTAAATGTTTGCGATAGTAACGCACGTCGCACCGGTACGTATCAGGTCACATTATAGGAGAGAGGAAATCCCAAAATGACGGAAACTATGCGCTAAAAAACCGGGACCAAGGACGTTGAAATAAAGAGGGGCTCTTACCTTTTAAACCATTGAACCTATTTGGTGAAATTCGGTACAGCGAGAGTTTGAGACCCGGGAAAGGACATCTAAAAGTTTTTAACCCGAAAAACCGACGAAACCGGGAACTGTGCTGTTAAAATCACTATATCTATTTGATTGAAATGCGATACAACGTTGATTTGCAAACATAGAATAGTGAAACCTCACGAGACGGGCACTGTACGGGTAAAACCTCTATGGGATTTTTTATTTTAGAAACCACGAAAATAAATTCATTTCTCAATAAATATAACCTAGGTACTGAATCGATTGTGATGATATTTGTTCCAGTTGTACAGCCGTAGAATATACCTTGACAAAGACTAATTTAAAAAACCCAATTTATACAGAAGTCGTTATTTCACGCGGACGAAGTCGCGGGTAACAGCTAGTTTAGTTATAGTTAGTACCTGGTATACTATACATTAGAACATAGGTATATCCGTTACTGATTGTGGGTATATTGCGAAAAGATACTTCATTAGAAGGTAAAATGATAGGTAATTAAAAACATTAGAATTAGCTTTACTATTTTGTCTATTAAAGTATCCCCGAATCCAAACACATTATAAAAAAATACGTACAATTTAGTTGGCTCATTGTCTCACACCTCATTACTCCTCGACACATATGAAACAAAAAAATGGGGCATTCCACTTTGCGCACCTAAATGAAGCGCACCCAGACGAAGCGCACCTAAAGTATTCCACTTTGCGCACCTGTAGGTGCGCTTAAAATAAAAATTCTAAATAAATAGTTTTTCTATTCCACGAAGCGCACCTACGAATATCACTCACATAGTGCGGAGACTAAGAAATAAAAATATCGATATAAGAACATATTTATTATTTAAAAGACTAACTTAAATATCTAACATCATTCAGTTTCATCATAATAATGTGACACAATATTTGATATTTGTCCATGTCTTTATTGTAATTATGAAACAATCTGTGATTTTTTATGTTAAAGTAGAGTATTTTTATTATTCACTAAACATGAAAACTATATTTAAAATATAATAACACTAGCTGTTACCCGCGACTTCGTCCGCGTGAAATAACGACTTCTGTATAAATTGGGTTTTTTAAATTAGTCTTTGTCAAGGTATATTCTACGGCTGTACAACTGGAACAAATATCATCACAATCGATTCAGTACCTAGGTTATATTTATTGAGAAATGAATTTATTTTCGTGGTTTCTAAAATAAAAAATCCCATAGAGGTTTTACCCGTACAGTGCCCGTCTCGTGAGGTTTCACTATTCTATGTTTGCAAATCAACGTTGTATCGCATTTCAATCAAATAGATATAGTGATTTTAACAGCACAGTTCCCGGTTTCGTCGGTTTTTCGGGTTAAAAACTTTTAGATGTCCTTTCCCGGGTCTCAAACTCTCGCTGTACCGAATTTCACCAAATAGGTTCAATGGTTTAAAAGGTAAGAGCCCCTCTTTATTTCAACGTCCTTGGTCCCGGTTTTTTAGCGCATAGTTTCCGTCATTTTGGGATTTCCTCTCTCCTATAATGTGACCTGATACGTACCGGTGCGACGTGCGTTACTATCGCAAACATTTAAATGAAAAAATAGGTATTCTGATATTAGGTTAGTTACATATGATACATGTTACATATATGTTAGGTTAGTTACATATGTTAATGTTGATATTAATGTCCTCTATAAGACTTAATACATCCCTTGGCTCTATTGTCCATAATTTCCACAGCGTAATCAATACCAATAATATAAGGAGTTTTTTTGGTAGTTTTTCACACATCGGGTTGTCATTACCTAAAGGAGATTTATTTTGAGGTCGGAAAATCATCCAATCACTTCTCCCGCCTTGGGTTAGGTGAGAGGGAGTGACAGATTCTTACTGACTAAAATCCACTCCGTTCCTACTCCTGCTCGTCGAGCCGGAGCCCCGTCAACTCGTTAGGCCTCCCGCGGCACCGTATCGAGCATCAGCCCTACTGGGCTCCATCTATGATGGTGTCATGGCTCTGTAAGGCGCGCGCCGTATGCACGGGACTGTTTCTGGTCGGGTGGCGAGCTACCCTTGCTCTTCGTCTACAGACCCGCACTTACGGTGGCCGGTGGCCGGCCGATCTCCGACGCCCAGAGTGTCTCCCGCGACGGCTGGGGCGTGAGGAAGTTCATTCCCTCACGCGCTCCGCTTTCTCCTTGGCAAGCATAACTGCTTCGCAGAAGGATGCGACTGCATCCCAATCCCCCTCGCTCCATGGCCTGAACCAGAGCCGAACGCGAGAGGTCACCGTTTCCTACATCCCTGAGAACACGGCGGTGCTCAGCCCATGTACACCGCCACGGTATGCTCCACCGTGTTCTCCGGGCGGTCCTTGCATTGATGGCCTCTCTAAAGCCACTTTTAAAGAGGGGACTTTCCGCTTCAATGACATCGAGCCCAGCCCTCGGTTACCTAAAGGAGTGTTTCGCTGTGTAAGTGAGGTTACCGGAGGCCCAATTACCCCTCCCCCAGCCCCCCCAATCCCTGACAATCCTCAAATTACCAATTCCCAAAAGATCGGTAACGCACTTCTAGCACTTCTGGTGTTACAGGTGTCCATGGGCGGCGCAGATTGCTTACCATCAGGTGATCCGTCTGCTCGTTTACCGGCTTATGCCATAAACAAACAGCAAACTATCATAGTGAATTTGGCCTTGACGGTCTAAAATGAAAAGGACTAATATTATTTTTTAGCTATGTGCATTTAGCTAGATTTTTTGATATACCTCTACATATAAAAAATACGAATTCAAGTAAACTGAAAATATTTTATTCGTGGTTTTATCTCCTTAGACTGCTGTCAACCTCTTTGCATACCTTAATATTAATACCATAGTATAAAAAAAATCTATGACTCATTGACTTTGTAAACTCACTTGTCACACAAATGTCAGATGACTTAAGAAATGTATACTAATAATATAAATTTGTATGTGCTTGTTTGTTTGTTTGTCCGTATTTCACGACAGAACTGAGTCAGGAAGGTTTTTGATTTGAGATAGTTGAGAAGATGGAGAGTATCATAGGCTACTTTTTGTCTTTTTCTAACCCCCTTCCACTTCCGTGAAACAGAGGTGAAAGTTTGTATGAGGTATTTTGCAATTTTCAATGTGGAAAGCTAACAATTGGTATGCGGGTTATTTGTGACCAGCATAGAATCGTGCATCATTTCATTTTTTTATTGTAAATCCTTCCCTTACCCCATTAAAAGAACGCGAGAGAAGCCGCAGACAGAGGCTAGTCTATGAATAAATTGTATTCAGTCAATTGAATTCGTATTTTGTCTTTAAAATCCCTGATCCCTGATGCAGCTGAATACTAATATTATTCCTTGAAAACCCACAGAACTTCATTTTTATATGTTGATGCCAAAATATATTATGAAAGTAGGACGCCATAACAATTACAAATCATTAGGTTGTTACCTGTCAGATATCCGTTTTCAGGTTTTCAGATAAATCGTAATAATTATTCTTAAAAATCGACATAGTGAGTCGAAATTTCAAAAACGCTAGAACAAATGTTTTATTATTTTTTATCAAGAGCTTAAATATAAAGTTTCATGGTTTTATCTTTAAAAATTATGAAATCCCATACAACTTTCCCCCCCTTTTAACCCCTTACAACCCCTTTTTCGCGATAAAAAGTAGCCTATGTTTTATCTCGGGGTCTAGAATATCTGTATACCAAATTTCATTCAAATCCGTTCAGTAGTTTTGGCGTGAAAGAGTAGCAGACAGACAGACAGACAGAGTTACTTTCGCATTTATAATATTAGTTAGGATTATTATAATGAAACTGACAGATGTTAGAAATTTAAGTTAGTCTTTTAAATAATAAATATGTTCTTATATCGATATTTTTATTTCTTAGTCTCCGCACTATGCGAGTGATATTCGTAGGTGCGCTTCGTGGAATAGAAAAACTATTTATTTAAAATTTTTATTTTAAGCGCACCTACAGGTGCGCAAAGTGGAATACTTGAGGTGCGCTTCGTCTGGGTGCGCTTCATTTAGGTGCGCAAAGTGGAATGCCCCAAAAAAATCTGCTAACTTCTCACTCATTAAAATTAAAACAACATTACAATCTACAATAGTAACCTACAAACGCAAATACCGTAAGTTCTCCGACCAGATATAATCTTCGGGATGCCTCTAATTCCATACAATTATCTTATTTGCAAGACAATCAAATGTTTTGCAGATTTTTGATTAACAGTACACGCGTACAGTTACCTCTGGATCATTGTACACATTGTTTGCTGAGGGAATTTAATTAACCCGTCGAGCGTCCGCGTTCCTTATGATCCAACGGGTGCACACGTGACTTTTGGAGAAAGTAAGAAAGAAAATGCATTTATTTGGCACAAGAAAACAAGGATCATTACAATAGAAATAAAAAATACAGTCAAAATAAAAACAAAACATTAATAATAGATTTTATAAAAGAGGAAGCAGCATGGACCATTTTTTCTTATGATCCACCGGGTGCTCATAAGGACGTTCGAGGGGTTAAGAGTACATACACACGGGGCTGCTGTTTTGGTATCTATCCTGTTTGCTTTCTTGGATTCGATTTGATTTGGTTCCAAACGAACCTACCAACATCCAGCTATGCTGACGAATTGTTAAAAAGTTCGCGTTATTATGTCATTTCCAACTAAAACTTATCGTTTATCAGGTCTCAAAATGGCTCCAAATGATAACGATCACGATTAATATCTGAGTGAACGCGCCATAAAGCGATGCATTGTCTTGTCTACCTCACATCAACTCACACGTTCATGCAATATGTCCATAATGCATAATGCGACATAAAAAAGGGTGCATTAACTACACGTATCTATAGTTGAAACATTCGCAATGAAAAGTTTATAAAATGTTATGTTATTTTTGCCTCACATAACATCACGCCTTTTATCCCCGAAGGACTGTACAATGTAACACCCACTTTTCACTATTTATGCTATTAAGAGGTGAGCATATTGTAATATACCAGGCTCAATTCCAGACTCTGTGCTAACTACTGATATTTAAAAAAACCCAATAGTACTTTGCCCAACCTGGGAATCGAACCTGAGACCCCTTGCTCAGCAGTCGCGCTTGCGACCACTCGGCCAAAGAGACTGTCATTTTTGAATTATTGTTAAACTAAAATCATTTTGATCATTAAACTAACGCCATGTGCGCGTCTATTCTTAATTTAAAAAACGGTGTTTGTATTTTTTCTGCCACCATTTTGTTTCTGCTCGTTGGTCACGGGTTGACGGGTACCGACCGTTTGTTTCCTCTATGTTTGATTTATGAACTGAGATCAAACACCTGACTATAGTGTACTTACAGTTTTATTTAACTACTAGCTTTTACCCGCGGCTTCGCTCGCGTCAGAAAAGGATAAAAAGCCAATGTGACATATAACAATACACACAGCGTCATCTAAAGATAAAGATAGTTTATTTGCAAATATGGGTAATACAATTTGTGGTGTTTAGGTACATTGTGAGCTCAACCATATTTTACCAGGAGGCATGCAAATATTAATTAACAGATTATTAAAAAAATTAAATTACATAAAATAAAATCAATATTATGCTATGTACTTATTAAATTGATTACAGAAATTAAAATAGTCGCATTAACAAAATATAGGTACAATGTCAAAAGATTATAGTTAAGAAATGTCATAGTAAAATAGATGAAATGTCCAAGTAAATAACTTGGACATTTCATCTATTTTAGTATTTAAAATATTATTCCATACCATTGTCCATGAGAAAATCCGCAACATTGTAATATGCTTTGTCAACTAATAACTTTCTCAATTTGTTTTTTAATATTGACATACTCAAATCTCTCCAGGATTTAGGTAATTTATTAAAGATTTTAGGTGCCATGCAACAGACACTTTTGCCCATTAGTGTTGTCTTCGCTCTTTGACGACATAGTTGACTATCGTCTCGTCTACTTCGTGCTACTACGTCGTTCATTTTTTTAAATTAATGTGGATTTGACTTGACAAACATAGCCATTTCCATTATATAAATACACGGTAATGTTAAAATGTTAAGTTCTTTAAAATACGGGTAACAACTATCTGTAGTGTCTAGTTTATACATTGACCGAATGCACCTTTTTTGGGCCTTGAATGCCATATCTTTGTCGGTTGAATGACCCCAGAATATAACCCCGTAACGAAGATGGGATTCAGCTAAACCGTAGTAGGCGGTAAGAAGCGCTTCCTTTGAAACCTTCAACGACAATATACCAATACTTTTGTTTTCCCTCGGGAATATCAAATTTTTCCGGGATAAAAGTACCCTATTATTTAATCTGGACTTCTAACTATACATCTGCAAAAATTCAAAGCAATCGGTTTAGTAGTTACGGCGTTAAAGTGGAACAAACAAACAAACAAACTCACTTTCCGATTTATAATATAAGTAAGGAAGTAAGGATAATCAATTTTATTAGAACCACGTAAAAAAACGTATCCACGCGAATATCAGGAACCGCCTTAAGCGCTCTTCTAGACCTCTAAAAACTACCAACTAATTAGGTGCGAATCAAAGCAGATCAATCCCAAATCCCGGCTGTAATTTCTGTAATAACATTCGATTCTTTATTAGTTTCAGGCCTTGGGACGAGACCTACCGTGGTCAGGCAGGGTGGGATGCAGGTGGCAGGGGCTACTACTTCGCATCAGGCAGGCCTGATGCTGCGCCTGCTTCTGGTTGGGGACGACCTGAATACTCCAGGTAAACAAAATGAAAAGAAATAGAATTTCTGTTAGCCGACTGCAAAATTAAAGTACTATTATTGTTTGAAGCTTGTTTTACATTATCACATCAATAGCCTTTAAGTAGCTACTGCAGATGCCTCTTCTCACATGAAGAATTTTTGAGTATTAATCACCACAGTTGGTCATTACAGGTTGGCGATAAAACTTATAATCAGAAATTATATGCCCAGGTTCTCTCACGATGTTTTCCTTCACCGCTTGTCAGTGGCGTCTAAATAATCTTAAAAAGTATATATAACTCGGAAAAAGTCACATTGGTAGTTGCCGTTGGCAGGTTTGAACCCGCACCTTTGTGCATGCAAGCGGATGTCTTAAACCTCCGAGCCACCACGACTTTTAAAGCTTAAGCTTGTTTAGTACCTTGAATATTTAAATGTGGCCAAGTCACACTAAAAAACAGATTCTTCAGGGTATTTACAAGAAAGCCCTACGTTCTAATTTGCTCCTCAAAATAAGAAATTTGATTTTTTTATGGCATTTCGCCGGTAAATGAGCAGACGGATCACCTGATGGTAAGCAATCGGCGTCGCTCATGGACACCTAGAACACCAGAAGCGTTACAAGTGCGTTACCGGCCTTTTGGGGGTTAGAAGTTTGAGGATTGTTTGGGATTCGGGGATTGGGGAGATTGGGGAACCCGGGGAGGGAGCTGGGCCTCCGGTAACCTCACTCACACGACGAAATACAACGCAAGCGTTGCTTCACGTCGGTTTTCTACGAGGCAGTGGTATCACTCCGGTCGAGCCGGCCCATTCGTGTCGAATCATGGCTCTCCCACACTTAAACCATCAACTTCTTTTCTATTTCCAGACCACAAGACGCCTACCAAAGTATAGGAGGTTATTCAGGAGGCTACAGCGGAACATATCGCGATCCATACGCACAAGTGTCAAGCGGCTATAGTCAAGGCTACGGCCAGGGCGCCAGCTACGGCCAGGGCGCTGGTTATGGCCAGAGTGGCTATGGACAGAATGCAGCTGCTTATGGAGCGAGCTTCGCTGGGTATGGACAAGGCGGTAGTGGATGGCACAGTGTTGGAGAAAGGAGACCGTATAGAGATGAGAGGTGTGTATTGCATAACATACCATAACATCACGCCTTTTATCCCCGAAGGGATAGGCAGAGGTGTACATTACGCCACTGTAGAATATAACACCCACTTTACATTATTTATGTTATGAGTCCCATGTAATAAGGGGTGTGTATTGCACTATGATATTTGTACAGAAAATGTTAAAGGACAATAACGTCTTTCGAAGTTTTAAAATGAGACTCACTTACACCTTGTTATAATATTTACTTCTATGAACGTCGGGTTCTAATAATAATAAGATTTTTTTTAAAAGCGTTGCGCACCTGTATTTTGTCCTGTGTCGTGCGAGCGTTTACAAATACACAAGTTCACATACACAAAACACTCAGTCCTGAAACAACAATTTGTGGATCACACAAAGAGTTGCTCCGTGCGGCAATCGATCCCGCTAGTAGCGCGGCAACTGTGCAGTCATCTTAAGAATCAATGAATAGGACATGCATAGTATCAAGAATTCTAAACTCAATATAAATCAAAAGATGTTCTCAGACAGATATAAAAGAAAACTTATACGCCAAAAATGATGCCAAGGTAAGGTACTAATCGATCATGTTCCATTTAATCATTAAAATTACTCTCCACAGTGGCGTCAAAAAGTTAGAGAACCGAGACAACTACAACCAGGATTCTAAACGCAATCAGAACAGCTACGAGCCATCTAGCCGTCAGCCGGCCAACTATGGTCAAACGGCTAACTATGGCCAGACAGGCTATCAGCAAGGCTACGGTCAAAGCAGCAGCACGACTCCTGCCACCAGCTACCTGTTCCAAAGAGATGATGAACAGGTCACTGTGAAGACTAATGAGACTACCAAGCAGCCGTCTTAGACTTTCATTTGTGTTCTTTTTATATTTCATGGATGACTTAAGATTTTAGAGTGTGGTTGAAATTCTTGAGATGATCGTGTTTTTATTGTGAACTGAGAAGACATTAGGTATTTTAATTTAGTATCTGAAATGGCTTATTACTTAAAATGGATCCGAGAATATTATTGCATGCCATTACAGAGAACAAAAATAGGGTAACTTAACGAACAAAAACTTGAATAGTACTTAAATCCTTATCCTTACTAATATTATAAATCGGAAAGTGAGTTTGTTTGTTTGTTTGTTCCGCTTTCACGCCGTAACTACAAAACCGATTGCTTTGAATTTTTGCAGACGTAAAGTTAGAAATCCGGATTAAATAATATGGTATTTTTTATTCCCGAAAAATTGATATTCCCGAGGGAAAACAAAAGTATTGGTATAGCTGTGTGTATTGGTATATGTCACATAGACAACTTTTTATCCTTTTGTGACGCGAGCGAAGCTGTGGGTAAAAGCTAGTAAATAAATAACAAAAATGAAACATTGATCAGTGTTAAAGATGAACCGCAACAAAGTAACTGCTATGATAACCAACCCTGTGTCTTTAGCCAAACGCCACTTTAGCGCTTGTCTACAGAGAGAGTAGAAAACTAAATGTATGACATATACAATATGACACTGACAAGTGTCAAAATTTACGTCAATTTCATATAATTTGGTTTTCTATTCTACATGTAGACAAGCGCTAAATGGCATTTGGTTACAGCTGCTGGTCTTCTTAAAACTTGAGCTCTTGACGACAAACAGCTTTTGACTTATTACAACTAGCTTCTCTAGCCTATCGAAATAACATCCAAAATTAATGATTTACACACAAATGTCTACGTATCATTATGTAACCATCACGACTCCCAATTAAGTCAGCCTTGAAACCCTCACAAAGCATTTTCCACGATGTATGTGTCATCAATCTCCCTTGTGTCAGGTTGTCGCACTCTGACACTGACCTACGGCCTGACACAAACTCTGACGTTAGCGTAAGCGGTACCTAGCGTAAGCATTAGCGATAGCTTAAGCGATAGTGTCAGCGATAGCGTGCATTCCCACAATTAGCTCGTAATTAATCTTAGTATTGATAATAATGTTTGAAGTAATAAAGTATTTTTATTGTGGGTTTTGTTTTTATCTTTTACTTATATAACATCACGTCCTTTAATCCCCGAAGGGGTAGGCAGAGGTGCATATGACGGCACTTAATGCCATAGTACAATGTAACACCGACTTTTCACTATTTATATTTATTTATTTATACACTGGGCTTGTGCTCAGTGTGTTTTGTCGAATTGTTTCCACACTCCGTGAGAATACAACTGAGAATTGGTTTTAAAACTCAGTAATAATTTAGCTGCCCCGAGAATCGAACCCGAGACCGTTGCCCAGCAGTCACCTCGGTGGCCGCAACCACTCGGCCAACAACAAGACAGTCGTATTATGTGTTTTGTACTTTTACAAAGATAATTTAACACCATGTATCATATAACTTATAGACATCATGGGGTATGATGTCTATAGGATATATCAGATACATATATGATACTGAGAATTTCCGAAAACCAAAAAAAGACTGGCTATAATGCTCAGAAGCCACACTTACGACCACGTAACTAACGACACAGGTCGATAAAGAGAAAGTATCTAGTTTTACTTTAAATACCCTCATTAGCAAGTGGGCACAAACCGCATAAAGGCGCACGTGAGTGAGTACTCACAATCTCAACAACACAAATGATTCCCGGTTAGCGCAAAGTATCATTTTTCTAGTTTCGAAATTCTCAATAACACCGCACAGTAGGTATCTCATATTGTTGAATAGTTCATATAAAAAACTAGTAAGAATAAAATAATCACCAGTGAAGTAGTAAAACTGTAAATATTACGCACTTTAAAATATATGCTTATTTTATTTGAAAATGAATCATCGTAATTAATACACTTACTAACCATTCGCCTAACATGTCTTTCACCGAACATCATTTCAACGCCATCTTTTGACGAATAGGAAAACTAAAACGTGTGTAAGTAGTTCAACACTACAGACTAGGTTTATTGATAATTCCTCTATTGTATAACAGATGGCGTTGTATTACGTTAATAATTATTTTTAAGGAATTATTTTACACACTGATTTCAAAATCTGAGCTGCTATATTTTTAATTAACGCTTGAAATATGTTTCCTTTGGCATTTACTCAATACTTGCGTAATGCCAATTAAGATTATTTTAATAATACTTTTGAACCCTTTACGTAGGGGTAATTCTTCAGACAAAAGTATATAAAAACAAGGCATATTGAAGGCTTTTGGTTAGTGTTTAATCAGCTGATAGTCTTTCCGGTCCTTGGATACCAGCCACGTTAGTCATTATTTTAATCATAATGGCCATCGAAACTGAAGGGTTATCTAACTCTCCAAGATAATATAACAAATGAGGATAGTTATAACAAACCATAATATACAGTAACACATCTCTCGTACATACTTACTCTACACTATTACTAACTTCAGTGGCGTGCACACCATACATGCAAATAAGCACTGCATACCCTACAAAATCATAGTAAACCTACATAGTCAATTACATAGTGTCACTCATAAACACGACATGAATATTTACTGACATCATACAGAGATTTCGAGATGAGTGCGTTGTCGTTATTCTCGTTTGAAGAAGAAACGAAAATATTTCCAAAGGCGATTTTGCGTGTGTCGTATGTCCGGCTAGGCGTAACTCAAAAAAGGTAATAATTTCATTATTTCTTTTAATAAACTACGATTTGCGATTATAGGTATAGTTTGTTAGCACTGGTTGTGTACCAATTTAATTATTGTTTTTAAAATCCAGTCTATCTTGATCTCGCTTTGTACGATTTCTCTATGCATTTAACGGTCAGTTATACTGGTGTCGCCGCTCCAAAGTAGGTACCTAGTTAATAGATTTATAAAATAGATACCTACCGATATCTCTATGTTGATCAACTTTATACACGGATAGTTTTAAAATAATTATGTACCTAATTTGTTTATACAAATTAATAAAATACTTACTAAACCTAATTACCTACTCAAAACTATGATGTTTCGGAAGTTTTATTTTCCGAGATCAATGTACATACCTAGACCAAATTTATTTTTAATCATGTGATACCTTCTGCCTACCCTACTTCAAATCTCTGTGCACGCCCCTGACTAACTTACTCTCCACATCATCCAATGATTGACTGTCAGAGAATGCCACTTATATTATATAGGTATCACTACATAGTATAAAACAAAGTCACTATCCGCCGTCTGTCTGTCCCTATATATGCTTTTTTTTAAGGGGGGAAAATCATCGAATGACTGCTCCTGCCTGGGTGAGGCGGGAGGGAGTGTCAGACTCTTACTGACTAAAAACCACCCCGTTCCTTCTCCTGCACGTCGAACCGGAGCCCCGGTTACCCGTTAGGTTCTCCGCGACGTCCCTATATATGCTTTGATCTTTAAAACTACGCAACGGATTTTGATGCGGTTTATTTTAATAGATAGAGTGATTCTTAAGTAAGGTTTATACGTATAATACATGCATACTGCACCCGTGCAAAGCCGGGGCGGGTCACTAGTGTGTAATAAAGTAAAATAAAGAGTTAGGTAAGATTAACTACAAGCGTGCTTAAAATTTAACTTTGTCAGTTTAAACTGTCAAACACCAAGCGGTCACCGGTGACCGCAACCTATTGTTCTTTAATTGTGTCTATAAATACGGTACTGGACGAATTAAATATATAAACTGTTATTACCTAATCTCCCCAATACCTGAATCCCCAACAATCCTCAAATTTCTTATCCCCAAAAGGCTGGTAACGCACTTGTATCGCCTCTAGTGTTTCAGGTGTCCATGAGCGACGCCGATTGCTTACCATCAGGTGATCCGTTTGTTCGATTACTGGTCTCTCCCAATAAAAGAAAAAAGTCTCTCAACAGCCCTAGGAAATAAACGGTTAAGTGTCGTCGTAAAAAACAAGTCATAAGTAATTATGACATTTTTTGGGGGCAAACGACCAGACGAATCACCCGATTAATATAATAATATCACTGATCAGAGTCGCCTTTACACACGTGCAACGTGCAATAGCTTTTTATAGGGTCTAGTCTATTTCTAATGAATCACGTGTTATTTCCAATTAGAAGTTGAATCTTTATTTTAGAAAATTTACATATGTAACACTACAGCTTACGCCAACTGTTAATCTTATATAAATACTATTATTTAGGTACTTAACACGTTAAACGCCATGGGGGTCACCGGTGACCGGCGTTAGCGGAGGATTTACCTTCAACAGTTTTTTATTGGCACTCAAAGTCTTAAAAACTTTAATTTGGTAATTAAATATAAGAAATAAAAATTAATACAATTCAGAAACAAAATTAACAAAAATATCTATAACATAACATAACAATTTATTACATTACATTATACATTACATTAATTTGATACAAGTCATGGTGTCGTAGTACAAAATTAAAACTCTGACCTCTGTACTAGGGAAATACCTGTATCACAGAGATCAGTGCCTTCATGTATGGTATCATTGTGAGCCTAGTATAGACTTTACATAATAAATTAATTTAAATTAAGATTAACAAAAAGCAAACAGAGAAGACAAAGAATGTAATTAAATTAAAATAATAGATCGGTTTTTGTATAGTGTTTCAGCTATTTACAGTACCTAGGTACTTCTGAAACGTTTTCAAAATACAAGATCCAAGTATGAATTTAAATATTTAACACAAAATAAAGTATTGCAAGCGACAAGTTATCACACTATTATCGCAACACATATAGGTACTTAGCAGGAATGTGACTGTAAATTACCTACTTATTGATTGAAACAATTAACTTTACTTGATATGATAAAAGGATTATTTTTTATATCTGATAAGTGGCCGACGATCGGCCACTTGGCATCGGATTCTTGTAAGGAAATATACTAACTATAATATAATTTAAAAATAATTATTATTATTACTATTTTACCTTCAAAATTCGGAAAATAGTAGTGCGATTATTAGTAAACCCGCGAGTGTGAATTTAAAATTTAAATTGTTTTTGACATTCCATAACATTTAAGAATTAATAAAGTTAACACATTTTCTTGCATAAACTATTGCATTTTTTCGTATTAAAAAAGTGGCAATAATTTACGCAAAAAATCTTTAAATGATTGTCAAAAACGTTTTAAATTATTTGTTGGAATAGGTTGCGGTAGTTCGCGTATCTAGTAACGATGTCGGAATCTGTGAATGTGGTGGATCAGGTCGCGGCAGACACGCAGGTGTCTGTGCATGTCGTGCAGGAACCGGAGCCAAACTCCGGCGTCGAGCTGAAGAGGGACTTATTGCAGGTCGTCGCCGACCACGAACAGGCCGCCATGTTGAAGAACATGAATGAGTAAGTACCCTTTTGCGATCAAATACTTACACAGCAATTCTAAAGATTATGAGAAATAAGAGTGGAAATCTGAGTTTTACATGTTCCTTAATCATGTGGACTATCAAAACGGTTAAATTTAAATTCATCGTCTAAAACACAGCAAGTACATCAAGGGCACATCCAAAAATATTCCGATTTGTCATATAAACCTTGAAGGATCCGTTTCCAATCAAATAATTACTTAAATTTAATATTTTATCACGAAAGACGTTCATTATCACGTTATAAATGTGTTTACGTAAGCGATAAATAATTTTGGAGTGCGTTTTACTAAAAAATGTAAGTAAGGAGTTATCGAGACTATCTTTCGATTACCGTTTATTATGTTGATTCAGTGTACTTTGTAGTGTGAATACATAATTATGTCGCTAGTCGCTACACCAGTGTTGCTATCGTATCTTCGCTATCAATATTTCAAGGTCTCATTGCAATTCTTTAGATAGCACCTATTTTATCTATGTAGACTATATTCGATTTCGTTTCGATTATTTGCACATCATTATTGGCTAGATATACCTAGATCGATTGTTGATAATAATATCACTCGACAAAAGAACTTTGACAGTACGCCTATAGCCTGGTTTGTCTGCAATCAATTACACAAGATACACTATATTGTTTAGGATTTTTTCGTTGCGGTGCATATTGTAAGAACCCTAAGCCCCCGGTTAGAAAATTCATCCAGAAAATATCGATCAGAAAATACATCCACTGTCCTCTGCCAGACTGCTACTGCAACACTGTCGAATTTTGGGTTCAGACGCAATCGGAGACAGGGAACTTATCAGTTTTCTAATTTTGAGTTTTTGACATTATCAAATAGTAGCTTATGATGCGAAGTAATTACAAAACCACAAACAAAAATAGATATACTATAGTCCATATTAGCTACGTAAAAAGGTACTATCGTGCGAAGATACGTTACTTTACATTTAAATCAATGTTTAACATGACGTAAGACAAGAAACGGAGTTGTTGTGCGCGCACGCATTCAATCACCACAACGCAACTGTAAAATGTCATCAATTTATATTAATTGAAGACTGGTAAAGATCTCGTATTGGCTCATTGAGGGTACCACATTACATGGAGTCGTTTGTACACAGTAGCATGCTTGTTATTCATTTACGATTAGATTTGAAATGTACTACTTTGTTCGATCAATTTTATATACGTTTATTGATTTTTGATTTATAGATATCACATTTTGTTAAATTATAAGTATGTAATAAGTAACTACTTAGTTCTACTGATATAAACACATATAGCTAAATTAGATAAGATTTTTGTTAAATCACATTAATATTATTTGTTGAAATTTGGTATAAAGGTCGGATATGGGATGATAGGTGATAGGATACTTTTTATCGAGAAAAAAATGGTAGAAGAGGTTGAAATATGTCGCGCGATATAACGGAATTTCACGGGGGCGAAGTTTTATTTTGAAAAAGAGGTCGAAAGCAACAAGCCCCCAATCACTGCATTCTGCTAACAGTACCAATAACGTTAAGTCTCGACGTAAGTAAAATATGGAGTAAAAAGAAGATAATTTTGTTTAAGACGATACAAAACACGCCTCTCATAAACTTTAAAATGTACCGCGTGTTTAATACTCCCATTGTTTTCCATATTTATTTTGAAAGGCTAGCAAAGTACTCATTTCGGTCCACACTTGCTTTTAATGAGATTTTTTGGCGATTGTCTTCAAACCTGGCATCTACATGATTGTTCGACATTAAAATATGTTAAAGTAAAAAGACAATGGTTCATCAATTTAATTACTCTCTTTACAATTCTCTCTTTGTAATGTAGAATTAAGATGCAATTGTAGTAAAAAGACAATGCTGATTTGTTTCTCAAAATTGAATGGACCCATTATAGTGCCTTGCGGAACGCCATCTTCGATCCGATATTTGTGCACAAATAATTGAAGTATCGCATCATTTCAATAAAGATTTGACTTTCATAAATTATATGCAGATATATAACAAAAAATTAAGCCTACTAACACTTAGTATTAATCGTAGCAATAAAAATATTCTTAGTAAACGCTCTATAAATTGTTAATCAGCGCCTAAATACTGGATATCATGAAATCTAATCTTAATTTCGTTAGATAAATAATAACTAATGAGGCGCAAAGATAATATAAAGGTAATTTACATAATATTACCACGTCGTGACGCTGATACAATTTATGATTAGTAATTTGGACCAATTCATTCGTGTAGAAGGTTTGATGACCAGTATTGGATGTGTCTTCATCAGATACAAACTCACTGTTGGTATATGTTAACAATAGTAAATCTTCTTTATTTACATAACATAACAGAACAAATTTCCGTGCGTTTAGGCGCTTTTGCCATATCTATTATTGGAAACAAGTTTAACAGCTCACACATAGGATCTACTTAGCTTTTAATCAAATTTCTGTAGGGCTTGGTGACTGGGCTTCCCCAGTTGTACAGTCTCTTTTTTGTCCCATGTAATAGGGGGTGAGCCTATTGCCATATATCGGTCACTATTCCAGACTCTACTACTACTAAAAACCCAATAAAACTGTGCCCGACTTGGGATTCGAATTCGAGCCCCCTTACCCGAGCAATAGCACTTGCGAACACTCGGGCAATGAGGCAGTCGTTTTAATGTAAATTTAATTCGATCTCTGACCACCTTACAAATTTCGTAGTATTGGGTAAATGAATATAACATTAATGGGTTTACTATACGAATTTGAACTGACGAATACATAAACCTGTATGCTATTGCTACCGATTAGATGGAACCTTTAATACTTTCTAATAAGGTTAGAAATTCTAAAGCTGAACTGCATTAGTAAGTTTGTAGAATGTATTACTCAAATGAACACAGTAATTTTGTGTCTTATTGTGTTAGCTAGATAGTGTTAAAAATGTCGATGTTCTATCTTTATCTTTCGACTCGACCGGAGTGATACCACGGCCTCACAGAAAATCGCCGTGAAACCACGCTTGCTTTGTGTTTCGTCGTGTGAGTGAGGTTACATGGAGACCCAATTATCTTCCCCCCTCGACCCCTCCCCAGGTTTCCCAATCCCTAAATCCAAAACAATTCTCAAACTCCTGGCCGGTAACGCACTTGTTGTAACACTTGTAACACCTCTGGTATTCCAGGTGTCCAGGGCGACACCGATTGCTTACCATCAGGTGATCTATCAGCTCGTTTACCAGCTTATCCCATAAAAAATATATCTCTGGATCTTTCTAAACAGAAATGTTGATCTTTTATCTCAAGTGCTAGAAAGGATAATCTAATGATAAGGGAGAATGTGATAACTACATACTTACGTTACGTCTTGCGTATGTCGTATATACTTCTCTAACTGATATGACATTCCTCAGCTGAGAGCATAGATACCTACTTATTTATTTTTTTGTAGGTATTTTATTTTCGGCTAGTTTATTTATAAAGGGTCGACTTTTCTATAAACAGTTAAGTTTTAACTGTAACATAAAATTGATAGTTGATTTGAAGCAAAAGAGGTATATAAGAATCGTAGCCATTAGTCTCTGTCGCGGAGAACCTAACGGGTAACCGGGGCTCCGGCTCGACGTGCAGGAGAAGGAACGGGGTGGTTTTTAGTCAGTAAGAGTCTGACATTCCCTTCCGCCTCACCCAGGCGGGAGTAGTCATTCGATGATTTTCCCCCCTTAAAAAGAAAAAAAAAGCCATTAGTCTCTGTCTACCCCCCTGGGAGACAGGCGTGAGGTTATGTATGTATGTACGACAGTTGACAGTTTATAGTTAATGAGTAATTGTCAAATGTCAATTGTTTTCGGAGTTAAGAATTGGGTACTTGCCAAATAATCAAATTGAAGACATTTTTGCGAACTGTCAAAAACGACAGTTTTTCAATTTTGTACGAGATTGTGTATTGTGACGTCACGTTTTTTTAGCGTCAAACAGCATACGTATTACTTATAAATTTGCTGTTATAAAATCAATTTAAATGAAAGTGTTATTATTTTTTAAGTAATATTTTATTGTATTAAACATTAACAGTTGAAATAATTAATTTTTAAATAAGGAAAGTACCCATATATCTGTTGATTAAACAATCGGCTCTAAGTCTTCTACTTTTGTCTCTTCTTGAGACCCAATTATTACGTTTAGAGCATCATTGAGATCACTAAGATCATTCCATTTATCATCATCATGCGATATTTTAAATCAATATATCGTTACACATTCGTCAATCCACCTTTGCAAATGTTCCAGCTACTTATGTAACATTTTTATTAAAATTATTTTATTAGTCATCATAACTGAACAGGTGTTGTAATCTACTCATATCAATATTATTAGTTTATCGAATATTTTTATCGAAGTCAGTAGGCACTAACTGGAGTTAGACAGGTTTAGAAATTAACCTCGGTCCTTCACTCATGTTTTTGTTTGCATGAATTATAGTTATGGGCAACGAATGCAAATGTAAAAGATACACAGCACTTTTAAAAGGTATTCCTATTTTATAAAGTCTGTATATACACATATCTATGGAACTATTGGAAAATCCAAGGAAATAATATTAGATTATGATTTTTCTCCTAAACCTTCGAGAGAACGTAAGATAACGTAACGTTTTCAGCACACTAATGTGCGCAGACATATGCAAAAGCTTTTTCAGTGAGGGCAAATCAAATTAGTTTCGCAATACGATAATGGAAACCTAAGTACCATTTGTATCGATTGGTTAGTAGAAAATTCTGTTAGCATATAGGCCATCTTCATCATAGGAGTCATTGCACCTTATCAAGTATAAGACCAATCTCCAGAAGTAACAAGTATTTATTTATCTACCCACACATGTGTGCTTAGCTGGAACACGGCAAGAACTGATGACACAATGTGCGCTCTCACTTGACCGGGCCGCCGCAGTTCAGTACAGCGCCAACTCCCGCGGAGAATTCATGCCCGCC